TCGCCAACTCACTCACTCTACACGCGCCCATTCACTCACTCACTCTACACTCGCCCATTCACTCACTCACTCTACACTCGCCCACTCACTCTACACTCGCCTACTCACTCTACACTCGCCCATTCACTCACTCTACACTCGCCCAATCACTCACTCTACACTCGCTCATTCACTCACTCTACACTCGCCCGCCCACTCACTCACTCTACACTCGCCTGCCCACTCACTCACTCTACACTCACTCGCCCACTCACTCTACACTCGCCCACTCACTCACTCTACACTCGCCCACTCACTCAATCTACACTCGCCCACTCACTCACTCTACACTCGCCTACTCACCCACTCACTCACTCTACACTCGCCCACTAACTCACTCTACACTCGCCCACTCACTCTACGCTCGCCCACTCACTCTACACTCGCCCACTCACTCACTCTACACTCGCCCACTCACTCACTCTACACTCGCCCACTCACTCACTCTACACTCGCCCACTCACTCACTCGCCCACTCACTCACTCTACACTCGCCCACTCACTCACTCTACACTCGCCCATTCACTCACTTTACACTCGCCCACTCACTCACTCTACACTCGCCCATTCACTCACTTTACACTCGCCCACTCACTCACTCACTCACTCTACACTCGCCCACTAACTCTACACTCGCCTACTCACTCTACACTCGCCCACTCACTGTACACTCGCCCACTCACTCACTCACTCTACACTCGCCCATTCACTCACTCTACACTCGCCCACTCACTCACTCTACACTCGCCCACTCACTCACTTTACACTCGCCCACTCACTCACTCACTCTACACTCGCCCACTAACTCACTCTACACTCGCCCACTCACTCACTCACTCTCCACTCACCCACTCACTCTACATTCGCCCACTCACTCACTCTACACTCGCCCACTCACTCACTTTACACTCGCCCACTCACTCACTCTACACTCGCCCACTCACTCACTCTACACTCATCCACTCACTCTACACTCGCCCATTCACTCACTCTACACTCACCCACTCACTCTACATTCGCCCACTCACTCTACACTCGCCGACTCACTCACTTTACACTCGCCCACTCACTCACTCACTCTACACTCGCCCACTCACTCACTCACTCTACACTCGCCCACTCACTCACTCACTCTACACTCGCCCACTCACTCTACACTCGCCCATTCACTCACTCTACACTCACCCACTCACTCACTTTACACTCGCCCACTCACTCACTCACTCTACACTCGCCCACTCACTCACTCACTCTACACTCGCCCACTCACTCACTCACTCTACACTCGCCCACTCACTCTACACTCGCCCATTCACTCACTCTACACTCACCCACTCACTCACTCTACACTCGCCCACTCACTCACTCTACACTCGCCCATTCACTCACTCACTCTACACTCGCCCACTAACTCACTCACTCACTCTACACTCGCCCACTAACTCACTCTACACTCGCCCACTCACTCTACACTCGCCCACTCACTCTAAACTCGCCCACTCACTCACTCTACACTCGCCAACTCACTCACTCTACACGCGCCCATTCACTCACTCACTCTACACTCGCCCATTCACTCACTCACTCTACACTCGCCCACTCACTCTACACTCGCCTACTCACTCTACACTCGCCCATTCACTCACTCTACACTCGCCCAATCACTCACTCTACACTCGCTCATTCACTCACTCTACACTCGCCCGCCCACTCACTCACTCTACACTCGCCCGCCCACTCACTCACTCTACACTCACTCGCCCACTCACTCTACACTCGCCCACTCACTCACTCTACACTCGCCCACTCACTCACTCTACACTCGCCCGCTCACTCACTCTACACTCGCCTACTCACCCACTCACTCACTCTACACTCGTCCACTCACTCACTCTACACTCGCCCACTCACTCTACACTCGCCCACTCACTCACTCTACACTCGCCCACTCACTCACTCTACACTCGCCCACTCACTCACTCTACACTCGCCCACTCACTCACTCTACACTCGCCTACTCACCCACTCACTCACTCTACACTCGTCCACTCACTCACTCTACACTCGCCCACTCACTCTACACTCGCCCACTCACTCACTCTACACTCGCCCACTCACTCAATCTACACTCGCCCACTCACTCTACACTCGCCCACTCACTCACCTATTCACTCACTCTACACTCGCCCACTCACTCTACACTCGCCCACTCACTCTACACTCGCCCACTCACTCACTCTACACTCGCCCACTCACTCACTCTACACTCGCCCACTCACTCACTCTACACTCGCCCACTCACTCACTCTACACTCGCCCACTCACTCACTCTACACTCGCCCACTCACTCACTCTACACTCGCCCATTCACTCACTCACTGTACACTCGCCCACTCGCTCACTGTACACTCGCCCACTCACTCACTCACTCAATCTACACTCGCCCACTAACTCACTCTACACTCGCCCACTCACTCACTCACTCTACACTCACCCACTCACTCTAAATTCGCCCACTCACTCACTCTACACTCGCCGACTCACTCACTTTACACTCGCCCACTCACTCACTCACTCTACACTCGCCCACTCGCTCACTCTACACTCATCCACTCACTCTACACTCGCCCATTCACTCACTCTACACTCACCCACTCACTCTACATTCGCCCACTCACTCACTCACTCAACACTCGCCGACTCACTCACTTTACACTCGCCCACTCACTCACTCACTCTACACTCGCCCATTCACTCACTCTATTCTCACCCACTCACTCACTCTACACTCGCCCACTCACTCACTCTATACTCGCTGACTCACTCACTCCACACTCGCCCACTCACTCACTCACTCTACACTCGCCCACTAACTCACTCACTCTACACTCGCCCACTAACTCACTCACTCTACACTCGCCCACTAACTCACTCTACACTCGCCCACTCACTCTACACTCGCCCACTCACTCACTCTACAGTCGCCAACTCACTCACTCTACACTCGCCCATTCACTCACTCACTCTACACTCGCCCATTCACTCACTCTACACTCGCCCACTCACTCAATCAACACTCACTCACTCACTCTACACTCGCCCACTCTACACTCGCCCACTTACTCACTCTACACTCGCCCACTCACTCACTCTACACTCGCCCATTCACTCACTCACTCTACACTCGCCCACTCACTCACTCTACACTCGCCCATTCACTCACTCACTCTACACTCACCCACTCACTCACTCTACACTCGCCCATTCATTCACTCTACACTCGCCCACTCACTCTACACTCGCCCACTCACTCACTCACTCTACACTCGCCCACTCACTCACTCACTCACCCACTCACTCACTCTAGACTCGCCCATTTACTCACTCACTCTACACTCGCCCACTCACACACTCTACACTCGCCCATTCACTCACTCACTCTACACTCGCCCTACTCCCACTCACTCACTCTACACTTGCCCACTCACTCACTCTACACTCGCCCACTCACTCACTCTACACTCGCCCACTCACTCACTCTACACTCGCCCATTCACTCACTCACTCTACACTCGCCCACTCACTCTACACTCGCCCCTTCACTCACTCTACACTCGCCCACTCACTCACTCTACACTCATCCACTCACTCTCCACTCGCCCATTCACTCACTCTACACTCACCCACTCACTCTACATTCGCCCACTCACTCTACACTCGCCGACTCACTCACTCTACACTCGCCCACTAACTCACTCTACACTCGCATACTCACTCACTCACTCTACACTCGCCCACTCACTCACTCTACACTCGCCGACTCACTCACTCTACACTCGCCCACTCACTCACTCACTCTACACTCGCCCACTCACTCACTCTACACTCATCCACTCACTCTCCACTCGCCCATTCACTCACTCTACACTCACCCACTCACTCTACATTCGCCCACTCACTCACTCTACACTCGCCGACTCACTCACTCTACACTCGCCCACTAACTCACTCTACACTCGCATACTCACTCACTCACTCTACACTCGCCCACTAACTCACTCTACACTCGCCCACTCACTCTACACTCGCCCACTCACTCACTCTACACTCGCCCACTCACTCACTCTACACTCGCCCACTCACTCACTCTACACTCGCCCACTCACTCACTCTACACTCGCCCTCTCACTCACTCTACACTCGCCCACTCACTCACTCTACACTCGCCCACTCACTCACTCTACACTCGCCCACTCATTCACTCGCCCTACACCCACTCACTCACTCTACACTCACCCATTCACTCACTCTACACTCGCCCACTCACTCACTCACTCTACACTCGCCCACTCACTCTACACTCGCCCATTCACTCACTCACTCTACACTCACTCACTCTATACTCGCCCACTCACTCTACACTCGCCCATTCACTCTCTCACGCTACACTCGCCCACTCACTCTACACTCGCCCACTCATTTACTCTACACTCGCGCACTCACTCACTCGCCCTACACCCACTCACTCACTCTACACTCACTCACTCTACACTCGCCCATTCACTCACTCTACACTCGCCCACTCACTCACTCACTCTACACTCGCCCACTCACTCTACACTCGCCCATTCACTCACTCTACACTCGCCCACTCACTCACTCACTCTACACTCGCCCACTCACTCGCCCATTCACTCACTCACTCTACACTCGCCCACTCACTCACTCTACACTCGACCACTCACTCGCCCATTCACTCACTCACTCTACACTTGCCCATTCAATCACTCACTCTACACTCGCCCATTCACTCACTCTACACTCGCCCACTCACTCACTCTACACTCGCCTACTCACTCACTCACTCTACACTCGCCCATTCACTCACTCTACACTCGCCCACTCACTCACTCTACACTCGCCTACTCACTCACTCACTCTACACTCGCCCATTCACTCACTTCCAGTCCGCGGTTGCCGTTGCTTGGCAGACGCCGTCCGTGCGCCTGCTGCTCATGGCGCTCGCTGCGGGGATAGGCGGCAGTTTCCAGTGCGGGTTCAACTCCTCCTTGATCAACGTCCCCACAAAGGTGTCTCTCCGTTCCCGTTCACAGCACACACACATACAGCACGCATACAGCACACATACACAAAGCACGCATACACACAGCTTGCACACACACAACACGCATACACACAGCACAGATACAGCACACACACAGCACACACAGCACACACACACAGCACACACAGCACACAGCACGCATACACACAGCACGCATACACACAGCACGCATACACAGCACAGACACACAGCACACACAGCACAGACACACAGCACAGATACACACAGCACAGATACACACAGCACAGATACACAGAGCACACATACACAGCACATACACACAGCACACATACACACAGCACAGACACACAGCACACACACACAGCACGCACACACACAGCACGCATACACACAGCACGCATACAAAGCACACACACACAGCACAGTTACACACAGCACGCATACACACAGCACACACACACACACAGCACAGATACACACATCACACATACACACAGCACAGATACACACAGCACACATACACACAGCACAGATACTCAGAGCACACATACTCAGAGCACACATACACACAGAACACATACACAGCACACACAGCACACACACAGCACACACACAGCACACACACACAGCACACACACACAGCGCACACACACACACAGCACACACATACAGCACACACACAACGAGCAAGCACAGAGCACACAGCACACACACAGCACACTACACACATACAGAGCACGCGTCACAAACTCGGGACTAGGGCAGGATTCAGGTATAAACGGCGGTACCAGATACTCATTTGAAACTGAGTCGACCTAGGTGAGGCGCAGGACCGGTTTCATAATAATCGTCACCGGTGTTGGCCGTGAGCAGGAATCGAACTCGGGTCGCCAGGTTCGTAGCGCAGCGCGCTGACTGCTACACACGCACTCGCAGACACTCTCCTCTTAAGGTCAATTCACTTGTCACCGTCAGGAGAAACCACCGCGTCTGGACACGTCGGGGCGTGCGACAATCCCCCAACATGCAAAAATTGCTAAATATGAAAAAAACCTCTCAGCTCAACGTTTCCCTGCAGCTCCGCTCCCACAGCTCCGCATGATCCCCCTCGCCGCGTTGTGTTTCCAGGAGGTGCAGACGTTCATCAACAGCACGTTGCAGGCGCGATACGCACAGCCCGTGAGCGACAGCACGCTCACACTGCTGTGGGCGGTCATCGCCTCGGTGTTTGCCGTGGGCGGGCTCGTGGGGGCTCTCGTGGCCAGGCCCATGGCGCTGCTCATGGGGAGGTGACGGGAACCGCTCGCTCGCTCGAAGCCACGCGGCGCACGCACCGCATGCCGCACGCTCACGCGGCCGTAGAGTGCCCGGACCACACAGCCCGCATGCCACATACCACACGCACACGGTCACGCAACGCACATATCGCATAATACACACACACATATGCACAGCGCACTTACTGCATACCACATATCATACACGGCCATGCAGCGCGCATACCACACACGGCCAACACCAGTGACGTGTATCTGAACTGGTCCTGGGCCTCCCCTAGGTCGACTTGGCCCCAAATGAGTACCTGGTGCGGTGTGTAAACATCGCCACTGGGGAGACAAAGGTGGCCGGGCGTGGTGCTGGCCACCCACCCCTCGTGTGCCGTGCCGGCCTTCACAGGTGCTGCTCGCTAACAGCACTTGCCCCAACAGTCTGTTAAGGCTACACGGGGGATCTTTGTCCGTGTGCATGTGTTTAGGAAGGCAGGCCTCCTCGCTAACAACGCGTTCGCCATTATCGCCGCCCTGCTCATGGGGGTGAGCGAGGTGGCCACCTCGTTCGAGCTCATCATCATCGGCCGATTTCTCATCGGGGTGAACTGTGGTGAGTGACGCGACGGCGGCGGTGGTGGGGATCCAACGGGAGCCCTCGTTCCTCCTCGTGTGTCCAGGCTGTTTGATGATGAGGGTGCTGCTGTGGCGAGAGACTATCTCCCTCGCCTGGTATGAAGGAGGTTGTGGGTTCGAACCTGACCCTGACAATACCTGTAAATTTGAAATTTTGCATGTTTTCTCTGTCTCTCTCCTCGTGGTCGAGTGGATTTTTCTCCAGGTCCTCCGGTTTCTCCCCCCCCCCCCCCCCCCACAATAAACGTGCGTTTAGAGTATCTGTCTGCTATAAATTTCCACGAGATGATAAGCGACTTCGTTGAGCTATCATTTGTGATAGCCAGATCGCTTCTGAAAATGAGCTACATAGCTCAGTGGGGCCTTACCTGGAAAATAAAAGTGTAAATAGCTTTGTACAGCGAAACAGAAGCGGTTTCTGATGGGTGGACACGTGGTGTCGGCCGCCGTGGCCTGCGTGTGGACTGCGTGTTCACGTGGCGTGCGAGCAGGAGCGGGCCTCTGCCTGCACCCCATGTACCTGGCGGAGAGCGCCCCCCAGCAGCAGAGGGGGACCCTGGCCATGACCACGTCGATGTTCCTGACGGTCGGCATTCTGGTCGGACAGATCGTGGGCCTGAGGTACGCACGCCGAGATTCCCTTTGACCCTTATCACGTTTCCAAGACGTCGTCTGCAAGTTGTGGGGTGGGTGTCTCCGTTCACCGCCGAATCTCGGAACGTGCGAGCGGCTTGACGTTCGTTTTATTTAGAGAGGCGTAGCGCCGCTGTTTTTAAAGACGCTGTACTGTACACTGCGCAGAGAACCGTAGCGACACGACCGCACTCTACGATAGCTGGCTCCAAACTCTGCCACGCATCCTCCCGCGTGGCCCTTCTTATTTACATTCCATTCCGATGACGTACACCTACGGAGTTTTTCTTCCGATATGAATCAGAAGAAACACTAATGATGTACACGTACGCCATCGAAATGGGAAAGGTTTAATAATTCACGTCTATGACCTGCAGAGTAGGGTTAGGGGTCAAGACTCCACGGCGAGGGCAGTCACAACTGCTTCCCCACGTATGGTGAGTCGATGGTGTCTGCCTAGTCACCATCAGCCACAAACTTATCGCCTTAATATATTGCGGGGTTTTTTTCTCCAAGTCAAATTTGGCTGAATTGCAGCTCCTGAGAATAAAAGAAGTGACATTTTTTCTGAAACACCACGATGGTGTGGCGGGTTGGGGGACATGCGCCGCAGCGTTGTGCACAGCAAAGGCACTCGCGGCAATCTCGGATGTAGTTTTCTTGAAGGCTCCTCTCTTACGTGGGCCGCGCTCTGCCGCACCCCCCCCTGCCCCCCCCCCTGTCTGCCACCCCACCTGCCCCCCATCGCCCCCCCCCCCGAGTCAAATGCACGCGCCGCCTCTAATCATGGGACGTCGCTGTGGCGAGATGTTATCTCCCTTGCCTGTTCTTCAGGAGGTCGTGGGTTTAAAACTATAAGCTATTTTCATTTTATCAGGTGAGGCCCACTGAGCTGTAGAGCTCGTTTTCAGAAGTGACCTGGCCACAAATGATAGCTCAACGAAGTGGCCTATCATCACGTGGACATTTATAGCAGCCAAATATTGAACATGCAAGTCGATTCTAAATGTTGAGGGAAAAACGAGAGGACCCGGAGAAAAATGTACACAGTCACAGAGAGAGAGGGAGAACACACAAACTTCAAATATACAGGCATCATCAGGGTCGGGATCCAACCCACAGCCTCCCGTATACCAGGCGAGGTAGTTAACATCTTGCCACTGCAGTGCCCCCTAACTGGAGTGTGGGAGGTAAGAGGGCCGCGCTATGGAGGTTCCACAGTGTGGGCGCAGAGGGCAGGGGCCCCTCCCACTGACTCCGGGTGCCAGGGTCGCTGACCCCGGGTGCCAACGAAGAGGGCGTTGGTTGATGCTGGAGGTTTCCCAGGCAGGTGCTTGGTGGGAGCCCCCTCTGGCCCGTGGTGCTGGCGCTGCCTGCTCTCCCTGCCATCGTCCAGCTCCTCGTTCTGCCCTGGTTTCCCGAGAGCCCCAGATACCTCCTCATCACCCGCAAGGAGCCGAAGGAGGCGCTCAAAGGTAGAAACGGCACGTTCGAGACACGTCGTCATGGTCGTCGTCACTGTCACCATCATCTTCATCGACATCGTTGTCATCATCATAAACGTCACTGTCACCGTCATCGTCGTCACCGTCATCGTGGTCACCGTCATCGTCATCACCATTGTTATCATCACCTTCACCGTTGTCATCATCATTATCATTGTCACCGCCCTCTTCTCTGCACCACCTCCGTTGATGCTTTGCGTGTGGCATCTGGACATGGGAACTCACCCCGCCAGTGCATGGTGATCATTCATCATCATGCGGGTCGTGGAACAATCGAAGCGCTGTGAATTCGTAATATCATCTCGTTTATTATCATTCTATCTCTGTTTCATTCACTCTATTTTAGCCTTGTTACAATTTGAATTAAGCACGTGACGATTATCATGATGATGGCGATGGTGCAATCCATCAGTTCGGATCGATGCTCAACGAGGAATCGATGGATTGTGACGACACTGCTAAACGCATCCACGAGTCGAGGCCCAGAAGCTGCCACCCCCCCTTGGTGGGGTGGTGGGGGTGGGGGCTGTGACTCTCCAGCCCAGGGCTCATAGTGAACCCAGTTGGGGGTGGACATGGGGTGGACACTACCTCCACAGCTTAGTTTCCTTCCAACCCCCGAGGGCCAGCTCGTTTCAGATGCTGGCCACCAGATTAAAACTATCAAGTATTTTTTTTTACCAGGTAAGGCCGACTGAGCTTTTAGCTAGTTTACAGAAGCAACCTGGCCACACATGACAGCTTAACTAAGTGGCTTATAGTTGTTGTGGTGCAAATTACGACTCTGAAGCAGATCTTCTGTAAGGGCTTAGGCCAGCTGTTTATTAGGGGCTTACGCCGGGTATTTATTAAGGGATTAGAATTCTTCCCCAGGGGTAGGGGTCCTACACGAGGTCCTTCACCCGGACCCTCACTCTGTCTGTTCTTTAGCTCGGCTAGCTCCCGGGCATTCTCCTCTGCGTCGGCCGGGGGATCATCCAACACTGACCGACCGAGGAGAGCAGCCACTCCTATCGCTACCACCGGCTTCTCTCCAGACTCTGTGAGCCCTACCGCTGGTTCACTCTTCCACTGTTCACCTTCCCGGGCTCCCACAACGACCCCGCTTTTGTCACAGGCTCCACCTTAAGTACCCAGAGGAGACATGACGTCATCGCCCCGCCCAGCGCGCATGACGTCACTTCCCATGACGTCATCGCAACGGAAGGTGCGCACGTCCCCGAACTACTCGTCTACATTACCCCCCCCCCCCCCCCGTGAAAAAAAAATCAGCCGACGTGGCTGTAACCAATACGAAAGCGGAGCCCGGAAACCCGGACAGGAAGACATCAACAGAACACTGATAGTAACCATGTGACGTGTGTGTGAAGGCGGGACCGTCTGCAAAACATGAACACAACATTAGGGCAGCACGGTATAAAAAAATAGAATAAAGTTTGAAGGCCTTCATCACACGGGACAACGTGGAACTGGGAGACAATGAAAACGGCCCCACTGGCCGTCACCGGAGCCGCATGCCCCTCGAGCGCGTATGTGCCGCAGGCCCACTCCCCCATGCGGCATCGGTTGCCGGCACAGGCGGCATGCCAGCAGGCGACAGGCCCATCGCCGGGGCATCCGACGGACGAGGCGTCGCCGCAGGTGTTACTGGCGAGGGCTCTGCAGGCGCACACACAGGCCGGACATCGCTCCTGCCATCACTATCCGTGCGGCCCGGCGTGTCGGGCGCATCGATCACCGGCCGCTCAGGAAGTGGAGGTGAATCCATGAGGCTAGGTGGCACATATCGTTTGAGCCGGGTACGGGTGTACTACCCAGTGCCGGCGACCTAATATGAACACATTGCGGCCGACGGACTTCCACGACCTCAACAGGGCCCTGCCAAAGGCGATGCAATTTAGGCGACGTGCCAACTGGTACTTGGGGGCAGTGTAGCCACGCCTTCTGGCCCGTTTTCCATGGAAGGCCGGCAGCTTGGTGATTGGGCAGGCGCTCGTTAGCCGCCTGCCAGCTGGTCGAATTATCCACAGCCGCCTGCCATGCCTCGCGCAGCCGGTCGTGCGTGACTTTCATTAGAGCGGGCACTGACAACCCCTTTTTGGAAGTCCCTATGTCCATTTGGACGTGCATCTGGGGCTCCGGTTCCCTTCCATACATTAAATAAAAAGGCGAGAACCCCGTTGAGGCATGAGGAGCCAACCTTTACGCGGCCAAAACCCCCGGAACGAACAGATCCCAGTCCAATTGGGACGTATTCACGTGGTGGCACAGTATGGACGTGAGGGTGCGATTCAACCACTCTCCCATCCCGTAGGAATGAGGGTGGTAGGGCGAGGTGCGGTTTTTCTTGGTGCCAAGGAGATCGCACACTTCCTTGAGCAACCGGGAAGAAAAATTCAGCCCTTGGTCAGTTAACAGTTGTTCAGGCACACCCTTGTCCAGAACGTACCCTTGTACGAACGCCTCGGTGATGGAAGAGGCCGATTGGCCCACCAGAGGCCACACCATAGGCCAACGTGTGAGGTACTCGACTCCCACCAAGAGGTACCTATGGCCCCATTGGGATGCTGGGAATGGGCCTAAAATGTCGAGTGCCACGAGCTCATTGACACGAGAAACCCGGATGGACTGGCCAACTGGGGCCTTCCTCCACGCAGAGTCGTGGCAACCTTTCAAAACCAGTGCCACATTACCCTCCACACCCGGCCAGTAGTAGTCCCGTTTAAGGGTTAACAAGGTCTTATTGTAGCCAAGGTGCATAAGTTTCTCGTGAATGGCTCGATCTATTTACCTCGCAGGGCAGTGGGTACAACCACACAGTGACGTTCCAATTGGGCATCCCAACGCATGAGGAAGCCGTCATGCACAGCGACCACCGGGGCAGCCGACGGAGCTGAGCTCCGGGCATTTGGCCCAACACGGCGTTGTAGCCTCAGCAGAGAGGAATCCTCCATCTGCAACTTGGACCATACCTCTCGGGGGAGTCCTAGGCCAAAATCAACAGGCAACACCACACCCGGAGGGGGGCCGCTTCGGCCGATGCAACCAACTGGGCCGCGGTGTCCACTGGGGTCCTGCAGCGACTTGAACCAAGGGCACAAGCGCATCCACCCTCAGTAGGCAACCTGGGCAGCCCATCAGCATTACCATGCTGTGCCCCCTTTCTGTGGATGACGTCTAAGGGGTATTCCTGCAGCACCTCGAGCCAGTGGGACAGCTGACCCGAGGGCTGGTCAATCCGCAGTGAATATTGCAGGGCCGCATGGTCCGTCCGGACGGTAAACCGCCTGCCATACAAATAAGGCCAATACAGCTGCACAAATAATACTATGGCAAGCAGCTCCCTCCGGGTCACACAATACCGCTGTTTAGCAGGGGACAAAACTCGGCTGCCATAGGCCACAACTCTCTCAACCACATCGACCACCTGAGCCAGGACTGCCCCGATGCACGTGCCGCTGGAATCGGTGTCGAGAAGGAAAGGTTTGGAGAAAGGCAGGGATCCTCCTCTATGCCCCAGCAAAACTTTTGACCTTTGGCGGAGAGTGCGTGCAGTGGCTTCGCTATCGTCGCAAAATCGCGCACAAACCGACGATAATACGATCCGAAGCCGACAAAGCTACGCACCTCAGCGACAGATGTGGGAGTCGGCCATGTCCGGACACAAGCTGTCTTTTCCGAATCCGTGGCGACACCTGATGCACTAACAATATGTCCCAAATACTTCACCGATGGTTGTAACAAATTACATTTCTGGGGTTTAAACTTCAAGCCCGCAGCACGCACTTTGACGAACACTGACTCAAGACATTGCAAGTGCTCGTCAAACGTATGGCCGAAAACGATAACGTCGTCCAAGTAAACAAAACAAGACTCCCGCTGTAGCCCCGCCAAGAACATCTCCATGAGATGCTGGAAGGTGGCCGGGGCCGAATGGAGACCCATAGGAAGCCGTTTATATTGGAACAGCCCCTGGGGTGTGCGGAACGGGGATTTGGGTCTACGAGCCTCGTCCAGTGGCAATTGCCAGAAGCCTGAGAGCAAGTCTAGGGTCGAAAAGAACCGCGCACCCGAGAGGGCGTCCAGGGAATCATCCATGCGAGGCAATGGATATGCATTAGCCACCGAGATCTTGTTTAATTTACAGAAATCGACGCAAAACCGGAGACTCCCAGCCCGTTTCTTGACTAGCACAATGGGGGCACCCCAAGGGCTAGTGGATGGGGAGATAATGTCCGCTGCCAACATCTCGTCGACGGCCAAGCGGACATGCTCTTTTTCCGCCGGGCTGAAGCGGTGCGAATTTAGCCGAATAGGGGCCGAATCGCCCGTGTCTGTGTGATGTTCCAAAAGAGTGGTGTGACCAAGATTAAATTTACTCTGACTAAACACATCGGTGAACCTCTCGATGAGTTTGCGGAGCCGCTGGTGCTCCTCGGAGGATAACGAGACATTCTCGTTACACAGCGCATCGACCCACGATGCGTCGGTCCTCCCCTCGTGCATCACGCCCGCCACAACCTCTCCAGCCGTCCTAGCGTCATCGGGTGGAGGGCCTGGGGTTGCGTGTGCCAAAACGGCGCCGGCCGGAACCACGATCGGCGAGGGCCCCGTATTGAGGACCTGCAAAAAGGAGTCCTGGCCCTCCGACACGGCCGTCAAGGCGCCTACCAACCCGTTCATACTCATAAAGTAATTGGAGGGAGACAAAAGGATGCCCATCTCCGGGGACCCCAATTTCAGGGGTCTGCACAGCCTGAGGGGTAGCAGGATTTGTGACCCCGGCAGAACGGTCACGGACACCTTATTCAGGGCCCGCACACTGGCGGCAAGGGGGGACAGAACTGTGGGAGACTGCAGGAAGTGCAACCGACCCCCCGATGGCATTTCCACACAACCCTGGTCCACGAGAATCCGAATGGGCATCTTGGCCAGAAAGTCAGTCCCCAAGAGACATGGCACTGCCCAATCTGCCGCCATTTGCGGCAACACAAGCTCCCTGAACCAGCCGTAATGGACCAACGTTGTGTGGCAACAACTGAAAAATGCACTCGGATATAATAGTGGCGGACGCCCCCGTGTCCACCAAAACCTGCACTTCGACCCCCTGCACGTACCCAGCCACCGCTGAGGACCCGGCAGCGGCCGCCACAACCCGATGCACAAGCGCATCCCATTGGCGAATCCGCCTAGGCCACCCGGCAGATGGCAACAAGTGCGCAGGGGGTGAACCCAATCCCCCAGGGATGACCCTGCGATGATGGACCCCAACCCCGCTAGATGCGTGAGGTGAGCGGCCGTGTGATCGATGCGTCGCGACTCGCCTGGGGCCCAGTAGCCGATGCTGACGTGGTGCCGAGGGAAGGCGGAGAGGCCCTGTTTAAGGCCCCAGGAGCGTTGCGGCAGCCCCGCTCGATGTGGCCCTACTGACCACAGTGGAAGCAGGCCACGGTTGCGGAGCCTTGCGGGTGAGGAGGTCCCGCCCGCCATCGCTGCTCCGGCCGGCGACCTCCAGCGCCCCTCCCGCGGCGGTCGGCCACCGCCAGGGCCGCGAGGGCGTCCTCCCCGTGAGGTGCGGCCACCCCCGCAGGCGCTGGGACTCCCGCGCACGCCGCCACCCCGGGCGACTGTCGCAGGGCGAGGTGGGCCTGTATATTTTGCGCCACCTTTAATGATGTAATCTGGCCTTCCTCGGCGATGGATAAGGCGATCCCGAGCTCACGCGCAAGGGAGAACAATCGTTCCAGGTCTAGTGAGTCCAGTGCCTTGCCTTCAAGGTCGGGGTAGGCAGCCTGTGCCAGCGCCAGCAGGGAGCAGCGGAAAATGAGTGGTGGCTCCCCCTCCTCCCACCGCCGCAGTGAAAATTTCAGGCGCGTGCTGGACGGTGGCTCGAACACCGCAGCCATCCGTTGGTAATCCACAGGAAGCGACGCCCTTTCCGCTGGGGGAATTGATTTAAATGCCTGCAGCGCCCTGCCATCCAGGCATGTAGGGAGCGCCTGAAGAGCCTCCTCCATAGGCCAGCCCACCGATGCGTACGCTGCATCGAAGCGTTCCTGAAATGCCAGCCAGTCGTCCCCTGTCGCAATGAACGGGCGGACAGGTGGCAACCGACGTAGATGCTGGCCGCCCGACATGAGCCCCAGTGAGGACGCGCACACGGGCACACCCGACGGTGTCGCTAAGGGCGCAGCAGCGACGCCGGGTTGCCGAGCCGCGTCAGCACCGGCGCCCAGCTGCGGAGTCGCGGCAGCAACAGCGGCGGAATGCGGAGTCGCGGCGGCACCGGCGGCGGTGTGCGGAGTCGTGCCGGCACCGGTGGCGGTGTGCGGAGTCGCGGCGGCAATGGCGGCAATTTGCGGAGTCGCAGCAGTAATGGCGCCCGGTTGCGGCGTCGCGGAAAAAATGGCGTCCGATGGCGGCGGCGCAGTCAAAATGGCGGCCAACTCCCGCGGCGCGCCCGTTTGAAAAATGGCGCCAATTTCCAATGATGCGAGAGCCAAAATGGCGGGAAACTGCCGCTCCCGCTCCAAAACCGTGTCGGGTGCGCGCGTTCTCACCCCCACCTCGGCCACTGTGACGGCGAGCTGCGCGACCGTCCGCAGGAGCAGCTCTAGCTGGCCCAAGAGGACACTTCATGTGTCCGGCGGCGGCGCGCAGGCACCCACGGCCGTCCCCTCCTCCTGCTCCGGGCGGCTCGGCTCCCCGGGGCGCATTACCAGGGCCACAGTCTCCAAGGGGTCGCTGTGGGATCCTCCTCCGCGCTGTCGTCGTCCTCGGAATGCACCGCAAGTGGGTTTTGCGTCTCGAACCTGACTTTGACATGGCAGAGAGCACTGTAGACACTTCTGGCACCAGTTGTTGTGGTGCAAATGACGACTCTGAGGCAGATCTTCTGTAAGGTTACGCCAGCTGTTTATTAGGGGCTTACGCCAGGTATTTATAAAGGGATTAAAATTCTTCCCCAGGGTTAGGGGGCCTACACTAGGTCCTTCACCCAGACCCTCACTCTGTCTGTTCCTTAGCTCAGCTAGCTCCTGGGCTCTCTCCTCTGTGTCGGCCGGGGGATCAGCCAACACCAACCGACCGAGGAGAGCAGCCACTCCTATCGCTAATGCCGGCTTTTCTCCAGACTCCGTGAGCCCTACCCCTGGTTTACTCTTCCACCGTTTACCTTCCAGGGCTCCCACAACGACCCCGCTTTCGTCACGGGCTCCACCTTAAGTACCCAGAAAAGACATGACGTCATCGCCCCGCCCAGAACGCATGACGTCATTTCCCATGACGTCATCGCACCGGAAGGTGCGCGTGATGTAACTTCCCCAAACTACACCTCTACGTCATCATGTGGAAATTTAAAGTAGCAGCCGAATAATCTAAACATGCATTGATTTTAAATGTGGAGGGAATAACCGGAGGACCTGGAGAAAAACAGCAAGCGTCCGGGTCGGGATCGATCCCACGACCTCCTCTATACCAGGCGAGGTAGTAAACATCTTGCCACCGTGGCATCAGTGTCGGTCGTGAGTGACGTCGACTGTGCCCCTCAGCCCTCCGCTGGCTCCGACGGCGCTCTGTGAGCCTGCAGAGCCTGAAGCTGGAGCTGGATGCGATGGACGCTGAGCAGAGCCACGCGGGGTCAGGCGTCGCGCGCACCGGGATGCTGGAGGTGCTGCGCGAGCGCTCCTCCCGCCGGCAGCTCGTCGTGGTAGTGACGCTCAACATCACCCAGCAGCTGAGCGGCATCAACGCGGTGAGCGGGAGGGGGAGCGGGAGGGGGAAGGGGAGAGAGAATGGGAAGGTGAGGGGGAATGGGAGGGTAAGCGGGAGGGGCGAGGGGGGAGTGGGAGAGGCGAGGGGGGGAGCGGGAGGGGAGGGTGGGGGCGTTGTGATGCCACGCTTGGCGTAATCGATGGACGCAGCATCAGTGGCTAAGCATCGAATCGCGTTGCGTGAGACTCGGTCTTCATGACATCCACACTCTTCATCAGGGGCGGTTTCTTCATTAGGGCAATTGGGCGACGCACCACCAATGTCATTCAACCACAGAGTCACGCTAGCCGTCACTGTGCAGCCTCTGGATATAGTCCAATCAGCGTCATGTCACGTTCTGTGGAGTACCGCCTCTTTTGGGGCGATTTCACTCCGGCTGAGAATCGCCCCGAGTGGCCCCATAGACTTACATTGAAAGATGTTTTTTTCTAACGGGGGCGCTCCAATGCATTATCTATGGCTTCCGGGAGGGCGAGCCCTAACGTGCTTACGTCATCATACGTGCTAACGTCATCATACGTAAGCACGTTTCATCCAACAATATAATTTATCGCTACCTAGTGGAATCTTTAATAAAATAAACTTGAGTGGTTTGTTTTAATAGTGAGTATATAAACAAACAAGATGTATTGTAAGAGTCACTTTATTTTGCATTAATATTAAAGAAGTGAAGTTGCCTTTACACGCTTAAGCTGTTAATTTATTCATTGCATGGGTGGACCTTATCCTTATCAATCATCCAGACATTTGCCCCCCCTGAGAGATTTTGCAGGAGCCGCCACTGCTCTTCATCCACCACGAGGTTTAACACAAATCTCTATTGTATCTGGTGTTTCACGGTGACACACTGCCTGGGACCGTGACGAGGCGAGCCACATCATCAGGGGTGCCTCGGTGGCGATATGTTTACTCCCTCGACTGGCATGCAGAAGGTTGTGTACTATGCGTACGATTTGCATATGTAATTATTAATTGATGCCTACACTCATGATTTAATGCATGTATGTAACTTCTTTCACACCCATACGTAGCCAACCGTGCCAATCGGAGGTGCGGGGGAAAGGACAACAAACGGATGGACGTGTGATCAGCAAGCAACATTTCTGTTTTAATGGACATTCGCCAAATGTTGGGACGTCGCGGGCCGGACTTGGCTACCACATTGACTCCCCCGCCCGCTCCTTGCCCTCCCTGTGTGTGTCCGGTCTGTTCTATTCAGATCTACTTCTACTCCATCTACATCTTCAAAGAGGCAGAGATCGCAGAGGAGTACATTCCCTACGTGACACTGGGAACCGGAGCGGCGGAAATCCTGACCGCCGTGACCTGCGTGAGTGGACACCTAGCCTGGCGCGGAGCGGGCCTCACACTCCTCCTCCTTCTCTCTCCCACCTCCTCACCCCCGCCTCCCGGCCACCACCTCCCCGACATCCTCAGCCACGCACTCAATGCGCTTCCTTGGGACTATCTGCACCCCTCCACTGAAATAAACTCCCCCTGTACATTAAGCAGCACTCCCCCTAAACCCAACACTGCACGTAGACTCAACACTGCCTGTAGACTCAACACTGCCTGTAAATTCAACGCTTCACATAGACTCAACGCTACCCCTAAACCCAACGCTGCCCAAAGACTCAACACTGCCCGTAAACTCAACACTGCCCACAGACTCAACACTGCCCCCTGTACATTAAGCAGTACTCCCCTCCCCCTCTTTAACCTCGTTCCTCTCATAAAACTTTCCTATCTTAAAACGTCACCTCTTCTCTATCGGGCCATTCCCTTCCTCTTTCCTTCCCTCGCCCCTCCAGCCCTTGCCTCCCCTACCCTGTTGTATGTATGTTGAAAATCTTTTGCACCATACGTAGCCAACCACATGAATCGGAGGTGTGGGGGAAGGACAACAAATTAACAAAAAAAGCAGTTCTAAAAAAATGAGTTTCCAATTTAGATTTAAAAGTGCATAGCTCTAGTGGCTTCCTAATATCAGAGGAAGAGCGTTCCAGGCGGCCGCAGAAGCGCATCTGAAAGTGGGCAATGCAGTGATCGTCTTTGTTCGATATCTAACCAATACTGCTGCGAGGATGACCAGAGTTCGTGTGATGGTTAATGCTCCTTTTCGAGATCAGCGAGGTATTGTGGTTCATTTGTGGCAAGCACTTTGTGGGTAATCAGTGCAACCTCATAATAATGTATTCGTTTGGCAGCCGGAAGCCAATGCAGCTCGGCAAGCACTGGACGGACATAGTCGGATCTTGCAGTACCCATCAAGGCACCTGCCAAATAATTTTCTACACGCTGCAGCTTAGTAATGTTTTTTGGCAGCCGTTCTGCTTTCCAAAATGCAGTGCAGAAATTGTCATTCACCTGCCTCTCTCTTCGCCGCTCCCCATCCCCACGTGTCTGCCTCTGCCAGGGAATGATCATTGATTGGCTGGGACGTCGCCCCCTGCTGATCGCTGGCTACTCCCTCATGGGCCTGTGCTGCATTTTGATCACCATTGGACTGGCGTTACAGGTCCGACCCGTTGATCTTTCTTTCTTCCCCCACCGGCCGCACTGTAGTGCGAGGGAGTGGTCGGTGTGTCCCGTGCATTCCGACTGATGTATGTTTAAGTTCTTTCACACCGTCCGTAGCCATCCGTCCTAATCGGAGGTGCGGTAATGGCCTTCATGGGAGATCGCAAACAGCACTGCGTCGTTTTTTACAGATCGTTGTGATGTGCTCTTTGGGCGAGCTGGAAGGCCATGGCGTAACGTTTATCTGAAGCGCTACCGGATGTGCCGAGGGGCGGCGGCGGTGGCAGCAGCAGCGGCGGTGGTGGTGGTGGCGATGGCGGTGGTGGCGGCTATGGCAGTGGTGGTGGCGCAGTGGCGGCGATGGTGGTGGTGGTGGCGTGGTTGTGGTGATGGCGGTGATGGTGGTGGTGGCGACAGTGGTGGTGGCGGTGTGGTTATGCCAGTGGTTTTACATGAAACGCGGCTCTGCTGAAGGCTGGGACACCCCGGCGTGCGTCTCAACGCGTTTAGTTCGTCTCCTGGTTTAATACAGGAGACGACAATGACAACAACAATAACAACGAGCATGCACTTGCAGATGTAATTATCTGCTCGTTCCTTCAACGTCAAAAATGTAAACTCGACGTCAACAATGGACCGCGGATCTCAACTCGTCGCGAGGAATGAGTTGACCGTGTGGGTCGAGTTGTGGATGATCGCCGATCACGCGAACGACTCTTTGGCGGCGACAGCGATACCTGTGATCAAGCGTGGTAGCCGGCAGCCGATCGCTCGAGAGGCGACCCAGGCGGCGTTGAGGGTGGGCCTGGTCGGCAGGCAGTCGCGGTGGTCACCTCTGGAGAATCGCAAAGCCCTCCATCGCAGCCAAGAGCTTTGCGGTCCCCAACCGTTTGCTATAGATCTAGGAGTCACTTGCGTGTGATGGCAGCAGCAATGATGATGATAATGTTCAGGAGTTCGATGCCAATGTGGAGGTCCTCTGCTGCCGCCGCTGCCGCCGCCGCCGCTGCTGCTGCTGGCCGCGCCGAGAGGGCTTCAGCAGAGAGAGAGCTCGTGTCGTGTCGCTGTTTCTCCTCCTCCGGTGATGCAACACAGACCACAGTGGGTTCACTGTGTGGTCCGTAGTCTGGGTTGCACGGCCATAATCGCACTCCTGTGGCCTTGTGCCTTTAATATATCTCTACGAGTTCCTATGTATCTCTATGGTTCTCTTTGTGTTTCTTTGTATCGATATGCTTCTCTTTGTGTCTCTATGGGTCTCTATGGGTGTATTCTGTCTCTATGGGTCTCTATGGGTGTATTGTGTCTCTATGGGTCTCTATGGGTGTGTTGTGTTGTCCAAAATTTGGGTTGCATGGCCACAATGGCACAACTGCAGCTGTGTCTTTAATTTTCCATTCATGAAGGAGAATGCGATGCAGCATCGGCCTGCTACCGATGTTCTTATGCGTTTGACGGTTCCACCACCGGTGCCTTCGAGAAATGTCAAAACTAGGAGGTGCAATGTTTGGGTGCGGAATGAGATGTCTTTTAATGAGGTGTTTGTTATCCCGGACGTGCCACTGCGTTCGCCAGCAGCGTTCTTCCTGATCTGCGTGGTGAGATCCTAGGATGGTGGCAACAGCGGCAGCGCGATCCCAGAGGGTATGGGATCGGCACTTGAGTTGACTGCGGCCAGGAACACTGGTTGAGGTCTTTCTTGATGACGGAGCAGGTGGTTTGTCGTTTGGCACAAAAGCGCGAAGACGACTCCCTTGCAGCGTGGGCGCGATGTCTCCTGCGGGTGTTTGGTGGCAGAATGTTCGTCAGAACGGGGAAGCCCCCCAGGGGGGCGCGGTGTGACGACTGGCGAAGGCGGGTTTAATGGTTATTTAAATGATGACGATGACTGGAACTCTCTCCGGAGTTTTTAACTCAGGAAATATGACGCAACTGCAATCGCGCGTCACCGTGCGGAACCTCCCGTTGTTTCCCCCCCCCTCCCTCCCTTAGAAGCGTGTCCCGGCTCTGTCGTACTTCAGCATCGCCATCGTGTTTGCCTACATCCTGAGCTTCGGAATCGGCCCCGGTGAGTTCGACACGTTGTGCCGCAGTGGGGGGGATGGGGGCAGTGGGGGCGGTGGGGTGGGGAGGGCAGTGGTGGGGGGGTGGCAGATCGGCCTCCCCCCGAGCCGGCAGCAGAGTGAACCAGGGGAGTGAACTTGGGCTGAAACCACAGCTCCCTTTAAAACCTCGAATATCGTTTAAAGAACCAGACTGCTGATGAGACCTAGCCGGTTGAAAGTAGAGCAACGTTTGCTTCCATCATGCGTTGTCGTGAAATGTTGATTCAAAAACGCCAGGAGGCTGACGATGCTGGACTAGTAACGCGACGTTGTATGGAGGCACGAACTCTTGTCTGCTGCTTTAAACTAACCTAAAAACTAAACTAAAGAATGTTTCATTTTAGCAGGTAAGACCCACGGAGCTATGTAGTCATTTTTCAGAAGTGACCCGGCCACAAATGATAGCTCAACGAAGTGGCTTATCGTGTGGACATTTATTGAAAACAAATGCTCTAAACGCACGTTAATTCTTAACGTGGAGGGAAAAACCGGAGGACCCGGAGAAAAATCCACGCAACCATGGGGAGAACATGCAAACTCCAAATATACAGCAGGCGTCAGGGTCAGGATCGAACCCACAACCTCCTGTATACCAGGCGAGGTAGTTAACATCTCGCCACTGCGACACGACGGATGTCTGCTGCTTGACACATCGCCCACAACGCCGCTCCGCAGTTGGATGGGATGAATCGCAGCTTCGTGTGAGACGCTGTGAGCGATGCACGACGGTTGATGCGCTGGGTAACCGTCGTGAAACCTCAATGCCCTGGGCCCACCCCCCCCCACCCCACGGGGAAGGTGGCATCCTGAACGTCCTGCCGGCTGAGCTCTTCTCCCATCACGCGCGCCCCACCGCCTACTCCATCGCCGGATGCGTCAACTGGTTGAGCTTCTTCGTCATCGGCATCATCTTCCCCTTCCTTGTGGTCAGTGCTGCTCCCTGCTCCCCCTCCCTCCCTTCCTCTCTCCCTGCTCCCCCTCCCTCCCTCCCCACCCCTCCCTCCTGCCGGTGTTGCTCCCCCTCCTCGCGTGCGGCATTGAGACAGCGACCGGCAGAGCAGCGCGGCCGTGGTGTCGCGAAGCGACGGACAAGCCTCGCGTCTCTCACGGTCGTCGTCTCCTTGAGTCTCGGGTCGCCACTCGGCCGTCATGCTCGGTTCAGTTTCACACCACCCCCGCCCCGCTGACTTGAAGCTCTCCGCAGTGACCGTCGTCTTTGCCTTCGCCATCATCGGCTGTGACCGTGTGGGTTTGAGGATTTGAGACAGCTGCCACGTGATGAAGTGAGGGCACCCTGCAAGTGGAAAGATGAATGAAGCTGGATGTACACCCCCCCCCCCCCACTTCACTGCTGATCTCCGTGTCCCCTTGTCTCCACGTGAGAGTGAGATGGTTAAGAGATGTTAACTAGCTCGCTGGGTATGCAGGAGATCGTGGGTTCGTTCCCGACTCTGACGCCTGCTGTATATTTGTAGTTTGCATGTCCCTATCCCTGTGGTCACGTGGATTTTTCTCCGAGTCCTCTGGTTTCTCCGGTTTTTCCCTCCACATTTAGAATCAACGTGCGTTGAGAGCAGTGGTTCTTAACCTTTACTGCAGCCTGCACCCCTTTGGTTCTCAGGGCATCTCGCACTCCCAGGGGGTGCATGCACCCCAGGTTAAGAACCAATGGTTTCGAGTATTTGGCTGCTATCAACTTCAACGTGATAAGTCGCTTCCGTTGAGCTATCATTCGCGATAGCCGGGTCCGCTTCTGAAAAAAGAGCTGAACAGAGCAGTGAGGCCTTATCTGGTAAAATAAACAAATAGTAAAAAAAAGTTTAGTTTAGTTCAGAGGGTGAGTGAAGCCGGATACACAAATCAATCCGCTGGCTGTGCTGCCACCGTACCCTGGGCAAGCCAGGAGATGGCAACCTTCATGCTTTGTTGGTGGAACGAGCATCGACGTTGTGTATATGTACGGACGGGGACTCCTTCACTTACGAACTTCGACTTATGAAACTTTCAGAGATACGAACAAACCTGTCCGTATGTCCAGTTGCCTGTTTGGAGCGAGAGTCGTAAGTTCAACGATTGCGCAATAGATGGTGGTGGTGGCGTCTACATCTGCAGGACGCGAAGAACCAGTGGCATCCACATCTACAGGAGATTATACAACTTTTAAAGCCTTTCCCCGTGTTTAGTGAACATGCCATACAACTTGTTTGGAATCGACAGGAGTAAAGTTGGACTTACGAACAAATCGACTTACGAACAGACCTGGAACCTCACTCGTTCTTAAATAGAGGAGTCCCTTTACAGTTGCTCATCGATTATCCGGCTTCCAACATCCGGCGGTCCAGGGCCGATCCGACAAAACCGCTCCAGTCCGGCAATCGGCACCATGTGCATGTGACAGAAAAGCATCTATGCTTGATTTCAGTTTTAAATATTATATACGGTACATTATACACTACATACAACGATGAAAATACTGCACGTATATAAATCACCCCATGCAGAGTCTTTGAGATTGAAGTATTAGGTACAAACCTGTGAACCCCTTATCAGTGCCCTACCTTAATACACCCTGTGCCCTTATACATTTCAACGTTCATCCTACAAAGTCCCATCACAAGGGAGAAACACAAAAAAATAGAAAAATAAATTTGGCCGTATGGACCTGAGAACTCAATTTCCCTGTACAAGAATACGGGTTAACCGTATGGGTTAATAGGTATGTAATTACTCTTTGGTTCTTTCGGTAAAGTCACGTAGGTATAAAATAAAAAATAAATTAAATCACAACGTTTCGGAAGCAACACAAGCGTCCCTCATCAGGTGGGAAAGCCACAGCAAGAAACATTGCTGTAGTGGGCAAAAGAGCTGCTTGTGACAAGAGATTATATAAGGTAAGAGGGGGGGAAGAGCCAGGGAGGAAAGATGGAGAGGGTGGGGGGGGGAGTGGCGATCTGCCGACTGAGCAATTGACTCTGCTAGTGCGACACAATGCCGGAGCTGGGCAATGAGAGGGCCTGGGGGTAGAAGGCTGAAGAAAATGGAGATGCGGATATAAAAGCAAAATATAAAGCCATTAGGATTTTACCTGGTTAATAACATCCTTCCAATGATTTCTCAATTTGAATCCATCTTCTCTGTTGAAGTTATGTCTGTGTTTATATATCTGGATGGCTTCATGAACAAACCTTTGATAGTAGCCTGACGGTTTGCAGAGTACCTTGGTCTCGGAAAAGACAATATCATGAGAGCCCACAGCGTTGTAGCAATGATCAGCCACGGCGGAAGAGTTAGTTCTGCCGTGTTTCAGATCTACCTTGTGCTTGTGAATACGGTCCGATCAATGTCGTTTCGATTCCCCAATGTAACAATCACCACAAGTGCAACTCAGTTTGTAGACTCCAGGGTATTGCATGTCAGGAATGATATCCTTTACGGATGGGATAAGATCACGGATTTTGTGTACTGTACTGAATCGGACCTGGATCTTGTGTTTGTTTAAGATTTTGGAAATCTTTTTGGTAATGCCTGCTATGTATGGTAACGTCATGGTTTTGATCGGAGTCTCAGGGGGTTGTTTCTCCATGGTTGGAGGAACAGCTTTGTGGATAATACGGTCCGAATATCCATTCATCTTCAGGGCCTGGTGTACGTGTTCCAATTCACTGGCTAGGTGGTGTTGGTCAGAAATGCAGTGGGCCCTATGGTGTAGTGTTTTGATGAGGGAATTCTTCTGTGCCGGATGGTGGTGGGAATCAGGTTTCAGATAGGAATCTGTGTGGGTGGCTTACCTGTAGACAGAGTGTCCCAAAGAGCCATCAGATTTCTTCTCAAACAGAACATCCAGAAATGGTAGCTTACCATCCTTCTCCACTTCCATGGTGAATTTGATGGATGGGTGTATGGAGTTAATGTGGTTGAGAAATTGGTTCAATGCTGGCAGGCCATGTGGCCAAATGACGAAAGTGTCATCCACATATCTCTTCCACAGGGAAGGACGTAGGGTGGATGTCTGGATGGCATCTGTTTCAAATTTCTCCAACCCCCTGAGACTCCGATCAAAACCATCACGCTACCATACATAGCAGGCATTACCAAAAAGATTTCCAAAATCTTAAACAAACACAAGATCCAGGTCCAATTCAGTACAGTACACAAAATCTGTAATCTAATTCCATCCGTAAAGGATGCCATTCCTGACAAGCAATACCCTGGAGTCTACAAACTGAGTTGCACTTGTGGTGTTTGTTACATTAGGGAAACGAAACGACATATATCGGACCGTATTCGCGAGCCCAAGGCAGATCTGAAACACGGCAGAACTAACTCTTCCAACGTGGCAGATCATTGCTACAACGCTGTGGGCTCTCATGATATTGTCTTTTCCGAGACCAAGGTACTCTGCAAACCGTCAGGCTACTATCAAAGGTTTGTTCATGAAGCCATCCAGATATATAAACACAGACATAACTTCAACAGAGAAGATGGATTCAAATTGAGAAATCATTGGAAGGATGTTATTAACCAGGTAAAATCCTAATGGCTTTATATTTTGCTTTTATATCCGCATCTCCATTTTCTTCAGCCTTCTACCCCCAGGCCCTCTCATTGCCCAGCTCCGGCATTGTGTCGCACTAGCAGAGTCAATTGCTCAGTCGGCAGATCGCCACTCCCCCCCCCACCCTCTCCATCTTTCCTCCCTGGCTCTTCCCCCCCTCTTACCTTATATAATCTCTTGTCACAAGCAGCTCTTTTGCCCACTACTGCAAGTTTGTTTCTTGATGTGGCTTTCCCACCTGATGACAGACGCTTGTGTTGCTTCCGAAACGTCGTGATTTATTTTATTTTTTATTTTATTTTAAACCTACGTGACTTTACCGAAAGAACCAAAGAGTATGGATCATTGCAGTCACGAAAACTTCAAATCTAGAGAGGTATGTAATTACGGTACAGTAAATACAGTTTTTTTTAAAGTAGGATATTTATTTTTGTCTTTGTCTTATTCATGTCAATTTCATATCGTAAACATTTAAAACATAAAAAAAACATTTAACACCTAAAAATCAAATGTCATACAATAATGTGAAAAAATAATCTATTTTAAATATAGATGAGTCGCAATTATCCGGCGTTTTTGAAAAGCCATCGCCACCTTCCCCCCCCGAAGCCACCGGATAATCGATTATCTACCGTACCTTGAACGTCTCGCGTGAGCGCGTGAGACTGGCAGGCGAGGGGTGTCTCTCAAAAACTAAAATCTTTTTTTATTTCACCAGGTAAGCGATGTAGTCGCTCTTCTTCAGCAGCGACCCAGCTATCACAAATGACAGCACCTAAATGAGGTGGCTTATCATCATCACGTGGAAATTTATAGCAGCAGCCAAATGCTCTGAATGCGTGATGTTGATTATAAATGGAGGGAAAAAACCAGAGGACCCGGATAAAAAATGCCACAAGTGAACCACAATACCTTGCTGATCTCGTCAAAGACCAGAAACCATCATCACGCGAAGCCCGATCATCGTCGCAAGCAGCGGTGGCTTCTGGCTGGCCGTCAAACAAAGACGGTGGTCGCCGCAGCGCGTGGCGCTTTCGAATGCGCTTCTGCGGCCGTCTGGAACGCTCTTCCTTCCGATATTAGGAAACCATTGGAGCTGTGCATTTTTAGATCATCTAGATTGACAAACTCATTTCTTTAGAACTGCTTTTTGCATTTAGTTTGTTGTCCTTACCCCCACACCTCCAATTAGTGCGTTTGGCTACGTACGGTGCGAAAGAGGTTCAACATACAGTTCATACAACCCAAGATACACATTAATATTCCTCCTACACTTATTTAACCCAGGAAGGCCTCACTGGATCTCAAGATTATCTTTTTTTATCAGGTTCCTGCCACGTTTTTGCAGTAAGGGGCGATGTTGTTGCAGCTGCTACTTCTGTGTAATTTGCGGGCAATTTTTCACCATTGGGATATTTGTCCAATGCATTGCGCGTGTGGTTGCTTGAGCTGTGGGAGAACATCCGGATTCCACACACGCGCACACTCACACAATAGACGAAGATAAAGATCCACCGTGTAGCCTTGAACAGACTTGTGGGGCAAGTGCTGTTAATCCCCCCCCACATCGCTCAAAAAGTGCTCACAAGCGACGCCATCACATCTACGCCTCTATTTAAGGAACGAAACAGGAGGATTTCTCCACAAATCTGGCTATCGCCTGATTAAGCTAGTTGTAATTACTGGCGAAACGTCGTACTCAGATTGTAAATGTTGTGGCTTTCCTCCCCAACACACCGGTGTGCTGCTGTACTAGTCACAAATTGGCACTTTCTGTTTACGTGACAAACCTTGCGAATTGGCTGTGTCGGGTGGTGGCAGGTTTAACGACACATTTATATATTTACGCGATCTAACCCAACAAAACGATATTATGGAGGTGCTGTTTGTTCGTGCGCAACTATGAAGACCAGTATGGCACATAAACGGGTGGATGGCCAACACCATGCCCGGCCGCCTTTGTCTCCTCAGTGGCGGTTCAGATAATCGTCACCGGTGTTGGTGGCCGTGGGCGGGAATCGAACTCGGGTCGCACACTTACTCTCTCTCACACTCTGTTAAACGGGGAGAACGTACGAATCGCACACGGCCAGTCGTCGTTGATTAGACGTGTGTGCGTGTGTTCTGGGAACGGTGACGCAGTGGTTAGCACACTGTGCTCTGAAACCGGTGACCCAAGTTCGATTCCCATGTCACGGCCAACATGAGTGACGATTTTCTTAATCTATCCTGGGCCTCTCGTAGGTCAAATCAGCCTGAAATGAGTACCTGGTGCAGTGTGTAAACACCGCCACTGGGAAGACAAAGGTGGCCGGGCATGGTACTGACTACCCATCCCCTCGTACGCAGTGCTGGCCTTCGTAGGCGGTGCTCACTAACAGCACTTGCCCCAACAGTCTGTTAAGACTATACGGGTGATCTTTGTCTTTGTTTGGGGAGCCGTAGTGTAACGGTTAGCCGTCCTGCTCACGGCCAATACCGGTGACGATTATCGGAACCGCTCTTGGGCCTCCCCAAGGTGGACTTAGCCTCAAATGAGTACCTGGTGTGGTGTGTAAACATCGCCACTAGGGAGACAAATGCTGTCGGGCACCTAATGCTGTCAGACAACTATGAAGGCTGCCGTGCCAGCCTTCATTGGTGCTCGGTAACGGCACTTGCCCCCAACATTCAGTTCATGCTACGCGGGTGGGTGGACCTTTGTGTCTTTGTTCTCCCCCAGAGGGCTACAGGGCCCTACTGCTTCATCCTGTTCCTGGCGAACAGCGTGGCCGGCGGGCTGCTCGTCTGCTGCCTCCTCCCCGAGACCAAGAACCGCTCCTTCCTGGAAGTGACGGAACTCTTTGACGCGAGGAGGAGCAACTGCTACGGGATGCTGGGCACCGCGGCGACGAGCGGCAATGAGCAGAGCTTGGTCACATTACCCGAGGCAGGTCTTCGTCGCACGTCGGTACCGACTGCCGAGGAGTGGGGGGGGGGGAGACCCCCGTCTCCCGGTGTGGGGGGGGGGGGGGGTTCGTCCACCGGGGGTTTTGAGGCTAGCGACGGCCGCCCCTTCGAAGGAAACCTTCGCCGCCCGAGTCTCCATTGGCGACGCTCGCGCCTCCACAAGCTAGACGGCGCCTGGGTTTGGTTTCTGATGCCCGGGGGGGGTGGTCGCGCCTTTCTTGCTTGGAGATTCTTTGTTCTCCCCCCCACCTCGTTCCACGTGGGGTTTCTCTGGTTTCCTCCCGTAGCTGAGTACCCACTGGGTGCAACTGGCATTGACCAAACCGCATCCCAATGCTGGGAAAGAGTCAACTGCAAGTTGCTCAGTTGGGATCACAGCAGCATCAGCATCAAGGACCAACGTTGTCCCCACTACTGTGAAAAACTCAGAATCAGAATCTTTATTTGTACTGGAGGAATACGATGAGCTATAAAGCTCTTTGTCACAGATGTCCCCCGTAGGTGCGGGTCAGAAGGTCACTTGGCAGAACCCTCCTGAAAAAGAGTCTCGAGATTCGGAGGATTCATTTTCATTCTTGGATAACCCATTGGCAACATCGTTGGGATCATTAGAGACCATTTATTTCTCCCCACTGCTGTATGAAGAAGGCATCCTCACCGTTTGGTTCACGTGGAGTTTCATCCTTGAGACTCTGCTGAGTAAGCGAGGAGGGGCATCGCTGCGATCGTCTCTTTATGGTGGCCTGGCCTTCCATACTGCTGATGCTGTTGTGAGCACAATCCCGGCGCTGGCCAAAGGTTAACGCCACTCGGCCTGTTTGTTCAGGGATTCACTTGGCAAGGACAGAGACGGGGTGGGGGTGCTGATGGGGGGGGGGGGGGGGTGGTGGGGGTGATGTTTAGTGGTTCGGGGGAGCGGTGGGGTAGCGGTTATCGTGCTGCGCCACGACCCCGGCGAGCACGGTTCGATTTCCCGCTCACAGCCAACACTTGTAGCGATTATCTAAACCGGCCCTGGGCCTCCCCTAGGTTGACTCTGCCTCAAATGAGTACCTGATCTGGTGTTTAAACATCGCCACATGGGAGACAAAGGCGGCCGGGCGTGGTGCTGGCCACCCACCCCCTCGTGTGCCGTGCCGGCCTTCATTGGTGGTCGCTAACAGCACTTGCCCCAAGGCGACATGGGGGGGACCTTTGTCTTTCATGTTGATCGTGGTACTGTTGTTGTTGACAGGACTTAACTTCTCACTGAATATGTTGCAGGTTCCTTGGGAGCCTGCTGTGTAAGCACTCGGCCATAGCGACAGGTCTACTGGATGCGTTGAAATTTTTTCAGGGTCTCAGGCGCAGACATGCCTGGCTCAGACCATGCCATCGGGGTGGAGTGGTGGCACTGTGGTTCACGCGCCACGCCACAAACCCAGCGACCCCAAGTTCGGGCTCCTGACCACGACGGCTCATCAGTAGCGAGTGATATTCGTACCGGTCCAGTCAATGTCTCCTCCTCATCATCATCACCATCAGCGCTCCATTCCTTCGATACCATTCCTGGGCTGTTCTCGCCCACCGCCCCCGTCATCCTCCGTAGTGGCGGCCTCCTCACCAAGCCCCCACTCGCATCCCCCAAACAGCTGGAATGAAGCCCTTCACGTTGCTGCGTGCGCACTCCAAGCGGAGAGTTCCTCTATCGCCATTCCGCTTAATTTCTGTTAAAGCGCCCTCCGTCAATTCCGCCACTCGCGATTGTTAGGTTTTTGTTTTTGTTGCTGCTGTTGTTCATATTTGGTGTGACGACGTTGTTTTGTTGTGTGCCTCCCCTAGGTCGCCTCGGCCTTACATAGATGAGGGCGTGCTCGGGACACGATGCTGTGGCCGCACCCCCCGCCCCCTCCCCCCATTCCTGCCCTGCGGCCGGTCTTAAGTAGTCACTCACGGACAGCTCGCGGACAGCTCGCGTGTCCGTCTCGACAGCGGCCCGCTGGCTCGGGGAGGTCGGAGCGCTGAGCCGGCGCTGTTGAGAAGCCTGAGTTCATACCCGGGTGGGTGGCATCCGCCTGCCCTAAAAGCGCATCGTGAAGTCACTCCGCGATAGCAACACAAAATAAAATAAATGTAAACAAACGTCGCAAGGCATTGGCTGCTGCGCTCAATCTGCACGGAACGTCGGTGACACCGCACGTGGGTGTCACCACTCGACGTCGGTGGCACCGCATGTGACACCACACGTGACACCGCTGGACGTGGGTGACACCGCTGGACGAGAGTGCGAGGACTCCCAATCGGTTGTCTGTCATCACGTGACGCTGGTGCCACGTTCGGGATGGAGCTGCACGCACCCCGCCTGCACGGGGGGGGGGAGGCGGCGTCTCCGAGTGGCCGAGCCGAGTGCAGCATTCCCCTCCGTTTACCTCACCTGTGCGCAGGTGTGGCCTGGTGGGAGGGGGTGGAGGGGAGGGGTAAGGTGGGTGGGAGGGAGGGGGTGAGGGAAGTGTAATGCCACGTGAGTTGACTGTGACACTTGCTAACACTCCGCGTGGAGGGGGGTGAGTGGGGGTGGTTGACTCGGGGTGGGGGCGACTCGGGGTGGGCGCCGTGCGTCGCACTCGATGCAAGATGCGTCAGGGATTGTTGTTCGGTGTTCACAGCTGCACGTGTTGTTTCACGTTTCGCAACTGCACTTCCCCCTCCCCACCTCTCCTCCCCAACTCCCCTCCCCACCTCCCCTCCCCCTCCCCCACCATCCCACGAGGGGAGGGGGGCGCGGGGGTCGGCGACCTGCGGCTTCAGAGCCGCACGCGGCCCTTTCAGGACTGCGCTTCGTGACGTAGTTTTTTATTTTGATGAAGAAACCACCGCGTCTCGTATTCACATTGCGTTTGCGCCTCCGATGAGCGAGCAGGGTTGGCTACGTACGGCGCGGAAAAAGTTCAACGTACGGTGTGTACACACATGGCGGCTCTTTAAATATTGAGAGGGGGGGGGGATTTTTTACCGAATAAAAATCAAATAGATTCCTTTTGTTTTGGTTGCCGACCCCTGACCTCGGGGGTTACCTCTGGTGGGGGTGTAATTGGATCGTGCCCGGCGTGGGCACGACAACGAGGCTACGTGCGAGACGTGGGATCCGTGGGTGACACGGCGGCTGACGTGGCACCGTGCTGTGCCCGGCCCTGATTCGCCCCACCCCCCCGGGGAAGTGGGATTCGGGGCCGGGTGCGTTCCGCAGTGGGCGCTCCCAACCCCCCCCCCCCCCCCACTCTGGGCTGTGCCCCCCCCCCTACTCTGGGCTGTGCCCCCCCCTTCTCCCCTCGCGATCAGCTGAGCAGAGTTTGGCTGGCACAGCCTGGCAGCCCTCGCCATACGTCACCTGAAAAAGAAGCTCCCACCCTCGTGAATAATCTCACGACGTCACTCGCTCCGAGTAGTCGATCCTCTCTCTGCCTGCCACGAGTTACCGCCTCTGGGCACTTTCATCGAACCGCTCCTTCCAGTTTGTTCACTTTGCGATACGAGCGCAGCACAACCCCTCCCCCCGCCGCCACCAATGTGTAGGTGCGTGTATGCATGCTGAACTTCGTTCGCACCGTTCGTATTAGAATGCAGTGTTCATACTGGAGGAATCCGATGAGCTATCAAGCTCTTTTTTCACAGATGTCCGGTAGCGAACCGCGCTCGTTCGGAGTTGTATGGTTGGTTGCTTGGGATCGAGGCAGTCGGCGAGCACCTGTTGGTGTCGAAACATCGCCGGAGCTTGGGAAGTGGCCAGCAAATCGTACCTACCACGCCTGTTTGATGGCCAGCTGTTGGCTGGCCATCAAACAAAGGCGGTCACGGCATCGCGCGCGAGCTCAGATGCGCTTCTGCGGCCGTCTGGAACGCTCTTCCTTCCGATATTAGGAAGCCACTGGGCACCACCGATTTGCACGGTTGGCTACGTACGGTGCGAACGAAGTTCAACATAATGTACACATAATCGGGAGAGTAATCAATTGCTTAAATGCTCGTTACGTGCCAGCTGTAAACAGGAACACGTGGGCGGCAAACTAGCATTGGGTCTCACGATTTCGAGTGTTCGGGGGTTAGAAACTGGAATTTCGTGTTTTTACTGGCGGCGCCCGCCGATCGTGGGTCCCTGTTCTGGGTCCTTTAGCAAACGAGTCTCTCGAGAAGTGGTTCTTCACCCGGGGGAGTGCGCGCACTCCCCCGGGGGTGCGCGCACTCCCCCGGCGGTGCGCGCACTCCCCCGGGGGTGCGCGCACTCCAACCGTGTTCTTGAACATCGGGCAGATCTGAAACACGATAGGACCATTACCTCGGCCGTGGCTGATCACTGTTTTAATGCGGTGGACTCACACGAATTTGATTTCTCTAAGACGAAGGTACTCTGCAAACCCACTGGCTATCAACAAAGATTCGTTCATGAAGCCATCCATATATACAGACACAGACACAATTTCAACCGAGAAGATGGGTACAAACTGAGCAATCATTGGAAGGACGTTATTAACCAGTTTAAGTCATTACTGGCTGTGATGTTCCCATCCTGCCACCTTCCAAAGTCAGTTATTTTTGGCTCTGATTTTACATTAACAGGTCAAATTTCTCACACTAACACAGCCACCTCGCGCGCCGACCTCGTGGTTGCTGCTCTGCGATCTCCCATTAACACGCTAATCTCTCACATTAACACGCTAATCTCTCACATTAACATGCTAATCTCTCACATTAACATGCTAATCTCTCACAATAGCATGCTAACCTCTCCCATTAACACGCTAATCTCTCCCATTAACATGCTAATCTCTCACATTAACACGCTAATCTCTCACATTAACATGCTAATCTCTCACATGAACATAGCCACCTCAGCGCGCTCGCCGTGGAGGCCGCTCAACGATCTTACATTAACATGCTAATGTTTTACCTGGCAGCCCTTTGATTGGTGGAAAACCCTCTATCGTCGCGGTCGCTGCCCACACTTACATTAACATCAGCTGCCCCGCCCACCACTCACATTAACATCAGCTGCCCCGCCCACCACTCACATGAACATCAGCTGCCCCGCCCACCACTCACATGAACATCAGCTGCCCCGCCCACCACTCACATGAACATCAGCTGCCCCGCCCACCACTCACATTAACATCAGCTGCCCCGCCCACCACTGACATTTACATCAGCTGCCCCGCCCACCACTCACATTAACATCAGCTGCCCCGCCCACCACTCACATGAACATCAGCTGCCCCGCCCACCACTCACATTAACATTAGCTGCCCCGCCCACCACTCACATGAACATCAGCTGCCCCGCCCACCACTCACATTAACATCAGCTGCCCCGCCCACCACTCACATTAACATCAGCTGCCCCGCCCACCACTCACATGAACATCAGCTGCCCCGCCCATGCTGCTGACATCTGGCCCACGCCCATTTCAAACCTTTATAATCAGTTTGCCTTAAGAAGCTGACCCCCTTTTCCTGATGACGACCGCTTGTGTTGCGATCGAAACGTAGCTTTTCGTTATTTTCTTTGAACCTATCTACGTGACTTTACCGAAAGACCCAAATAATACAAACACTTTGTTTCATAAAATCCCTGTGAATTTATTAACATTATACATAGTTGTTTTACGATTGAGAACCAAATGGGTGCAATGCTGCAGTAAAGGTTAAGAACCACTGCTCTGGAGGGGACTCCCAGACCTCAGGGCTCTGAGATAATTAAACGTGAAGCGGTTGGAGCGATTGATGATTCTCCACTCAATGATTCACTCTCCAGTCACTTGCTGACTGCCGGGTCTCCGCTGTTCCTCTCTTCTCATCGCTGCTACCATGGTGGCTGCAGCCTGTGCACTTAACTCGTTGATTCCTCCTCCCACGTTGAAGTAATTGATCGTAACTAAGGCAAAGATCTCCCGTATAGCCTTAACAGACCGTTAGGGGCAAGTGATGTTAGTGAGCACCTATGAAAGCCGGCACGGCACACGAGGGCCAGCATCACGCCCGACTGCCTTTGTATCCCGAGTGACGATGTTTACACACCACACCGGGTACTCATTTGAGGCCGGTTCAGATAATGGGCACGGATGTTGGTGGCCGTGAGCGGGAATCGAAATCGGGTCGCCGGGGTTCATAGCGCAGCGCGCTAACCGCTGCCCTGCCTCTCATAACACACTCATCCACTCATTCATCCATCCACTCACTCATCCATCCACTCACCCATCCATCCACTCACCCACCCACCCACTCACCCACCCACCCACCCACTCACCCACCCACCCACCCACTCACCCACCCACCCACGCACTCACCCACTCACCCGCCACACTGCAGGTCACGTCTGCTTCTTCCCTCGCACTGCTCCACTTTGTGAATTCTCTCCTCCCATCACGGCCTCTTTTCCCCATCTCTGATAATAATAATAATAATAACCTCGTAAACAACTCGTATTATCTATTACAACTGTGATAGTGCTGCGTGTTGCTGGCCGCTTGACACTCCGGACCTTTGTTCCAAACCCCTTTTAATAAATAAAATAATCATAAGCTATTGTTGGGTTCCCCTTCTTTCGATCGGACATTCCAGTAAGATGAGAGAAGAGATGGAATCGAGCTGTCGAGAGATTATAAAAATGTGAACACAAATAGCGACGGTATTGAGATTAGAGATTCAGATTAGACAAATATGTCGGGAGATGACAGAAGAGATAATAGACAAGGGTAGAGATGTAGAGGGACAAAGAGAGACAAACTAGACAAAAATGTAACTCAACTAATGTATGTCACCAAGTAAAGTGCACTGATCTATTATTGGCTGTTGTTCAGAGGCGACCTCGCCAGCAAACATGACAAGCGCGTCATCGCAGCGGCTGATTTCCTCATCCACACACGTGGGGAATTTATAGCAGCAGCCAAATCATCCGAACGCGAGTTGATTCCCAATGTGTAGGCAGTGCAAAAGCGGACCACGGGGAGCGAGAGACACGCAAACTCCAAATATACAGTAGGTGTAAGGGTTGGGATTGAACCCACGACCTCCTGTATACCGGGCGAGGTGGTTAACATCTCCGAGCCACCGTGGGATCGAGGGAGGTAGCTGTGTGACATCCACTCCCGCGTGCCCCGTTCTCTGAACACACGGAGCGGGGTCCCACTGCTCTGAGATTCCTCGGCTCGTGGCGGGGACGCCGGCAGCGGCGCCATCGCCACTGCGAGAGGAAGAGGCGTCGGGACGACTCCTCGGACAGCTCCGAGCAGCCACCCCAAGACGCGTCCTGCCCAAGTCGCACAACGTGAATGGCTGTTGCGTCTCATCCACGTGTACACAACGACCACATGTGCAGTGGACACCGACGGGGCTATCTGCCCATGGATCCACCCGCTCCTCTTTCTGTTTCTCAGTGGAGTGACCAAGCGCTGTCGCTGCCCCCCCCCCCCCCCCACCATTCCTTGCGCACTTTTCAGTTGTTGCATCGTTTCCATTCCTTGCAAACTTTAGACTTCCTTAACGTGCTCACCACCGAGATGTCACAACAGATCGGACACACCATAACAATAACGAGGGTGAAGATTCAATCTCCTTGCTCCGCCAATTGGGGTTTGGCCAGGAGACGTCATAAACGCTACGATCCCGGTGACCCGAGTTCGATTCCTGGCTCACGGCCACCTACACCAGGTGACGATCACCTGAACCGGTCCTGGGCCTCCCTTAGGTCGAATCGGCCTCAAATGAGAACCTGTTGCGGTGTATAAACATCACCACTGGGGAAATAAAGGAGGCCGGGCGTGGTGCTGCCCATCTACCCCCTCGTGCACCGTGTCAGCCTTCATAGCTGCTCGCTACCAGCACTTGCCTGTCAAAACTCGATATAGGGGGATCTTTGTATGCGGAGTGGCGCGCGGTCGCGTAGCGGTGAGCACACTGCGCTACAAACCCAGCGACCCGCGTTTGATTCCCGGTTCACGGCGAATATCTGAATCGGTACTGGACACCTCGTGGCACTGGCCAATCAGCTACCCCTTCCATAGTGGTGCTCGCTATCAGCACTTGCCCCAAGTCGTTTATGGCTATAAGGGTGGTTAATGTCCGTGCTGCCTGTACACATGTTTACTGTGTACAAAATATCGCGAACCGGGCAGGTAGAGGTCACAGCCGAGAGAATGCCGATGTCCTTTCAGAGTCCGCGCTGCTCCAATCCACTCAGAGCCAGATCCATTGGAAGCCACGCACACTCGAGCATGCCACCACGAGCTCGCACCACCCACACCCCGGGTCTGGTTCTAACCGACTGCTGCTGCTTCTGTTGACGGGGTGGTGGGCAGACAGTATCATCATCAGCATCATCACCATGATCAATCCACTGCTGGATGAAAGCATCCCCAAGCCGCGATTGATGATATGTTGTCTCCATCGCCTGGTGTGGAGGAACCGTGGGTTCGATCCCGACCCGGATGCCTTTCATGTCTCTCTCCGTGGTAGTGTGGCTTTATCTCCGTGGTGGCCTCCAGTTTTTCCCCTCCACCTTTAACATCAACATCACGCGTTTCGAGCATTTCCGCACGTGATAAGCCACTTCGTTGAGCTGTTATTTCTGGGCAGCTCGCTTCTGCAAAGAAAAAGAGCTATTCAGTAGAGCTCAGTTGGCCTACTTACCTGGTAAATCGAAGTTTCGTTTAGTTTTCAAGTCGTTGCCACACGAGGCCGATTCCAACGACTGGGCCAGTCCTCTGGGACGTGTTCCATCTCCTGGCTGCCATTTCGTCATCACCCTCGACCAACCTGCCCAAGCCACGCTCACTCCTTGTTCACGGTTGTGTTGCGGTGGAGCGGTGCCCCGTTGGTCTGCACGCGTCTCTCCAATCCGCCCCTCAACTCTCTCCTCTTTCCAGCGGCTCTCAAGTGCAGCTGTTGATCCACGCGCGCTTCTTTTGCGCACTTTTCAGACAGTGTCCAGTGCTCCGATTTCCCCCCGCCACCCTCGCACCTCCGATTAGCACGGTTGTCTACGTACGGTGCGAATGAAGTTCAACATACATACGTAGATGCACACAGAAACCTATTGACTCAGAGAGACCCATAAACTCACGAAGAGACCCACAGACTCACAAAGAGACCCATAGACTCACACAGAGACCCATAGACTCACAGGGGCCCATAGACTCACACAGACCCATAGACTCACACAGAGACCCATAGACTCACACAGAGACCCATAGACTCACAGGGGCCCATGGACTCACACGGAGACCCATAGACTCACACGGAGACCCATAGACTCACACGGAGACCCATAGACTCACACGGAGACCCATAGACTCACACGGAGACCCATAGACTCACACGGAGACCCATAGACTCACACAGACCCATAGACTCACACAGAGACCCATAGACTCACAGGGGCCCATGGACTCACACAAAGACCCATAGACTCACACAGACCCATAGACTCACACAGAGACCCATAGACTCACACAGAGACCCATAGACTCACACAGACCCATGGACTCACACAAAGACCCATAGACTCACACAGACCCATGGACTCACACAGAGACCCATAGACTCACACAGAGACCCATAGACTCACACAGGGGCCCATGGACTCACACAGAGACCCATAGACTCACACATAGACCCATAAACTCACACGAAGACCCATAGACTCACACAAGACCCATAGACTCACACAGAGACCCATAGACTCACACAGAGACCCATAGACTCACACAGACCCATAAACTCACACAGAGACCCATGGACTCACACAGAGACCCACAGACTCACAGAGACCCACACACTCACACAGATACCCATAGACTCACACAGAGACCCATAGTTTGTTGTATTTCCCCCGCTCCTCCGATTTGCAGGGTTGGCTACGTACGTTGGTAAAGGCGTTCAACATACACGACCCGGCAGTCAATAACTACACGTTACATCTGCAAGCTCGCAGCAGCAGCAGCAGCTTTGTGCGACGCTCGCGCGCGCCCACACACAGGAATATCCACATTGCAGGCGATGGCGTTGAGCAAGTGTTTGAGGTGTTTAGAAAAGTGTGGTTAGTGAGCACTTGTCGTGGTCGCCATGAACATGAGCAGGTTGGTTAGAGAGGTCAGAATCACACGCCCCTGTCGTCTTTGTCTCCCCCCCCTACCTCCCACAGCGATGTGCATGGTGCTGACGCCGACTAAGCCAACACGCGCATGTATACACAAAGACAAAGACCCCCCGTGTAGCCTTCAACAGACACACGAGGGGTTCAAGTGGCCAGCACAACGCCCGGTCGTTTGTCTCCCTTGTGGGGATGTTTCCCATTTGAGGCTGAGTCGACCTAGGGGAGGGCCCAGGACCGGTTCAGATAATCGTCACTGGTGTGTTGGCCGTGAGCGGAAATCCAACTCGTACGGCCGGGTTCGTAGACAAACGCGACACGACCCCCCGACCTGTTCGCCTTGTGGCGTTCTCTGCCCTGACGCATGCGAGACTCGGCTCTGAAGAGGCCGTCTCTGGTGTCGACCAACCAGCTTCAGACACAAAGCACTCATCACACCAGAGCGGGTTTAGTTTGCAAGTTCACCACAAGTATGTGCGGTTAATGCAGACATGATTCCTTGCGATAGGTTTCTATTTGGTGTTTGAACATCTTAACACCTCCTGTTTTATTGCTGTTCTTATTTTATAATACTTTGGAACTGGCAAAAAAAAGGTCCCATGTCGCTACACTACCACTCCCCCAAATACCCGGACCTTACACATTCACAGACACGCGTGCACACGTATTTAAATCCGTACACACCCAACACATACCGAAATACACTCTCGCAAATATCAAAGGCGCTCACCAAACACACCCTACACACCCTAAATATGTAAACACGCACACACACAGAAATAGACATCACCCAAAAAACACTTACACACAAATATGCAAACACACCCAAACACAAGGAGCCACCGCATAGCCTTTGCAGAATGTCGGGCAAGTGATGTTACGAAGCAACTATGAAAGTCAACGTGGCACACGAAGGTGCCGGTGGCTGGCGCTACGCGCGGCCACCCGTCTCCCGAGTGGTGGTGGTGTTCGCACTGCGCACCAGACACTCGTTCAAGGCGGCCGAGTCGGCCGAAAGGAGGCCAAGAACTGGTTCAGGTAATTCTAGATTTGAAGCTTTCGTGACTGCAAGGATTCATACTCTTAGGTTTTTTCGGTAAAGTCACGTAGGTAAAAAATAAAATAAATAATAAATAATAGAAAAACCTAAGAGTCTGGTTCAAGTAATCGCCACCAATGTTGGCCGTGAGCGGGAATCGAACTTGGGTGGCGGGGTTCGTAGCACAGCGCGCTAACCACTGCGCCACCGCTCCTCCCCAATACTGTATACACACTCTTCCCTCCACACAAAGACACCCCATATTGCCTTCACAGACTGTTGGGACAAGTGCTGTTGGCGAGCACCGGTGGAGGCAGGCAGGCCCACGATGGGGGCAGGACCACGCCCGGCTGCCTTCATCTCTGCAGTGGCGAATATATTTGTGTTTTACCAGGTAAAGCCGACTGAGCTATAAGAGGTCTTTTTTTAAGAAGCGACCTGGCCACAAATGACAGCTGAGCGAAGTGGCTTATCACGTGGAAATGTATTGCAGCCAAAAACTATAAACGCATGTTTCTAAATGTGGAGGGGAAAACCGGAGGACCCGGAGGCAAAAATCCACGTGAATACGGAGAGAGAGAGAGACACGCAAACTCCAAATATACAGCAGCAGGCGTCAGGGTCGGGATCGAACCCATGACCACCTGTACACCAGGCGAGGTAGTCAACATCTCCTAGCCACCGTGGCGCCCAGTGCCTGATGCGATGTTTACACATCGCACTAGGCACTGATTTTTGGGCGATTAGATTTATAACCATAATATACGCACAAAAAGACAAAGCTCCCCCGTATAGACTTAACAGACTGTAGGGGCAAGTGCTGTTAGCGAGCAGCTATGAAGGCCGGAACGGTATACAAAGGGGGTGGGTGGCCAGCACCACGCACGACCGCCTTTGTCTCCCCAGTGGCGATGTTTACACATCGCACCAGGTACTCATTTGAGGCTGAGTCGACCTAGGGGAGGCCCAGGACCGGTTAAAATAATCGTCACCGGTGTTGGCCGTGAGCGGGAATCGAACCCGCGTCGCCAGGTTCATTAGCGCAGCACGCTAACGGCTACACTACCGCTCCCCACTCGCACACACAAAAGCCTCTCACCCCCCCACCCACCAACACAGCCACGCGTCTTCACAAGCGACCCAGTGACCCACATCCAGTGATGAAGGCATCCCCCTTCTACACACACACACAACCTCTTAGAACACAAAACAACATCGACTCGGGGAGCTTAAGGCAGCGGTTCTTAACCTTTACTGCAGCCTGCACACATTTTGTTCTCAATCGTTAAAACATGTGCGATGTTAATAAATACATAGGGTTTGATGAAACAAAGTACGTGTCCCGTGCTGAATTTGTGTTTTCGATTATTGACCTTCTTTAAAAAAAAACCTGCCCACGTCTCGCGATCCCCAGAAAGGGCATCTCACACCACCAGGTTAAGAAGAACCACTGGGCGGCTTAGGGTGCTGCCGTGGCGCCTATCCCCACGCCAGTTCGCGCAGCTGTTGAGCTTTCGGGTACTGCCGAGGGGCCGGCACCGCCGCCTCCAAAATGTTTTTTTTTTATACGAGAACCACCACCCTGCCACGGCTCGCTTTGTTTGGTCCACCGAGTTCGCGAACGGCGAGGGGCGATGAAATCGTACAACACAAGATCACCGATCGGAGGTTTGCCCACGCGGATTCGTTGATCGAGATTAATTGAATCGAGTCCCACTTCAGTCGATTCAGGGTTAATCTTAATTTACGGGTTAATCAATTTACGGGTTAATCACTGTTGTCAATTCATTGGCAATCGATCCATCGACCGAGTAATGATGCGACACGACCTTTATTTGATTGGCTAATATCAGCAAAGATCGATGATTCCGTCGGTCCGATTTCATCGTTACCGCAGCGTCCCCAGGGGCAGGCGGGCGGCCGCTCTTCCCTTCCCACCCTGCCCCTCGCTACGGCACCTGCATGCAGTAAGTGACAGCAGCAATGTTGTTTTGCCAACTCGAGTTTTGTAGAGTTTGAAGTTGGTCCCTTGGGCTTCGGAATGACGTGATTTCCCTCTCGAAGGTGTGGCAAGTCCTCCCCCCACACTCAAACTAAAAACCACACGTCCCCCCCCCCGTTTTTGCTTGAGATGCGGCATCGTCCCAGACATGTGTGGAGTAGCCAATGTCACTCCATGTCAGGGTCTTTAGGCTAGGCGAGTCTGGATAAATAAACGACATCACGATGGCGGTGGTTATTGCAGGAACCCGCTTCTGCTGTGGAGTTAGGGATCAGCTTCACCGTTCTTCGCAATCCAGGAGCCGCCGGTTCGATTCCATCCGATCTCCCGGCGCGGCACTGGAGACAATGTGGATTTCGCCTCTTGAATCCCTCTCAGCAATTGTCCGTCCGTTGGCAGGTTTCGTTTGTGGGGGCGGGGGGGGGGGGTAAAGTGGAGGCAACTCACACCTCTGCGAAGACGTAACTGGCCAATGTGGAAGAGTAGACCAAATACCAGCTGGAGGAGCTTCTGCGAGTAAGAAGTCCTTCTGCCAGCAGTCGTGAGAGCAAGTAAATCAGGGCTGCGCCCTTATCTATCCCATTATATTAAATGCTATGCTAGCTAGACCATGGCAACGATTGTCACAACACCCGCTTCGGGTCGTGGTGGTGATGCGCGTAAATGCCCAGCGGATGAGCGTGTGAATTACACCGCGTGTATAATCACAACTTAGCCACAAACACACACACCCTCCGATTTAAATAGTCAATTATATTTCGTTTCAAAAAGAGCTGAACATAGCAGCCCGCTAATGGGTTTACAGAAGTTCACGCGTAAACCTTAACATCCTGTACTACCACGTGTGGTACACATCCTCTACTACCACGTCTGGTACACATCGCGAAAAGAGGAGAGATACACATCTGTGGTTACAGTTCATCTACGAATCGATGAATAACCCGCGAGTGGACCGCTTGAGCCGAGCCTGTGTATGTCGTCAAAGACGGACCTCCCCGTGTAACCTTCGACTGTCGGGGCAAATGCTGTTAACGAGCAGCACCTATGAAGGCCGGCACGGCACACGAGGGTGTGGGTGGGAAGCAGAACCACGCCCGGCCACCTTTGTCTCCCCAGTGGCGATGTTTACACACCGCAGCACCAGGTACCAATTTCTAGCCCAGTCGACCTAGGGGAGGCCCGGGACATGGCTCAAGGCAGTCGGACGCACGCACTCTATTAAACTATTAAAATCTATTTGTATGTTACCAGGTAAGGCCCACCGAGCTATACAGCTGTTTTCAGCAGCAACCTGCTCTCACACATTGATAGTTCAACCACGTGGCCTATTGCATGGAAATATGTAGCAGACACTCGAAACGCGTTATGTCGATTCCGAATGTGGCGAGGAAAACCCGGGAGACCCGGAGAAAAATCCACGCGACCACGGGGAGAGAGAGAGACACGCAAACTCCAAATATACAGCAGGCATCGTCAGGGTGGGGATCGAACCCACGACCTCCTGTTCCAGCCAGTAGCGGAACGAGCGTGGGGGGTGCCTTGGCCCCCTTGACGACCGCCATGAGATGGTTTCAACAACAGTGTAAAAGAACAACAACCTGTGTGTGATGATAATGTGATTAGGCAAGATAAGCCGCGACATATAATCGCCTAAGGTGCGACCGTGCGAGACAAATTAAATATTGGAGCTCCACCTGACCGATTTCCGCGACCACGTGGATCGAGAGCGAGGAGCGAGGGAGCGAGGCAGAACACGCAAACTCGAAACGCACAACAACAACAACAAGAGGCATCGCGCGTCAGGGTCGCGACCGAAGCCACGACCACCTGCACACCCATCAGCAGTAGCGCACGAATCTGAGCGTGGTGCTGTTGAGGAGGTCCGCGGGCTCCGGGAAGGCGGCGTCCAGGCAGAAGCCGGCCCGCAGCGCCAGCTGCATCACCTCCTCGGTGAGGGCGCGGACGCTGTCCACGGGGCGCGGGGGGCCGCCGCCCGCCGTGCTGCGCAGCCTGGCGAGGCCCAGGCGCGAGAACTCCCGCGCGGGCAGCCCCCTCGTGTCCCCCGGGGACACCCACTGGAGGCGCATGTGGTAGCGCCGCGGGGGCGCGGAGCCGCGCTCCGACTTGACGGAGGAGGACGACGAGGACGTGGCGGTGGTGGAGGACGTGGCGGCGGTGGACGAGGGGGCGGCGGTGGCGTCGTCACTCCGCGACGCGGCCCCGTCGATCGTCACGCGTCGGCCACCGCCCTCGTCACCGTCGTCCTCCTCCTCCTCGTCGTCGTCGTCGGCACCGTCCTCCTCCTCGTCGTCGTCGTCGTCGCCGCCGGTGCCGACGCGAGCGCACACGCGCAGGTGGGCGCGCAGCACCTTGAAGAAGGTGGGCGCCGTGCAGAAGATGTTGGTGGTGAAGACCTCGAGGCTGCGCGCCACCAGCGTGTAGACCTGCGGCGCCTCGCGCACCGTGTAGTGCACGCTGAGCGCGCGGCGCGCCGTGTCCACGTGCAGCAGCGCGTTGCCGCGGCCGGGGCCCCCCCCGAGGAGGCCGCCCCCCTCGGAGGCCCACGGCGACCCGGAGCGTCCGCGCAGCGCGTCCGCGAGAGGCCCGATCTGGTAGAAGTCCGCCTCGCGCCTCAGCAGCTCCGTCTCGCCGAAGCCGGCGGGCAGGTCGAGGCGTGAGGTGCGCAGGAAGTTGAGGACGTGACGGAAGATCTTCCCGTCGCGGTCGATGAAGAAGCGGCCGTGCGCGTCCTGCGCCGTGGGCATCTTGCCGCTGAACATGGCGGCGAGCATGCTGTCGGGGAAGCGCGTCAGCGTGTCCAGGCTCGTGGTGTACACCGTGCCGCCCACGTTCAGCGTGACCGGCTCGGCCATGGCGGGGGCACGAGGGTCGCCCCAAGCGCCCTCCTCGTCTCCCGTGTCCGCCTCTTCCTCAGACGCCGCGAGGTACAGCGAAGGAGGCTTCCTCCTCCTCCTCCTCCACCAGCTGCCGCCGCCGCTCTCCTCCGCTCGACCTCCTCCTCCGAGCGTCCTCCGCTCTTCTCTCGCCGCCGCCGCCACTCGGCGATGTGGCGGCTCCGCATCGTCCCCGAGGCGGCCGGTTGGGTCGAAGGCGCGGCCGGGCTGGTTCCCGACCGGCCCAGCGGCGACGGGCCCCAGCACGAGCGGTCTCAGCGCGGCCGGACGGGGCCGGCTCCGCTCCGGACTCGCGCGGGGCGACCTCGCGGCGGCGGCGGCGCGGGGTCACCCGAGGCCACGGGGTCACCCGAGGCCACGGGCGGACCTACTCGTGACGGCGCCCGACCCCCACGGCCCGCCCCGTGTCCCGCCTTGGCGTGAGGCTCTCAGGCGCACCGAGCCTGGCACGAGACCCCCGGCGGTGAAGTCGCCGCCGCTTGGCAAGCGAATGGCGGCGTCTGTTGTTGTTGTTTGGTGACCGGCTGCGACCACCCGTGGTCTCTGTGTGTGTCTCGGTGTCTGTGTGTGTCTCAGTGTGTGTCTCAGTGTGTGTCTCAGTGTGTGTCTCAGTGTGTGTCTCAGTGTGTGTCTCAGTGTGTGTCTCAGTGTGTGTCTGTGTGTCGCTGTCTCTTTGTTGGTGTCTCTGAATAGGGAGCGGGCCCCTTTATAGGCGGCCGGAGCGGCCGGGGCCTTCGGAGTCCCCCAGCCGCGCGATGACGTCACCAGCAATCGCAGCCCGGCCTGGGCGGCGCTTGCGGCACGAGAGACATGACGTCACGGCTCAGGGCGCAGACTGACGTCACCAGCAATCGCAGCCCGGCCTGGGCGGCGCTTGCGGCACGAGAGACATGACGTCACGGCTCAGGGCGCAGACTGACGTCACCAGCAATCGCAGCCCGGCCTGGGCGGCGCTTGCGGCACGAGACATGACGTCACGGCTCAGGGCGCAGACTGACGTCACCAGCAATCGCAGCCCGGCCTGGGCGGCGCTTGCGGCACGAGAGACATGACGTCACGGCTCAGGGCGCAGATTGACGTCACAATCACCACTCGGAATTATTGTGACGGAGCATTGCCTGAAATGTCGCTTAAACCATCATCACCATCATCGTCAGTCCTTGCGAGGCTTCGCGGTGGTGACGTGGTAACTCGCTCACCTGGCATGCATGGAAGTCGTGGGTTCGGTTCCCACCCTGGCGCCTGCTGTATTTTATATTTGTAATTTGCGTGTTCTCTCTCTCTCCATGCCCGCTGTATTTTATATTTGTAATTTGCGTGTTCTCTCTCTCTCCATGCCCGCTGTATTTTATATTTGTAATTTGCGTGTTCTCTCGCTCTCCATGCCCGCTGTATTTTATATTTGTAATTTGCGTGTTCTCTCTCTCTCCATGCCCGCTGTATTTTATATTTGTAATTTGCGTGTTCTCTCTCTCTCCATGCCCGCTGTATTTTATATTTGTAATTTGCGTGTTCTCTCTCCATGGGAGCGTGGATTTTTTACCGGTTTATCCCTCCACATTTGTGATCGATGCTGATATCACTTTCCACACGATAAGCCACTTTGTTGAGCTATCATTTGTGGCCAGGTCACTTCTGAGAAAGAGCTGTGTAGCTCAGTGGGTCTTACCTGGTAAAATTATAAAAATATTTCAAAAGTTGATCGTTAGGTTGTACGGTACTTCTATGGTCCCACATCTTTTTCTCCACATTCACCAAGCCGCACTGACAGGCGTGGTGAAGTGCAGTCGAACAACCCCATCGCGACTGACGTGGCGAGGCCCTCATCCAGCAATAGATCGACAGAAGGGCTGTGGTAGTGCGGGGCTCCTTCTAAGACGATTGGCCCAAACATCGCGAGACCCTCCTGACAAGAGGCCTCGAGACTCGGTGAGGCCGCTCGCTCTCTCTCCCGTGACGCCATTCGACCAGAGCAGTTGGCCATTCTGAGCTGGGAGCCAGGGTCCACATTTTGCCAGATTTGGTAAACTTGACTCACAGATTATTAAATTTAGAGAACTCCAATTGCACCATCGACCTCCCGTACTCGAATGCTTATGGCCCCCTTGTAGGTCGGCGCCTCGTTCAAAATCTAAATATGTAGACTGGATGAATCCGATGAGCTCTGCAGCTCTTTTTCGCAGATGTCGAGTTGGGGCACGGGCTCAGTCCGTTACAACAATTAAATAATGCAGAAACACGATAGGGGTGCGAAGTATAGGACATGTAAACAAATCACAAATATATACAAATAAACACAACCTCTTTTTTTACCACACGAAGCCCACGGAGATATATTTTTTTGTCAGAAGCGACCTGGCCACAAATGATAGCTCAGCAAAGTGGCTTATCATCACGTGGACATTTATAGCGAAGGGGGGGAGGGTCCCTAGGCTCCAACCACACCAGAGCGTCAGGAATGATTGCACTGCGGCGCTGTGGTGATGATGAGTAAGACTCATTGACATGCTAGTGGCTGCAAGTGCTATTCCGCGTGACAATACTCACGTACACAGCTGATGCAACCTTAAATAACAACCGTGAGAATCGCGTATCACGGGTTCTGTTCACTAAAAGCCTTGGGCCGTTGAGGCGTGCAGAGTGACCGTGTCATGGGGCTCTCCCCCCGGGGTGGCTAGGAGATGTTGACTACCTCGCCTGATGCCTGTAGATTTGGAGTGTTCATGTTCTTCCCGTGGTCGCGTGGATTTTTCTCGGGGTCCGGTTTGTGGCGACGTCACTTCTAAAAAAGAACTATAGAGCTCAGTGGTCCTTACCCGGTGAAATAAAAACACGTTTTTAGTTCTACTGGAGGAATACGAGGAGCTACAAAGCGATTTTTCACAGATATACAATCTTCACCTGCGCGACCAATGGCTCCCTTGCTGCTGCTGCTCCCGCAGAAGAAACCAAACGGGCAACGAGGACGCCTCTCGATTTGCCTTTATTGTTGAGACCCGCGCATTCTCACGGCGGCCACGCGTTCACAGTCACCGACGCACCTTCGTGTACACACGCGCGCGCGCTCTGCCTTGAGTCCACGCGTTAGACACGTGTCCAAGTGTCATTCGCGCGTGTGCCCCACGTGTTCAATCTGCTGTATACGCGTGCGTCCAGGTGGCTCCTCACGGAGGGTAGGAGGGGGCAGCGGAGGGCAGGAGATGGCCCTCAGTTGGCCGCCATGGTCTGGTCGATCCACGAGCGGAAGTTGGCGACGCGCGCGTACACGCCGGGCTTGTTGGGCTGCGCGCAGCCGTAGCCCCACGACACCACCCCGTGCAGCAGACCCCCGCACACCATGGGTCCCCCGGAGTCTCCCTGCACCGCGGGGGGGGGGGGGGGGCACAGGCGAGACGCACAGGCGAGAACGGGGTGAGCTGTTTGGAACACGCGCGTGCGAATAGGTGAGGCACGGGCGAGAATAGGAGAGACAGAAAGAACATGCAGGTGAGAGTGATGGAGCGTGCGGCTGCGCATCAGCGAGACAGGTAAGAACGGGTGAGACGCACAGATGAGAGGTGAGTTGTAAGGAGCACACAGGTGAGAATAGGTGTGATGTCACAGTGAGAGCAGGTGAGGTGTATGGAGCACACAGGTGAGAGGAACAGGTGAGAATAGGTGAGAGCCAGATGACTGAATAATTGCCGTTGCGTTTCGTCAGCCGTGGCTATGTCATCACCATCATCGCCATCATCATCATCACGATGAGTCTGCACGGAGGGAATGGGTGCGGCAAACTGCGCGAGGCGCTGCATTATCACGGCCATCAGCCAGGCAGCTGAAGGCTTCAATGACCACTCGGGATGGACGCAACGACACATTCAGCTGTCGAGAAACCACTCCGGTGACGGTCATTCAGTCACGTAGCGATTCACTCGTTCACTTAATTATTCACGGAGCAATTCACTCTTTCGCTGAACCTGTCACGTAGCGACTCACTCATTCGTTTAATGAGTCACGTAGCGACTCCTTTGTTTAATCAGTCACGCAGCTACTTTCTGCTGCTGACGAGATTGTCGAAAGCGGCCCATGTGGTTTGCTTGTCTTAAATCAATGCTACTGAACTTACGCACGCCCAGAACACCGTGGCAAGCTGATGGGATGAGTGAAACATACTCATGGAGAGAAACGGTGACGTGAAGGAGACATGGTCTTGCTTATCGAGTGCGTCGTGTGTCGTCTCAGGCTTGTGGCCCACGTCACGAGAGGTAGCGGGGAGCGGTGGTGTAGTGGTTAGCGCTACGCTGCGCTACGAACCCGGCGACCCGAGTTCGATTCGCGCTCACGGCCAACACCGGTGGCGATTATATAAAACCGGTTCTGGGCCTCCCCTAGGTCTCTTCAGCCCCAATCGAGTACCTGGTGTGGTGGGTAAACATCGCCACTGGGGGGGGGGGGAACAAAGGCATGCGGGCGTGCTGCTGGCCACATCACCTCCTCGTGCGCCGTGGCGCCCTTCATCCGTGCTACTCGCTCACAGCACTCGCCCGAACAGTCTGTCCAGGCTACACGGGGGAGGGCGAATTCGTGTTCGTGTGTTGTGACGCAGGTGGAGAGGAGCGCGATGTGCGCCCCCTGGCGGACAGAGCGCGGCGATTCAATCAGAACCCGCGTGGACGTCGAGACCTCGGGTCTCGGCGGGGCTCGGCGGGTCTCGGCAAGCCTGTGCTCTGCGGCGGCGGAGGCGGCGCACGCGGCTCTTGGCGTCTCGAGTTTCGAAAGAATGTCTCTTGTTATTGTTATTTAGAGCCCAGGACTAGAATAACAGACACCTCATTCCAGACGTCAGGATCGCACCTCCTCCTGGGCTTCGACATGTCTCCTCCTCGAAGACGCTGGGTGGTGGAACCACAAACCGCGTCAGAACGTCACGCCTAAGCCCATGATGCTCCACATCTTCGTCACGAATGGAACATTTAAAACACAAGGCCACACGAGTGCGATTGTGGCCATGCAACTCAGACTATGGGCCGCGCAGTTGGGGTGCCATCGTGGCGAGATGTTAACGACCTCTCTTGGCGTACAGAAGGGTTCGTGGGTTCGAAGCCGACCCTGACGCGTGTATATTTGGAGTCTGCATGTTCTCGCTCTCTATGGTCGCGTGGATTTTTCTCCGGGTCCTCCGGTTTTTCCCTCCACATTTAGAATTGACGTCACGCGTTTAGAGTCTTCGGCTGCTATCAATGTCCCACGCGATGATTATAAGCCACCTCGCTGAGCTGGTGTCTGTGTGAGTGTGCGGTGATGACGGCGTCGCTCCGACTGCGACTCCTCACCTGGCAAGAGTCCTTGCCGCCCGCCATGAATCCGGCGCACACCATGTTGGCGGTGATCTCACCGCCGTACGCCGAGCCGGCGTTGCACGTCGTGGTGGAGATGACGGGCACGTCCACGGCCATGAGCTTGTCCGGGTAGGAGCTCCCGGAGGCGCGAGTGTTGCCCCAGCCGGAGACGCGGCACGTGGTGCCGCTGCTCAGCGATGCCCCCTGCGAGGGCAGCCCCACGGTGCCCACGTAGCTGTTGAGGCTGGCGGCGGTCTGGAGCTGCGGGTTCCAGAATGAGGAATGTTTATTTAGACTCGTGGAGGTGGAGGAGGAGGAAGGAATGCGATGAGCTGTGAAGCTCGTTATTTCTCACAGACGTCCAGTTATGGGGCACGGGCGTCATTAAGTTACAATCAGCAAACAACACACAATGGAGAACATGGTAAGCAAGTCACTAAATATAAAAATTAACAATAAATAAATTATACATGTCCGGTTTATCAAGCTTGGGCAAGGCGGAAACACAACAACAACAACACTGTCCCAAATAAGAGCGAGTTAACCCCACACAGCGGTAGATCCCTGGACATCTGCATTGCCGGAGCCCTCACGTGACCCCCACGCGGGGCAGGTTACCTTGATGAGCAGGACGTCGTTGTTCATGGTGTCGGCGTTGTAGCTGGGGTGCGAGATGACCTTGCTGACCTTCAGCACCTGCTCGGTGCCCTGGTTGAGGGACAGGGAGTGCTCACCCAGCACCACGGTCATGGCAGAGGCCCTAGGGGGGAGTGAGCGAGTGAGAGAGGGAGGGGGGGGAGTGAGGGGGAGGGGGAGTGAGAGGGGGAGAGAGAGAGGGGGGGGGGTGAGCGAGTGAGGAGAGGGGGGAGGGGGGGTGAGAGTGTGGAGCGAGGGGGGGGGGGACGTGAGGGAGAGGGGGGTGAGTGAGGGGGAGGGGGGTTGAGAGGGGGAGAAAGAGAGGGGGGGGAGTGAGGGGGAGGGGGGGTGAGAGGGGGGAGAAGAGAGGGGGGGGAGTGAGGGGGAGGGGGGTGTGAGAGGGGGGAGAAAGAGAGGGGGGGGCGTGAGGGGGAGGGGGGGTGAGAGGGGGCGAAAGAGAGGGGGGGGGAGGTGAGGGGGAGGGGGGTGAGAGGGGGAGAAAGAGAGGGGGGGGATGTGAGGGGAGAGGGGGGGTGAGAGGGGGAGAGAGGGGGGGAGGTGAGGGGGAGGGGGGTGAGGGGGGAGAAAGAGAGGGGGGGGGGAGAGTGAGGGGGAGGGGGGGGGTGAGAGGGGGAAAGAGAGGGGGGGGAGTGAGGGGGGAGAGGTGAGGTTGAGAGGGGGTGAGAAGGCGAAAGATGAGGGGGGGGCAGTGAGGGGGAGGGGGGGCGTGAGAGGGGGACGAAAGAGAGGGGGGGTGAGGAGGCGGAGGGGGGTGAGAGGGGGAAGAAAGAGAGAGGGGGCGCGAGTGAGGGAGAGGGGGGGTGATGAGGGAGGAGGAGCAAGAGAGAGGGGGAGCGTGAGGAGGAGGGGGGGGGTGAGAGGGGGGGAGAAGAGGGTGGGGAGTTGAGGGAGAGGGGGGGGTTGAGAGGGGGATGAAGAGAGGGGGGGGGGAGTGAGGGGGGAGGGTGGGGGGGTGAGCGGGGGAGAAGAGAGGGGGGGGGTTGTGAGGGAGGAGGGGGGGTGTGAGAGGGGAGAGAGGGGGGGTGATGAGGGGAGAGAGGAGGGGGTAGTGAGGGGGAGGGGGGTTGAGAGGGGGAAGAAGAACGAGAGGGGGGGAGTGAGTGGGGGATGGGGTGTGAGAGGGGAGAAAGAGAGGGGGGGGGGAGTGAGGGGAGGGAGGTGGGGTTGGAGGGGGGAGGAAAGAGAGGGGGGGGAGTGAGGGGGAGGGGGGGTGAATGAGGGGGAGAAAGAGAGGGGGGGAGTGAGGGGAGGGGGGGTGGGTGAGAGGGGGAGAAGAGAGGGGGGGGAGAGTGAGGGAGGGGGGGTGAGTGGGAGAGAGGGGAACGATGGGGGGGAGTGAGGGATGAGGGGGGGGTGAGAGGGGGAGAGAGGGGGGGGGGGAGTGAGGGGGAGGGGGGGTGAGAGGGGGAGAAAGAGAGGGGGGGGGAGTGAGGGAGAGGGGGGGGTGAGAGGGGGAGAGAGGGGGGGTGTGAGGGAGAGGGGGGGAGTGAGGGGAGGGGGGGTGAGAGGGGGAGAAAGAGAGGGGGGGGGAGTGAGGGGAGGGGGGGTGAGAGGGGGAGAAAGAGAGGGGGGGGAGTGAGGGGAAGGGGGGTGAGATGGGGAGAAAGAGAGGGGGGGGAGTGAGGGAGAGGGGGGGGTGAGAGGGGCGAGAGGGGGGGGGGCGTGGAGGGAAGGGGGGTGAGAGGGGGAGAAAGAGAGGGGGGGGAGTGAGGGAGAGGGGGGGGGGTGAGAGGGGGAGAGAGGGGGGGAGTGAGGGAGAGGGGGGGAGTGAGGGGAGGGGGGTGAGAGGGGGAGAAAGAGAGGGGGGGGAGTGAGGGGGAGGGGGGGTGAGAGGGGGAGAAAGAGAGGGGGGGAGTGAGGGGGAGGGGGGGTGAGAGGGGGAGAAAGAGAGGGGGGGGAGTGAAGGAGAGGGGGGGGTGAGAGGGGGAGAGAGGGGGGGGGAGTGAGGGGGAGGGGGGGTGAGAGGGGGAGAAAGAGAGGGGGGGAGTGAGGGGGAGGGGGGGTGAGAGGGGGAGAAAGAGAGGGGGGGGGAGTGAGGGAGAGGGGGGGTGAGAGGGGGAGAGAGGGGGGGAGTGAGGGAGAGGGGGGGAGTGAGGGGGAGGGGGGGTGAGAGGGGGAGAAAGAGAGGGGGGGGAGTGAGGGGGAGGGGGGGTGAGAGGGGGAGAAAGAGAGGGGGGGGGGAGTGAGGGAGAGGGGGGGGTGAGAGGGGGAGAGAGGGGGGGGGAGTGAGGGAGAGGGGGGTGAGAGGGGGAGAGAGAGAGGGGGGGAGTGAGGGGGAGGGGGGGTGAGAGGGGGAGAGAGGGGGGGGAGTGAGGGAGAGGGGGGGGTGAGAGGGGGAGAGAGAGAGGGGGGGAGTGAGGGGGGTGAGAGGGGGAGAAAGAGAGGGGGGGGAGTGAGGGAGAGGGGGGGGTGAGAGGGGGAGAGAGGGGGGGAGTGAGGGAGAGGGGGGGAGTGAGGGGGAGGGGGGGGTGAGAGGGGGAGAAAGAGAGGGGGGGGGGAGTGAGGGGGAGGGGGAGAGAGAGGGGGGGGAGGCAGAGAGAGAAAGAGGGGGGAGAGAGTTGGAGAGGGGGGGGGGGTAAGGGAGAGAGGGGGGGAGTGAGCGGGGGGGGGGGGGGGGAAGAGGGAGGGGGAGAGATAAAGGGGGGGGGGGTGAGAGGTAAGGAGAGCAAAGCATGAAATATTTCATTAAAAAAGGGGGGGGCGGTTTACATAAAGCAAGGCATAAAAAACCCGAAATGATGAACGAAGCAAAGTGCCGACTGATCGTAAAAAAAAGAGAGAGTGAGAGGGGGGGTGGGTGGGGGAGTTTCTGGGTGAACCTCTCACGCTGTAGGTGGGGGAGGGGCTTTGCAAATGAATCAAATATGTCATAAATAATCATATTTGCTAATTATATTATTGCCTCGTTCGGTAAAGTCACGTAGATAGGTTCAAAGAAAAGAACAAAAAAAACTACGACGTTTCGATCGCAACACAAGCGGCCGTCTTCAGGGTCACCGGGTTCATAGTGCAGCGCGCTAACCACTACGCTACCGCTCCCCACTAACAAAAAAGTAGTCAACAAATTAATAAAATGGCACCAAAATCAGAACAAAAAATTATCACAACAAAGAAATGATTCCATAAGGTCCACGACACATCCTAGACCACAATCACAACTTCCCACAAGCCAGGAAAACTTCACAGGAGGGGTGGTGCGTATGAGTGCGGGCCACTCAGCCTGTCTGTGTGTGTATGTCTGTGTATGTCTGTGTATGCCTGTGTGTGTATGTCTCTTGTGTGTATGTCTGTGTGTATGTCTGTGCGTGTCTGTGCGTGTCTGTGTGTGTGTATGTCTGTGTGTGTGTGTATGTCTGTGTGTATGTCTGTGCGTGTATGTCTGTGTGTGTTGTGTGTGTGTGTCTGTGTGTATATGTCTGTGTGTGTGTGTCTGTGTGTATGTCTGTGTGTGTGTGTGTCTGCGTGCGTGTCTGTGTGTGTCTGTGTGTGTATGTCTGTGTATGTGTGTGTCTGTGTGTGTGTGTCTGTGTGTGTGTCTGTGTATGCCTGTGTGTGTGTCTGTGTGTCTGTCTGTGTGTGTGTGTTTGTGTGTGTCTGTGTGTGTCTTTGTGTGTGTATATCTGTGTGTGTGGTGTAGCGGTTCGCGCGCTGCGCTACAAACCCGGCAACCCGAGTTCGAGTCCCGCTCACGATCAACATGACCAGTGACGATTATTTGAAGCGGTCCTGAGCCTCTCCTGGGTCGACTCAGCCTCAAATTAGTACATGGTGCTGTGTGTAAACATCGCCACTGGGGAGACAAAGGCGGCCGGACGTGGTGCTGGCCACCCACCCCCTCGTGTGCCGTGCCGGCCTTCATAGGTGCTCGCTAATAGCACTTGCCCCTACAGTCTGTTAAGTCTACACGGGGAGACATTTGTGGAGTGGAGTGGGGGGCACTCAACGTGTGTGGAGTGGAGTGGGGGGGGGCATTCAGAGTGTGTGTGGAGTGGGGGGCACTCACGCGATCTTGCAGTGCGCGGCAGACAGCACCCAGAGGCTGCTGAGGAGGGAGCCTCCACAGAAGTGGGAGCCGTACTGCTGAAGCGACACCTGGTACTTGATGGAGTTGGGACTCACCTCGAAGCCCCCCACGATGTGATCATCGCTCCTCGGCGCGGCGACTACAAGGAGGGTGGGGGGGAGGGGGCATGGTGGTTAATTAATCCACTGCTGGATGAGTCCCCACTCCCCTTTGCCGGAGACATTGCGGCTCTTTGGGAATGTGCCGCTACTGGCTGGAATAGGAGGTCGTGGGTTCGATCCCCACCCTGACGATGCCTGCTGCTGCTGTATATTTGGAGTTTGCGTGTCTCTCTCTCTCTCCCCGTCGTCGCATGGATTTTCTCCGAGTCCTCCAGTTTTCCCCTCCACATTTAGAATCAACATCACGCGTTTTAGAGAATGTGGCTCCTGCTATGCATGTCCACGTGACCATAAGGTCACTTCGTCGAGCTATCGCTTGTGGCGGGCAGGTCGCTTCTGAAAAAAGAGCCACATAGCTCAGTGGGGCCTTACCTGGTTGAATATTAAAGAGAATGAACGGGTTCATCTAGTGGGTTACCAGATGTGGTGTGATTTGACCCCGCGCGTCACGTCGGCCAGTGTGCGACCACACGTGGGAGCATAGTGCGGTACAGTACTACACGATTGATTCTGCTGCACTGCCGTCTGCTGCCCACGGTTTCACAACGTAGCACCCCCCCCCCCCAGCTGCCTATAGCACCTGTGTGATTTACAATCAGAATATTGACTGCAGGAGGAATCCCATGGGCTATAAAGGTATTTTTTCACAGCTGTCCAGTAGGGGCACGGGGTCAGAACGTGACAACAACAACAATAATACACAAACACGATAGGAGCACAAATTATAGGCAAGGTAAAAAAGAATCGCTTGAAAATATATGCATAGAAACCAAGTTTGTATCTTACTAAGTCAGGCCCACTGAGACATTAGCTACTTTCTCAGAAGCGACCTGGCCACAATTCGTGGTGGCCACCCATCCCAAGCACATTGTCCAGGCTCGCGGCTGCTTAGCTTGCAAGATGTGGCGCGATCTGGCGCATTGTGAGAGGTGAATGGACTTCTCGAGCCTTGCTGTAAATTAATGAGTTAAAAACAAGTGGGCGAGTTTGAGTACCATTTGAATGAGTCCAAGAATGAATGAGCGAATGAGTTAGCTACATGATACGGCCCCTAAACGGATACATTAATGAGTCGATAACTAAATGAATGAGTACCTGAATGGATGAGCGAATGAGTCGATAACTAAACGAATGAAGAAGACGCTTGAGCGAATTCATGACCACATGAGTGTGGACAAAGTCGAATAAATAAACGAACGAGTGCACGAATGAGCGAGTGAACGAATGGGCGAGTCGCCCAGTCGCGGGTGGAACTCGGTACTCACGGGCGAGGGCGAGCAGGGAGGAGAGGACCAAGACCAGCTGCATGGCTGCGATGAGGGTGGCGCTCAGAGAGTGGAGACCACCTCGGACTAGCGGCGCTTATAACCATCCCGGAGACACCACGTGACCCACCAGAGTGACAGGCGAAGTGGGGTGATTTTGGGGGGGGGCGGGTGGGTGGTGGAGGGTTGGTGGTGGTGGGAGGGGGGTTGGTGGTGTCCACAGGTGATGGTGTTTCCACGCGGGGGGAGGGGGGGGGTATATGCGGGCGCGAGGTCGATGGTGACGTGATGGACGAGGTGAGTTGCCACGTGGCCGTGAAGACATCGGTAAAAAAAGAGCTTTATCGCTCATCGGATTCCTCTGATTCGGACATCACCGCCATCATCATCATCATTGCCGCCACCATCATCATTACCGTGGGGCGCCACGGTGGTGAGATGTTATCTACCTCGCCTGGCATACAGGAGGTTCGTGGGTTCAATCCCAACCCTGACGCCTGCTGTATATTTGGAGTTTGCGTGTCTCTATCGCCGTGGTCGCGCGGATTTTTTTTTCCGGGTCCTCCGGTTTATTCCACACGACAAGTCACTTGGTTGAGCTCTCCTTCGTAGCCAGGTCGCTTCTGGAAAAGAGCTGCATAGCCCAGTGGGCCTTGCCTGGTCAAATGAAAAAAATATATAGTTTTCAAGCGACCGAGTGATACCTGAATAGGTCTCGTGCTGGTTTCCACCCTTCACCATTGACCAGCCGTGGTGAAGTTCGGTCAAATACTTCACGATTCGCACGGCGTGGCGAGGCCCTCATCCAGCAGTGGATTGCCACAATGGGGGTTACGTGGAGGTGTTTGCAGTACTGGGCCTCCCCGATGTCGACTCAGCCTCAAGTGAATACCGAATGTGGTGTGTAAAACATTGCTACTGGGGAGACAAAGGCGGCCGGGCGTGGTGCTGGCCACCCACCCCCCTCGTGAGCCGTTCGGGCCTTCACAGGTGCTTGCTAACAGCACTTGCCCCAACAGTCTGTTGAAGGCTGTACGAGAGACCTTTGTCTTTTTTTGCGAGTAGCACACGTTCACAACCACGTGGAAGAGGAGGCCAAGTACCACGCTGAAGAGAGGTCTATCCGGAGCTCCCTCTCGTGGAAGCCTCATTCCGCCAGCAGTGGCGTGAGCGAGCAGTTACAACTATAAATTTTTTTAAAAAATTTCCCCACGTAAGATCCCACTGAGCTCGAGTACATTGCTCTTTTCCCCAGAAGTGGCCTGGCCACGAATGATAGCTGAGCGAAGTGGCTTCTCGTGTGGAAGTTGATAGCGGTCAGATACTCGGGAGGACCCGGAGAAAAAAACCGGAGAACCCGGAGAAAAAGAATCCACGTGACCACGGGGAGAGAAAGAGACACGCAAACTCCAAATATACAACAGGCGTCAGGGTCGGGATCGAACCCAGGTCCTCGTTCGTACCAGACGAGGTAATTAATATATCGCGATCGTGGCAGTTGCAGGGCCGCGCCTGGACAAGGGCGTGGGTGTAGACGTGCGTGACCTCGTATTGATTGTCATCAGGGGCCCCGAATTGTGAACTGTCATGGGTCGCCCCCCCTCCACCTCTCCCCTCGCCCCCCCCCCCTCCACCTCTCCCCTCGCCCCCCCTCGCCACCTTCCCCCAACCGTGAGCGCGGACAGGTGCGGGCAGGTGCGCGGGGTATCGCGCACCTGCATCTCGCCACAAACAACCCCGGGGGGCGCGCGGGGAACTCTCTCACGGCCTCACGGAGCTCGCGCGCGGGCCACGCATCGATCTCCGGCCACCGTGGCCCAGCCGAGGGTGCCCTGCTGTACACCAGGCGAGGTGGTTAACATCTCGCAGCCACTGCGGTGTACGTGCGCGTTCGCGACCAATATCATGATTCATCATCGTGAGTTGATGTTGGCCGACACTGTGCGGTGTTTTTAACTAGGAACCCTCCACCACCCCACGGAGCCAAACGCTCAGCCCTCACATGAGAGCCGAGCTCTTGTTAACAGCTGATGATGCTGGGTGTAATCTCAAGCGAAACGTCGAAGCAAATCGGCACCGTCGTCCACGTTGTCTTCACACGTAAAAAAATAGCTTTATAGCTCATCAGAATCATCAGATTCCTCCAGTATAAATATTCAGGTTGTAGTTGAAACTTTACGTGGTACCTACGCAGCTATCGAACCCATATGATCTTCTTATCGACTTCTGCCGCAGTGCACGGCACTTCGATCAATCGGTCGCTGGATGAAGAACTCCCCACGCCGTGTAGATCGTGGGGGTTGTTTGACCATACTTCACCACCCTGGTCAATGCTGCTTGGTGAATGTGGAGAAAATAGATGTGGGACCATATAAGTATCGTACAACCTAACCATCAACTTTAAAAAACTTTTTTTTTATTTTACCAGGTAAGACCCACTGAGCGAAATAGCTCTTTTTTTCATAAGCGACCTGGCCACAAATGATAGCTCAACAAAGTGGCTAATCACGTGGAGAGTGATAGGGGTGATCGGGATGATCGGAGTGGTGTGGGTGGTGGCCCGGCCCGCCCTAAACCGCTTCGGACGTCGCTCGCCGTGGCTGGGAATCGAACTCGGCCAGCCCCACAGCTTGTGGTGGCACTCAGAGCCGCTGCGTCACAGCTACCCCCCACCCACACCACCGCTATTATAAACGGGACAATTTATCTCTGCTTCTGACGTCAACGTTCCTATATATCTTGTAACTTGATTTGTTTTTGCCAGGTCAGGCCCAGTGAGCGATGTAGCTGTTTTACGACCTGGCCCACAGAACGAAGTGCCGAATCGCGTCGATATTTGTAGTCGCAGCCAAACACTCGAGACGCGTGGCGACGTCGATTCTAAATGTGGAGGGAACCACCGGAGGACCCGGAGAAAAATCCACACGACCACGGGGAGAGAGACACACAAACTCCAAATATACAGGCATCAGGGTCGGGATCGAACCCCCTGTATACCACTATAATCATGACGACCACCATCATCTCTATCGTTACAACCACCATCATCATCACTCACACACACCTGGTTCTGAAAGACCCAACGCAGAAGATCCCCTCGGGCTTGATCTTCCACGAAGCTCACGGTCCACCTTAAAACGCATCCACTGCACAAACCGTGGCAGCAGATGCGCATAGCTGATGCACAAATGGAAAATTAAAAACTCTCGAGTAGCGGTGTGCGACTGTGGTCATCCAGAACAGAAGGCACAACGTGGAACGACGCGAGTCCTAACTAGAACAGAATAGACAACACAGCGATACACTCCGCTGCTCCTGATGCGGTTGTCTGGCTTGACCAGCTGAATGTGGAATTGCAGTCGTTGCTCTGCATCTACATCAGCAGCCATACGACAGACGACGACCATCGCTACCATCATTATCATTGTTGCCACCGCTATTATCACTATCATAGTTACCATCATCATGATCACCATTAGCAGTGTTCATTATCATCACGTGACGGCTAATAACGAGGCCACCACAGTCGGTAGTGAGCGCACTCCCCACGTGTTTAAATGGGGGCATCCCCCCCCCACCCCCTATCCCCCCCACATCCCCCCTATCCCCCCCGCCACCCCACCTCCGACGCTACGGGGCTGATTTTCAAAACGCGAGAATCAGCATCTGCACAGAGCATCGAGTTCCACAGCCATCCCACACAAATACGGACAGGAGTTGCACAGTCCGTCAAGGCACAGATTTATTATCTCGAATGGCTGTGTGTGTGGCTGATGATTGGATGATAGGGCAAGTGGATGACTGGGTGAGTGAATCAATGGGTGGGTGAGTGGGCGAGGAGGGTTTATCTACCTGCCCTGAGGTTCCCAGGATTGTCGTCTTGTTGAGGAAGCAGCTGCTGTGCTGAGAATTCTCGCAGTCTTCCCAGGACTGACTGCGTGGGTGAGTCAGTGGATATGTGTGTGGGTGACTGGGTAATTGGCCAAGTGGTTGAGTGGGAGAGTGAGCGGGAGGGTTTCTCCACCTGTCCTGGGGTTTCATAGGATCATCCCCTAGTTAAGTAGGCCGCTGTTCTCCCGGGGAATATCAACGTCTTCCAAAACTTAGTGGGTGAGTGAAAGAGTGGGCTCGTGGGTGAGTGCGGTTGGCTACGTGTGGTGCGAAAGAAGTTCAACATACATACAAAGAGTGGGCTAGTGGGTGAGTGGGTAGGTAGGTCATACGGTTGCCACCCGTCCTGAATTTCCCACGATCATTTTGTTGATGAGGAGGAGGAGACTTGCATCACAACAGCGGCAGCGGTGGCGACGCATCGCTCGGGACAACGCGTTCACCCGTCTCCCTCCCCTCATCCCCCCATCCCGGGATCCACTCCATCTTCCTCTTCATCACCTTCCTTTTGCTGTGACACGCCGCGTACCCATCTGCAGCGCATGAGGTGGCGACCCTGGGTAAACATCGGGCAGCGTCGACCCGTCCTTGTGTCCGACGCCGGTCGGCGTGACCCCCACGAACCCCGGGCAGCGGCGGCGGCCACGGCAGGCCGGTCAACAACCTGCCGGCGAGGCGGGCGGGCGGGCCCCGGTTCGATTGCCACACGCCGTTCGCCGGCAGGTGCCGCCGCCTGGTGGGGTCAAGTGTGGGTGACCCCGACCTTTTCCTAAATGTCCGGCCTGATGCCGCGCCGTGGCCTTTCCGGCGGTCCGGGTCAGGGCCCCCCCCCCTCCCGCAAGCACCTCCACGGTGCAGCACGGGGCAGCAGGTGTGCCGTTGGGGCGGGGGGGGGGCAGCACACGGCCCCTCACAGCTCCTCCAGCTCCTCCTGCAGGGAGAGCCCCACTGGATTCACATACCGCTCCTGCACCCCCAGGGTCGTGACGTCGTCGGTAAAGGAGAAACACTCAAAAATGGTGGCGTTTTCAACAACAAAAAAATCCCAACACAGGACCACAGAGCACGGGCGACCGTGGGTGGCGTTGGCCCCGCCTGACCTCTCCGCGTTATGTCGGCCCGTCCCGGGCCTCCGTGCGACTACGGCGAGCGCGTCACAACGACGGTGCGCGCGTCACGACTACGGCGAGCGCGTCACGACCACGGTGCGTGTGTCGCGACCGCCACTACGAACTCTCTGGCAGGGCTAGGACCGGCAGTGTGCATCGCAGACTCTCGAACCAAATGAAGCATCACCTCTCTCCCTGCTGGCAGTAACGCTGATGCGGCGTGCTGTGTCTCTGCGTCTATGTGCTGTCTCTTGTGTGTGTCCTGCGTCTCCATGTCCCGCATCTCTGCCTCCCGCAACTCCGTGTCCAGTGTCTCCATGTCTCTGCATCTCCGCGTCCCTGTGTACCACGTCTTTGTGTCCTGTGTCTCTGCATGTGTCCCGTGTCTCCGTGTCCCGTGTCTCTGTGTCTCTGTGTCCCGCATCTGTGTCCCGCATCTCCGTGTCCCGTGTCTCTGTGTTCCATGCCTCCGTGCCCTACGTCTCCGTGCTCCGTCGCGCGAGGTGTAGTCGAGCGAGCTGTGATGCCGATGACGTCGCACCGCCGCTGTGCATCGCCCCGCACAGCGCCGTGCATATCTCGCGCAACGGGGGAAATCGCGACGCATTTATCACTTAAATTTGTGCATCTCTCCGCGTTTTTGTCGTCATATAAACTACTTGACTAAATAAAACGGACAGCAATAATCCTGCTTTTACCGTAGTTTTGCACAACGGATAACGCAGCACGGTCACAGCGAGGCTAGCACCCCCACCCCCCCGTCCACTCCCCTCCCCGTGCTCCCCCCATCAACAAAAACGGTTCACCAAGGCGCTTGTGCCGTGCTAAGTACCCTTTGAGCCCGAAGGCCCGCTGGCAGACCCAGGTGCCGTGGGTTGGCTGACTGAGATGACTGGCAGATGCACCACCAGTGCTCCCCACTGTACCAACTCTCTGCGCTCCGCTCGTTGTTGTGAGCGTCGCTCCTCCGCCCTCCATTGTTGTTGGAGGGCGACTGCCTCAAACTGCCCAGTAGCGTCCTTCACGAACCTCCTCCACAGAGGCCGATCTTCACACTGCTGGTACCAGTTATCGGTAAGTCCAATCAGCTACACATCCTTCTGTACATCAGTCCATCTCTTCTCTAGCCCGTATCACGCTCGTTTAACCCCCTTCCCTAGCGTGTTGGCCCCCCACCATACCATGTTCCCCGTGCCCGCCCCCACCCCCCTGCAGGGTCAGGATATTGAGGGAAGTGGAAGTCGGAGCCCAGGGCTGTGGACATCATGGCCCCAATGCTCCTCCGCTCCCCCTCTCCGAAGCAGCAGCCGTTGGCTTTGTCCACGGCGCGCACCACGGCCCGCAGGCTCTCTGCGTCCTGCACGCAAACACACAAAGGTCCCCCCCCACCGGTCTGTAGGCCACGCAGACCGTTGAGGGAAGTGCTGTCGGGACTCAATAGAGGCCGAGTTGACCAAGGGGAGGCCCAAGACTGGTTCAAATAATCTTCACCGGTGTTGGTGGGCGTGAGCGGAAATCGGGTCGTCGCCGCGTTCGTAGCGCGGCGCGCTAACCACCTCAAAATACATGTGTATAGCTTTAACAGACACTTGGGGAAAGTGCTGTTGGCGAGCACCTACGAAGGCGGGCACGGGTACAGCTGCCGTTGGGGGGTGCCCTTACAAACCTGTTGACATGCGATGTACATCCATCGCGCTCTGAGTCGCCCCGGTGTGACGGACGGCGACCTCTATCAAAAACCTGCATTATGGATGATATTGGTCGCGAAAGCCTACGTGTTAAACTGACAACCCATCCCCATCGTAGTTATCACGACGATGATGATGATCAGGGTGAGAGCTCTAACCTGAACGTTGAGAGGAATGAAGGACACGAGGCTGTAGGACTCCACCATCTCTATCAGCCCCTCGTTGAGTTTCTTGTACTTCCTGAAGAACGGATCGTCAGCGAGATACTGCAGCAGGTAGCTCATGTCCATCACCTCCGTGTAGAAGTCCAGGTTAAAGGCTACATCACCCGCTCGCCACACACACAATGCACACACGTACCACACATACCACACGCACGCCACACATACACCAAACACACCACACCACTCGCACACACCACACACAGACCACACGCCATCGTCACCAGCAGCAGCATGGTAGTATGGCGGTGACACAGCGATAAGCGCCCGGGATAAACACGTGCACACACAGTGCAACTGGTATTGGTCAAAAACATCTCAACACCGAAAAATCCCGTGCATATCACTCAATTGGGATCACACGGCAAACAGCAGCAACATTGCCCCCCTACTGTGAAAACTCAATCAGAATCAGAATCTTTATTTAAACTGGAGGGATCCGATGAGCTATAAAGATCTTTTTCACAGATGTCCAGTAGGGGCAGGTCAGAAAGTTACTTGGCAGAACCCTCCTGAAAAAGAGTAAGGCTTTCCTGCAGGGTCAACACACGGAATCATAATGAAAATGAAATAGCCACTGCTAGACGAATCTGTGAGAATTCAATGCATCGGTGTGGCCGTTAAATGACGAGCATTGCTCTCATATGGCAGAGTGGGTGGAAAAGTGCTGCCCTCCGCTGTGAGGACCAGGTCAACTAAGAAAGGAGGGATCTCAAAGGTAGCTCAGCGGTATCTGCTTCTGTGGGCCGTACTCTAATAACTTGGACGGGGGTGGCGCCATTGTGTGAGATTCCCGAATCGATACCTCATCTCGCGACACCGTGATGCCGATACCGCGATCGAGGTAACGTCGGCGCAAAGATTAAAAAAATGATTTTAACTTCACTTGGCCACCCACCCCTCGTGTGTCATGTTCGCTACCCAGTGCCCTCAAAGAGAGAGACAGAGAAAGACGGAGCGACTCCGAGGAGTGGGGAAACGGCAAGGCAGCAGCCAGGTGGTAAGCCAGTGCCCAAGCTCTGTGGTCCTCTATAGTAAGAATGTGTTTGGCCAATGACTGTGTATACAGGTGAGGGGAAACTGGAACACCTGGAGAAAACCCACACATGGGAAGGGGGTAACAACTCCCGTTCAGTTGGAATAGATGGATTAGTCCACACTCGCTGTACCCGGCTTCTCCTGGTGAGGCCAGAATACGTGGCACCTCCTCGACACCCACGGGTAGAAGAGAGATTCGTCGCAACATTCGTGCGGTGATCCACCAACCCTTGCTGCTGCCTCCACAGCGCCAGACTGCAGGTCGTGGGCGTAGCCACCACTATCACCGCCAGGCTGCACCGGGGACATCTGTGTGGTGGATGTGCGGTGGGCGATGGGCGCAGGGCTCTGAATCTTACCCAGAGGGCCCTGCGTCTCGATGAGATCCACCTTGGAGAGGACGTTCACATGCGGCAGCTCCACGTGCAGCATGGCGGCTAGCGCCGTGCACAGCACCGACACGAACTTGCCCGGGTCACTGCAGTAGTGCGAGTCCACCAGGTGCACGGCACACAGCTACAGAGGGACACGCGTGGAGAGGTAGACTCAAAAACAGAGACACACACACACAGAGAGACTTAGAGAGAGACACGCAGCTCCATAGACATGTACACTCTCGTGCCTATATGTGTTATTGTGTATATATGATTGTTTTTTTTATGCGAGCAAACAGCACTTGCCCCAAGAGTCTATTAAGGCTATACTGGGGATCTTTGTCTTTTTATCTATGTATATTTATGGGGAGCGGTAGTACAATGGGTAGCGCCCTGCGCTATGAACCCAGTGACCCGAGTTCGATTCCTGCCCACGGCGAACACCAGTGATGGTGATCTGAACCGTTCCTGGGCCTCCCCTAGGTCGACTCAGCTTCTAATGAGTGCCCAGTGCGGTGTGTAAACATCAGCACTAGGGAGACCAAGGTGGTCAGGCGTGGTGCTGGCCACCCACCCCCTCACTCTACCGTGCCGGCCTTCATAGGTGCTTGCTAACAGCACTTGCCCGAAAAGTATGTTAAGGTTATATGCGGCACCTTTGTCTTACATGTGTGTGTGTATATATGCGTGCATGTATTTGTCAGTCAACCCATGGTACCTGGGTCTGTCCCGTGACCTCCTGCCGGCGGGCGTTCGATACTTCACGTGGCCTTAACGTGCACATAGCCTGGCACAAGCGCCATGGTGACGTCACCGCCACTTAGTGGCGAATGGCGGTTGTTTTTGCATGTATTTTATATATATGAGTGTATACATGTATGTGTGTGTACTTGTATGATGATGCGTTGGCTATGTGTTGGATACTCGCCCCAACTGGACATCTGTGAAAAAGAGCTACATAGCTCATCGGATTTCTGATTCTGAGGTGTGTGCCAAGTGACACCCTGGGTGTCGGTGCACAGGCGGTCCCCACCCCCCTTGGGTGAAACTCACGCGCAGATCCCACTTGCCGAGTGTAGCGAGGACGTTGCGCACGGCGCCGTGGTGAGAGTAGAGCTCCACCTGCAAACAGCCACGCGTGTGTGTGTGTGTGTGCGTGTGTGTACGTGTAGTGGAACAAGCGGTGATGTACCGGTTGGCGCGCTGCGCAACCAACCCGACGACCCGAGTTCGATTCACGCTCACGGCCAATACCAGTGACGGTTATCTGAACCAGTCTTGAGCCTCCCTAGATCGACTCAGCCTCAAATGAGTACCTGGGGCATTGTGTAAACATTGCCACTCGGGAGACAAAGACGGTTGGGCATGGTGCTGGCCACCCACCCCCTCATGTGCCGTGTTGGCCCTCCTCCAAAACTTGGCAAGACCCTCTAGAAAAATATCATTCCACTCAGTGAGGCTCTCCTTGGTAAACAAGAGTAATATACAGTAAAACCTTGGATTGCGAGTAACTTGGTCTGCGAGTGTTTTTCAAGACGAGCAACATTTTTGCATACATTTTAACTTGATAAACGAGCGAGGTCTTGCAATACGAGTAGTACGTATACGTTTTGTCTGCCGAGCGTCACATGATCACAACTGAGCCGATGGTTCTTCTCTCTCTCGCTGCGGGATTGTGGGTAATCGTCTCCCATGCTCGGTCTCAGTCGGCGTGCCTCACCCGTATAGTCAACATCCGTGCGAGCGTACAGTATACTGTTTACGATAGTGTTGTGACCACGTGTGTGTGCGTAAAGCTTTTTTTAATTGTGTGTCCAAGTGTAGTGACTGTTCTTTAGTAACTGTACTGCAACAATGGCCCCCTCCTCCTCTCCTCTCTCTCGTCTCCCTCACACCAGCCACGATTAAATGTAATTAATAAATTTGATTAATTTATATTTAATTTAAATAATAAAAGTATAAAAAGGTACTTTGTATTAATCATTTTTACATGAATATTTTGGGTTGTGGAACGAATCATCTGAGTTTCCATTATTTCTTATGGGGAAATCCGTTTTGTATATACGAGTGCTTTGGATTACAAACACGTTTCCGGAACAAATTATGCTCGCAATCCAAGCTTTTACTGTAATTACATTTCACCCAATTTAAAAAAAATTATAATTTGGCAAATTGTAACTATGACACCAGAAAACATGTCCTACAACTCTTTTTAGAATAAAGGCACGGGATATTTAACATCGACTGCGAAGTGGACAGCGCCGTAGTATTCATGGTGGATAAACCCCGCAGTATTAATCAGGGTGGCCGTTTGTCTCTACCGTAAAACCACCACAACAATCGGCAAACGCTTGGCCACATCACCAACCCGGCCAAGACCGGAATCACTGCCTCCAACGTCCGTGTCATGTCGCGTTGCATGGATCACCCCTCCACTCGACCCCTTAACGTGCGCCTCCAAGACCCGTCTGTTGTACCTGACCCGGGCAGTCGAAGAGCAGGTAGTGACCAGACAGAGCCTGTAGCTTGGCGTGGAGCCAGTCCACGTTCGCCTCCAGGTACTCCATGCAGTAGATGAGGCTTCCGTTGGGCCCCAGCTTCAGGGTGTCCATGACATCACTCAGCGTGACCAGCTCCGAGATGTCCACCGCGCAGCTGTGGGATGACACATTCCGCACCTCCGATTAGCACGGTTGGCTACGTACAGTGCGAAAGAAGTTTAACATACAGTATGTACATCCATAGAGCTCAAATTAAAAATCGCATTGCTTCCAGGTCACCCAAGATGTTGCCCTCTCGTACCCGATTAGTGCGGTTAAGATGCTCGCAGTGGCAGCATTGCCAGCGGTTACGTGTAAACGTGTGGTTGCCCGCCAAAGCTATAATGCGGGTTTACAGAAAGTAAAACGTTGTAGCGGCTCTTTGCCCGACTGTGCATGCGCAACCGTGGGAGGTGAGGAGGCGGGTGGGGGCTGACGGCTGTGGAGAGGCGATGGTGGGAGGATCCACCACTGAACGGCACGGAAGAGCACGAGTCTGTCCGTGTTTGGAAGGTTATTTGCTTTCTTTCAGATACAGCAATACCACAACATTGCGCGGCACGCCTGGGACTTTGTGCCGTGGCAACGGCTGCTGCACACTGCCTGCTACACACTGTCTGCTGCACACTGCCTGCTGCACCCTGCCTGCTGCACACTGCCTGCCAGAGCACTCCGCTGGGGCAGTGCTTCTCAATCGGGGGTAACGCGCAACCCTGGGGGGTACTCGTGGCAATGTGACAGAGGGGTAACGTGAGGTGATTTATAAATGTGTGAAATTATATAATAAGTGAGAGTATTGGTGAATATTCATGTATGACTACGCCAATGTAAAATAACTAGGATGAAATGCAAATCCACATGGTAACCTAGAACGATATAAAATACCTCTCTAAAATGATTGATCGTAAACAATGCGGGTTTCCAAGAGTAATCAGCGAGCAACGACAAATGATGTCACGCGTGCAGAGCGTCCGTTGAATTTTTATCTATTCGCTTGCAATTACCACAAGCAAGTCAGAATAACCTCACAAAATGGACAATTCGTTAAAATGTTGTTGTTCACTATTCGTACATTTATATTTCTCAGAAACACGTTGAGTCGGGCAAGGGCGGTTACGGGGTTGAAACACAATTCTGGTACAGGTCATCGGCAGGTCCGCTCATCATCCTCACAGCCAGTGTCCAAGTCGACAAGTCGCCAAGAAAACGTTGAGAGAACCACTGCCCGACTGGACCCTGCCGCTGCTGCCGCTGCTGCTGCAGCCGCTGCTGGTGCCGCTGCTGCTGTCACTGCTGCTGTGACTGCTGCTGTGACTGCTACTGTCACTGCTGCTGTTGTTACTGCTACTGCTGCTGTCACTGCTGCTGTTACTGCTGCTGTGACTGCTACTGCTGCTGTCACTGCTGCTGTTACTGCTGCTGTTACTGCTGCTGTGACTGCTGCTGTCACTGCTACTGTCACTGCTGCTGTTGCTGCTGCTGTTACTGCTGCTGTTACTGCTACTGTCACTGCTGCTGTTACTGCTGCTGTCACTGCTAATGTCACTGCTGCTGTCGCTGCTGTTGCTGCTGGTGCCGCTGCTGCTGTCACTGCTGCTGCTGTCTTGCCTGTAGGGGAGGCTGTCGTTGGCCGGGTCCAGGTTGATGACGGCCACGGGGCGGCCTAGCTCCGTGGCCAGGAGCCTCTGCACTGCGCCGCAGTACGTGGTCTTCCCCGAGCCCGGGGGCCCGATCACCGCCTGCCCGAACCCGCCCAGCCTCCCCAGCCCGCCCAGCCCGCCCAGCCCGCGCAGCCTCCCCGCCGCGGGGTGAGGCCCAAGGGGCCCGAGGCGGCCGGGGGCCCCGTGGGGTTCATCGTCCCCGCGACCCGCCAGCGCGACAACAGGCGCGACAGGAGGCGGCAAGTTCGGCGCTATCGCGACAGCGGCGGCGGCGGCGAAGAGACGCGACAATTGCACGACAGCAGCAGCCTCGGGAACGCGACAGCATCAGGAGGAGGGAAGGAGGAAGGGGGGAAGGGGGGAAGGGGGAAGGGGGAAGGGGGGAAGGGGGAAGGGGGGAAGGGGGAAGGGGGGGGACAAAAACCGCGCGCTTAGCGGTGGCGCTGCGACAGAGTTGTTAATCCCCCTCCACTGGGGGACCGGAGCTCGGCGGACTCGGTCCGTGCGCCGTCGCATAATTTTGGTTCCGGGCATTTTGGGTCCGGGCATCGACAACCACCGTGATGATGTCTCGTTGCCTGTGGAGTTTCACGGCGAACCAACAACAACAGCCGCCGCCGTTCGCCACTAAGTGGGGGCCACGTCACCACTTCGCCTGTGCCAGGCTAGGTGCACTTTGCATATCAGTGCCCTCCCTTATTTCAGACCAATTCAGACATTATTGGTCACCTCGTGTCCCTTATAAATCTCAACGTTCATCCTACAAAGCCCCATCACGAGGGAGAGACACAAACAGACAAAACATTTATTTTTCATAATCAACGTTTTTTGGGTTTAGATCGCGTTATTTATAAATGTGTCGTAACCCTCCACCACCCGACACGGCCAATCAGTAAAAAAGTGTCACGTTGACAAAAGACAAATAGCTCACTGCTTTAGCCCACCGGTGTGTTGTGGCCAGGTAGCTTCTGAAAAAGAGCTATATAACTCAGTGGGGCCTTACCCGGTAAAATATAAATAGTTGATAGTTTTATCGTAAAATAAAAAATGCTTGTTTTGTATCAACCATCTCCGAACTAGAGTGCCTCACCCTTGCCACAATCAAAGATCAAATCATCCCATCTCCCACACTTGTGCCCCCTATGGCCTGCCTCCCCCCCAGCGCATTCTACTATACTGCAGGAGTCAACACGATCAGACATCCTAGCCTTCATCGACTGGCTCCATTCTTGCATGAGTTCGCCTCGACATCTGTCCCTCTTTTTTACATATTAAACCACAAGCTTTTATGATGTTGCCCATCAGTGGCACAGCTCTACAACAGTTCGCATCATACCACTGCGACAGAAGGTCCTCCCGTCAAGGTTGGCAAGTCCTCGATTCTAGTTGCTACATCACCTGTCCACGCTCTCTCACCTGGTCAGGCTGGCACACGAGGAACTTTGTTCTCTGCCTGTGATCGAACAATGCGGCCAATTTGCGAAATGTGCCCGTTAGAAATTGTTTATCACTATTATTATGCTATGGGCCATTTTTTTAAGGCATAAAGATTATGAAAAGAAGGATGCCCCAACTCGAGATATTCATGCCATGATATTTGTATAGCCTTTATGCTGTCCGGCGTTGTTCTCCGGTCTAACACCGGTAGCGAGGCAAGGCAACAAACGAGTCTGTCTCTGGTGTAGGTGAATACATTTAAAATAAAATGCAGACATTATCGAAACATGTTTGTTTGCCTGTTTTACCACGGGAGGTGACCATGAACACCCCCTGTATTATTGCCGGAAAGGGGTAAAGCCTATTGTTTTTTTTAATCCTTTATATTAAGTTCGCGTGCTTGCTTGCTTGCTTGCGTGCTTGCTTGCGTGCTTGCTTGCTTGCTGAGGACCGTGCAAATCTTTCGGTCGTTTTTTAACCCACTACCCGTGATCCAATCGAGCTGACATTTTCCACACAGACTCGTTGTGCCAGACAATTATTGTTCGTGAAAAAAATCCCAAAATTTTACACTTTTTAGGCAAATTTTTTTTATTTTACATATATTCAAATAGAACGCATTCATGGCTTTGGCTGAACGTCAGAGTGTAAGAGCCCAGAGCGTAACCCCTCCACAGGCCGTGGCGGAGTAGCGCAGTTGGTAGCGCCCTCGCTTCCCATGCCAAAGGTCGCGGGATCGATCCCCGCGTCCTCCACAGGCGAATATATTTTTAAATCCTTTATATTAAGTTCGCTTGCTTGCTTAGGACCGTGCAAATCTTTCGCTCGTTTTTTAACCCACTTCCCGTGATCCAATCGAGCTGACATTTTCCACACAGACTCATTGTGTGTGACAATTAATTTTCGTGAAAAAAAATCCAAAATTTTACACTGTTTAGGGAAAACAAATTAAATATTTAATTACCAATTGCTTAAAGGTGGCAGACAATCATCTGACCCATAGGTGGCAGCCATCTCAAGCCAGAGGACGAGAGGACTCTAGCCGCCACGCATATAAAGGATTTATAGTGAAAAACTTTGTTTTTACGGGTTTACTTGTTCATCATTCCTATGCTGTAGTGAGTTGGTGTTGATGAGGATGCTGTACGCGAGTCGCCTGGGTGATGTTGTTGAAGCAAAATGAGGTGAAGAGGCCCAGGCCCACCACTGGAGGTGCGGGGGCCAGTGGGGGAGGCGTGAAGTGAGCGACAGTAACCAGCAAGGTGAAAAAAAAGCGTAACACAAATAAAATGACAAATTAGAGAAAGGATAAAAGGATGCAATGGGGAACTGAGAGGAAAGACGATGGATAGAGATGTTAACGACCTCGCCTGGTACACAGGAGGTCGTGGGTTTTATCCCGACCCTGATGATGCCCGCTATATATTTAGAGTCTGCGTGTCTCTCTCCCCGTGGTCGCGTGGATTTTTCTCCGGGTCCTCCGGGTTTTCCCTCCACATTTAGAATCAACATCGCGCGTTTACGAGTATTTGGCTGCTGTACATTTCCACACGATAAGCCACTTTATTGGGCGCTCATTGCGATAGCCAGGTCGTTTCTGCAAGAGCTTTCCAGCTCAATGGGGGTCTTACCTGGTAAAATAAAAAAAATAGTTTCGTCTTAGAATAAACCAATAATAGGCAAGGATCGAGTGACGTCACAGCAGCCAAAAGCGTGCGTACCTGTCAACCCATACGGTCAACCTGGATTCTTGTACAGGGTAATTGAGTTTTCAGGTCCATACAGTGTACAGCCGATTCATTAAGGGCAACACTGTCTCTATTTGTGTTTGTGTTTCTCCCTCGTGATGGGACTTTGAAGCATTAACGACGAGATGTATAAGGGGCATGGGGTGACCAATCAGGGTGTGTAATAAGGTCGGGGTTGACAGGTATGAGAGTGTGTGGCGCCGTCTCGGCCAGACGCGCGAGCCCCGGTGGTCTTCAGCCGCGAAGGCAAACCTCCCACTCGCGCAGAATTCACACAAAATGTGTTCAGATTTCCGTTTTGACACCACCAAACCGCCCAAAGGGGCTAACCCGACCTTTCCATTTTGAGTTGGGGCACTCGGCAGGGGAGGGGGGTGCACGGAACCACCCGGCCAATACACAACTATACAAAGCGTGAACCATCTTATTGTTTATTAATCGTGTGACAGCCACGTGACTTTGACCGAATGCGGAGGCTTTCCTAAAATTGCACACATCCGCTAAAATTCTACAAACGTACTGGCCGTTTAAACCGGACAAATCCATCACTAATTGTTTCGGTCACGAACACTCGACTGCATCTCCAGTGAATACATCAGGTGAGCTGACTGGACAACCCACTTTATAGTACCATCTTATAGCCTCGCATTACTGTATGTACATTGCCAATGATTGCCCGAGGCAGCGGAAGCTTTTGTGCCAAGCTGTACAGTATAGTGACACTCTCAACTATTGCCCATTAATAAATGTCAACTACTTCCCTAAGCTGAAACACTGTAAAAGCATGGCTAAAGTGGACCAATTCGCCATAAGAAGAATGGAACCAAGATAACTTGTGATTTTTTTGTTCCTTTAATGCCACCTGGCACGTTCAGCCTTAATTGTCAACGTCGAGGACGGCCACTGTGTTTATACGTGGACTTTATGGGTCTTCCCAACATGCAGTCGAACCTATTTAATCTCGACACGTGTGTGTAATTTGAAAAGGCCCCACGACAAACTGTGTTTGACTTGCTACCGGGGTGCACGCTTTGCAATGTTTTCTAAAGCACGTGAACTACTATTCGAGCTATTAGGTGATTGACATTTATGTAAGCACTGCATTCCAACACTGCAATTTGCTAAGTGACTGCATCTCCAGTTTGTCGTCCTTCCCTTGCGCCTACGATGTTGCAGTTGGCTCCGTACGGAATGCGAAAGAAGTCTAACGTAGGTACAAACAAGTTACAATGTTCTTACAAACTGTGCACTTAAATGCACGTGCTTGTTTCGGCTATAAGTTTGCATCAACGCGTATCTCATTAAAATCATCGTCCTATCCTGAACAAAGTAAAAGTCCATTGGAAATTTTACGTTTTTTGTCCCCCGAGGCATGGGGAACCATAACTAGGGCAAGGACAGTTTGCTATCTACATCTCTTGGGCGTGTTCCACCGTGTGTGTGTGATTGGCGACTTTAAAAAGTCACCCCTTGTGAGCCAGAGATCGTCCCCATCCCCCACCCCCCTCTCAGCTCTTTGTGCTCAACACCAGGTCAACATCCACATGAGCGGCGCCCAGTCATTTGACGAGAGAGCCGAATACGCAGAGGGGGCGGGGGGGAAAGGTGGGGTATCCGCGTCAAATGAATGAGCTTCAGCGGGGAAACGTGGCACGCAGTCGTCGAAAAGCGCTGGGGCTGTGCTCGCTTTCAGGAGGAGCCCTGCCTCTTCTGCTGCTGCTGCACGCGGATGCGCTCCAGCTGCGCCTTGCACTTGTGATGGTAGCTGGAGAGGCTCTTGGTCTCCTCCATCAGCTTCTTGTACTCCTGCACGAGCCGTGACGCGTTCTGCTGCTCCTTCTCGTCCTGTTCCAGCTCGGCCACCAGCTCCTGCCTGTAAATGCCGAGCCGCACCACGGCACCACGGCACCACGGACGCCACGACGCGTGAGAAACGCCGACGGCCTGGCCTTCACGGGCACAACAGCGGGCTGAGTACCTTTACGTCAATTACATTCCCATTTGTTTGATTTTATTTGGAATTAAATGAAGACGTGACCCAAATAGCCATCGTAAACATGACGCCAGGCTGTCCGTCTCTGGATTTCCAAAGGGAATTTGAAGCTTCAGAAATTATAAACAAAACATGAAAAAAAGGAAAGTGCATTACTCTGGCACTCAGTAATGACACTGCATTGTCATAATGAATGAGTGATGTCACTGTATGGTCAAAACTTCCACGTTTTTTTAAAGAATGCCATGAATTAGTTCATAATTCATTATGCACAATCCACTGGGGAAGTGCATGACGAGTTTTGCCCAAATGCGCTCTGGTGGGCCGTGGTAGTGGCAGGTAGAGCGCGCGTGGGGAATCCCGTGTGGACCACGGTGGCATCGGTCACGGCACTCACTTGCGCTGCATCAGCAGGGCGATCTCCGTCTGCACCTTGAGGTACTCCTGGGCCATCTTGCAGTGCTGCTGGAAGACTGCCATCGACTCCTTGGAGGTTGGGCACGGAGCCAGAGGCTGGACACAGACACACGTTGCTATTCTATTGGCCTGGAGTCCCACGAGCCAGAACGCGGGTGGCAGCACGTCGACCACAGTGTGTAATGCGTCGCTTAGCTAAGCGAGGAGGACGATGGGTGACGGAGAACAGGGAAGCGCCAATGTGCTTGGCTATTCATTGATGCTGCATTTAGCTCTGGAGCTTGGTACCCATCTGGGTAGTGTGACGTGCATAGTTGTGGGTAACATAGTAACGTATGCTTATGCTCAGCCAAACACAAACGATGGTAATAGTCCTGGCCGCATAGAATACATCATTGCTCAGGTTTTAGACCAGGCCCTTTGGGCCAATGTTTTTTTTCTGGAAATTGGCTTTATTTAGGCAAGTAGTACGCGTGATAAGCCTGCTGTATCTTTTCATAAGAGGCTTTTGGGTTAGATGGCATAAATCTAAATGTGTCGTTAAACCCTCCACCACCCAACACAGCCAATTAGTAAGGTTTCTCATGTAAACAAAACATGCCAATTCGTTACTAGAACAGCACACCGGTGTGTTGGAGAGTAAACACACAACATTTGCAATTCGAGTACTTACGTGACAAACCTTACTAATTGTTTGTGTCGGGTGGTGGGCGGGTTTAACGACACATTCATATTTACGCGACCTAACCCCAAAAACCTCTATTATGGATAATATTGGTCTGAAAAGCCCTACTACGTGTTAAACTGCTGTATCTTATCACGCTAAAAGCACAACATCCGTCATAATGCCAAAATAACCGTGTTAAATCCGTGCGAGCGCCGGCACCGCCTGCCCTGCCCCGCGGGGCCGGGAACACACCGCCCTCACCTGCAGCTGATGGTCCAGGGTGAGGTAGGCCATGGGGATGGAGTTATCGGAGCCCATGGTGTCTGCAATGGAAATCGCGATGCGTTTAGCCACCCGTCGCATCGGGGAATACAGCCCCACGCGGCGCCCTTGCCACAGCACGCCGCTTCAGAGCCTGACTTATGGTCAACTCGGCCCATTGCGCCTTCAAGGTTAATATAAAAAAAAATAAGCGCCACTTTTGCACGCTGTTATCAATAATAGGACCGAAACGGGAGGAAGGTTTCTCCACAACTCTGGCCGCCGCCAGATGATGCTAGTTGTTGTAATTACCAGCGAAACGTCACGTTACTCGAATGGCAAATGCTGTGGTTTTACTCTCCAACACACTGGTGTGCTGAACTAGTAACGAATTGGCATGTCTTGTTTATATTCACGTCATCTAACCCAAAAACCTCTTATGGATATTGGTCGCCGCGAAAGCCTGCTACTACGTGTTAAACTGGTTATTAATCCGTAGAAGGGAAGTAATAAAATAATAAAAATAAAACATAAAATAATTCTCACGACGTTTCGGCCACAACGCAAGCAGCCGTCCTCACCGTGAGAATTATTTTATTAGGTTTTATTTTTATTATTTTATTACTTCCCTTCTACGTGACTTTACCGAAAGAACCAAGAAGATGAATCCCTGCAGTCACGAAAGCTTTAAATCGAAATTTGGTTATTAATAATTGTAAGAGACAAAAACGAAATGAACGACCCCAGTGTCTAGCGGAACCGTCGTTCCGTGGAGCGCGTCTCCCCGCGAGTGGGCCCTGACCTGTATAGTCGTCGGGCGTGTTGGGGATGCTGCGTGCCCCCACGCCGCCTGTGATCATGCGCACGCCCGGGCTCGACGATCGGCTGCTGCTGCGGCTCCCCTAGAGTAGACGAGGAGAGCCATGCGGACCAGAATGGGCACGGGGGATGGTCACGTGATGACGGTATCACACACCCATCAACCCATACGGTGTACCAATATTCTTGCACAGAGAAAATGAGTTTTCAGGTCAATGCGGCGTACAGCCGTTTCAATACTGGCAAACAAAACAAATATTTGTCTATTTGTTTGTGTTTCTCCCTTGTGATGGGACTTTGTAGGATAAACGTTGAGATTTATAAGGGCATAAGGTCTGAACTGGTCTGTAATGAGGTAGGCACTGATAAGGGGTTGACAGGTTTGGTATCACAGGCAGATGCAGACGCCCAGATGAAGACAGCCTCACTGGGTCACACAGTCAGACAGGTGGATAGAGCCTCGTGCAGTCGGACACGTGAAGTACAGCATCACACACAGCCAGGGACATCTGGGAAGATGCAGACAGCGACACTCACAGGCACGGTAGGGTGGAGACATACTAACACACAGCCAGATATTTGAGTGTGGTGACACATTTGACAAAATGTCTCTGAATGTGCCAATTGACCTGAACTCACAAGATATTAATTTGAAGTAATGTAACAGAGGAACATCTGTTTGCTCAGCCTGTTGCCTAAATAAGCATCAGCAATTAATTGCAGATGCTCGGAAAAGCAGTGACCATTTGTCGTTACCACCCGACGTGATAAAACGCAGCTGCTAAAATCGTAGACGACCGCGGAAGAGAAAACGGGTGACAACGTGATTACTATCGTTTTCAATATAATGACGATATAAATAATATGTATCACTAAATTATCGCTGCCCAATGACCCAATCACCCTGATTGCACCTCATGTCGTCACTACATGGAAGCTAAATGCAACCGAGCTTGGATAGTGAATGGATGTGTGTGACCACCGTGCGCAGGCCTTCATTTGGGACTTCAGAACCATGTCGTGGGCAGCAGAGGACAGTGCAGAAATATTAATTGTACTTCCGTACAGTATGACATTGCCCCACTCATGGGCAATATCACCAACATCCACCAAACCTCCACACTGGATATTAAGTAGTTCGATAACCTCGATATACACACATATGACGTTCCAAAATTTCATATTTCCTCCTGAAAGAATGAGACCTCCGTACTCACGTGCCTAAGCCCCCGCCCCCTAAGCCACACTGAGCGGTGTGGTGAAGGTAAACTCAAATAACCCTCCCACGACCTGCACGGTGCAGCTCGAGGTTTATTTATTTTTTAATCGCCTTCCGTCGGCTCCGCGTTCCGTTCCGGGCCCACGGACTACCAAGAGGAAAGAAGCCGTCTGGCCAATGCGGCGGCAGCTGCCCTCCTACTACGCGTGACGGCGAGCGAGAGCGGCACCTGGTTGGAATCGGGCCCCAGCGTAGGGAGGTCTTGCACCGAGCGCCGCCACTGATCCGCCGATGCTGAAAGCGGGAAAAGAGAGAGCGGACACGGACACGGCACGCACGCGGGGGGGGGGGGGGGGGGGGGGGAGACACGCGCACGCAGGACGGCAAGCGGTGCAGGACACGAGAGAGAATTGCGCGTGAAGCACGCAATGCACAGCGGGGCGGTGCAAGCGTGCTCGCGGGGGCACGCGTGGCGCGTTACGCATGCGAGAGGGATGCACGGACGAGCATCGTTGAGCGGCAGACGCAGCACAAAAGGCGCACAGAGGGGGCGCACAGAGGGGGCCCACACGTACAGCACACGAAGCAAGGCGAGCGGCAAGCAGCACAGGCAGGACACATGGCCCACAAGGGGCACGTACGCAGGACACACCACGAGCACGCAACGCGCGACACGCAAGGTGGCGGACGGGATGCGGCACACGGAGGACAACAACACGCAGCGCAAGGCACACGCGGAACGCAAAAACGTACGGCGCACAACAGTCGGGATACGTGTGGCCATGCGTGCGTCAGACACAGAGCGCGCACCGTGCATGCAGCATGCAGAGGAGACACGGGGGGAGGAGGCGTCACACACAGCACACAGCATCACGGTTAAATACAACGTGATAACAGGGCGCAGCATGACAACACCTCATTGCGCGTTAGTTAACCCACACAGCAGGCCACGCAAAAACAGGCAAAAAATAAATGTTGGTTCTTCATACATTTTTCACAAATGACTGTAATGCCATTAGACGATATAGCCAAGTGCAATGTTGTCAAACAACAGTCAAATCATGGCAGTACTTCAAACAAAGCATTCCGTCAAAGATCGATCCTACTCAACCACTCATCCGTACCCTTAGCCTTGCGAACAAGTGGTTTACTCTTTTCCTGTATTACAAAAATTATGCCAAGAACACTGAGCACGGCCAACTGAAATCGAACTGATATCCTTAACAAGGGGGAGGGGACTGCGTTGGCAGTGGTGCAAAAGGACAAATCAAACACTGCCTTTGAGGCCGACGTTTTTGGCGATATGAATACGTGTTATACGGCAGTAGTAATAATGATTTGCGATATAAAAAAATATCTAACAATTTTGTTGCTTGTGGTAAGACAGATGCACTGCACCTTTGTTTGTCTGGTGGCTGCCAAATTCTCAGCGGTACTGACCGAGTAATCTGGCGTGGGCATTCGCCCCTTGAGCCACACCGCCGTTTCAAGCTTTAAATATTAATGTTGAAAGTTCGAACAATTTAAATTCTTTGCAACGTGCAGAATGCACTTGCCGAAGAAGGACGTGGCTAATGTTTCCTGGGATTTCCACCAAAAAGCTCCGCCGATCGCTGGTCGCCAACATGCCAGCAGCACACAGCCGAAAGGCTGGCAATGCCGTTCTTGACCGCATCGATACATTAATTGCTGGCAACGAGCAACATGGACTAGCAGAGTTGTGGGCAACTTGCCGCCCCTGGAGCCTCTCGTGGTGGCCTGGTCTCAGTGTGTCTGGGGTGATGCGTGGGGTCGTGATCACCTCCCAATTAGCACGGTTGGCTACGTACGGTGCGAAAGAAGTTCATACATTATATCGATAATTAATAACGCAATTAACTATGCACTCCTCTACCTGTGCCTCATCAGTCTGTCAGGTTATGGCGAATTCAAGGACTCATTTTGAGCTTAACACTTCATGCATTAGTAACTTTACATATTATTTAAAAAATATATAAAATGTCAAGAATAAGCATGTAACAATTCACTCGTCAGCGATCCAATATGTTACCATGTTTTGGGAGTCAAGGTTCCATTCGTAGATGGATTTCTATGTATTTATTGTTTTTATCGTCTGCAGTGTGTATTGTAACAACGGCGCATAATTTGCAGAAATAGCACGCGACCGATGCTCACAAAAGTGATCCGGCCGCGTGTTTTGTGAGCCTTCGAATTTATTTGGATCGATGAATCGATGCATCATTACATGACTATTTAACCCATTTATTTAACATCCAAATAATATAATGTGCACACACACACACACAGACAAATGCTCCTTATGGCGCTACCCCGGGGTACCAAATAATACAAAATGGCCGAGGCAATTAAATATTTTATTTCTGGGACACTATTTTTTTCCAGGGGTGTAACTTCACTCCGCGACTGGGTACCAATCAATCCGACATCAGTGCTACTTCACGATGTCGATTCGCAGCGAAAACGATTGCGATGAAACCCTGAACGCTCGCGTACACACCGTGGTGGTGCATCGTAGTGTACAGCTCGTCGAGATGAGTCGATTGGCGCGTCGCCGACCATCAGCAAACTAAAAATGACTGCATCACGGACATGATGCGAGAGCCGGGGTACGATGGTACCCCGGGGTACCGCCATAAGATTCACATATATATTTTTGCTCTAAAGTTTAAATGGACACAATTGTCTTGCTTTAGGAGTAAAGCATTAAATTATATAATACGTATGAATGTGGACATTTGACACAGCACCACTTCCCCAAAGCAGCACTCAATGCACTGAAAGATGCTTGATTGAAGGCAGAATCAAGAATCAACCTTCCCAGGTGTGAGGCATTGAGGGATTTTGTGAACGTTACAGATCAAACCTTAGGTGATTCCTGCAATCGGAAATAATTAGTAAAAAAAACATCAAACATATTTCATGCACACACACGCACGCATGCGTAGACAAATGTGACACAAATGTTAAACTTCTCAAAGAGTGACTGGAAGTTCTATTATAAACTATCTATAGAACGGCATCTAACTCTACAAAAGCAAGAGCCCCTTTACGATAAATCAAGTATTTATGAAATCCCACTAAATGTCATAACGCCTGGGCTTGTTATGCCTTGCATCTTTCTTTCGTGTCGGTTACAAAGCCCACGACTTTTCACTTTAAACTGGGGAGGCGGCGTGGGCGGGGGGGGGAATGGGCGGGGCGGAGTGGGGGGGGGGTTCAGATTTCACTTGCCACTGATGTGAGTCGTGGTCAGGAAGGGAAGCCCAGGTATTTGGGTTCACAGCGCAGTGTGGCTCCACTTACGAGTGAATCAATATTCAAGAGGCCACACTGCGAGACATTTCAGGCTGCTTGGACAGATTGGGCTGCGAGGTTACTGCAGTTTGGTGGGCGTAGTAATTATTCAGATGATTTTATAATTAGGCAGGTGATCGTTTTCAAGTTCGACGTTTGGTATGGCGTCTGATGATTTATTGTAATCTCTTAACATCGAGTTTAGAGCAGAGGAAAGTAATTCCTCAAAATTCCATTTACAGGGCAACTGTCGCAGGTATCAAGCTGTGCTCTCGGTGAAAATACTCGCGCGTACGAGTTGATCGGTGGCCCTGCACCCCCAGATAACAGGAATGAATTTCAATCCTCCCCTAACATAAGAAGATGTGTTTATGAAATCAGACAGTAAACATGTAAGGACAGCACACAACGCATTGAGGAGAACCATAATTAGCACACAGGACCAGATCAATCGTCCGCAAAAGCACCACCGCACGTCACCTTTCTGGGGGTTTTGTTTTTAACTTAAAGCGGTCAAAAACATTTGTTCGCTTAAGTTACGCGTGCCCATTGAAGATTCTCCCACAAAGCGGTGATTCTGACTGCACTTATGATTGTTCACCGAAATTCCTCACCACAACCACTGTGCGCTCAGCTCCAGTAACACCCGCACCTCGCCACAGAGCCGCCCATTCCCAACGCACACGCTCGCACACCGCTTCATGCAAATGTGCCGCATTTTTCTGTGCACTGGCAGTGTTGGGGAGTAACACCTGGCCTCGTGACTCACAGTTGGGTTTATTTTACATTCAATTCAGTTACTTAAATAGATGACGTTGGTGGAACTGATTTTTTAAAGGTAGGGTTAGCGATTCATCCAGTCCCGCTATCAACTATCACATTTAAACGTGCAATATATTTGTGAAATTACATAACCGTCAAGCCTACATAATGTGCATTTGTTGAAACATGTTCTAACAAATCATATCTTCGAGCTGAATTAAATGTTGCTTAACAAGTAGGGAGCTTATGTTTGTTATTTATGTTTGTGCAAACAAAATTTGGGTAGTAACATTTGTTATGGTAAAGTTTATTATTTAATAAATGTTGAAGATAATTTCAATATTATAGTGGACTGTGACAGCACCAGACAATAGGCTATTCTTAAGAATGACATTGTAACAGGGTTTTAAATGTTCACTTTACAGCAGGAACCACACTTCAGGTAATAAGTCTGTGCTGCTGTAAGGTAAACATTTGAAGGGTGAAGGCCATATTATCATTATCATCATCATCGGCTATCCCTCGCAATCGAGAATGATTGTCTTCCAAAGAAAAGTAAGATTATCTGCGGGTCCGAAGATGGCTAAAGAGGCCGATGTGGGATTGACAAATGCTGCCGCAGCTCGGGCACGCACACGCACACGCACGCGTGTCCACAGAGGGTGGGTGGTGGAACTGGATCAGATTGTCACCCTTGTTCCGACACACATAATAAGGGTAGTGACGCCAAGACTGCGAGTCACTGAGGAATGGGAGGCTAGAAGAACGTGGCTTCTTATTTAAAAACAAAACAAAGGAGGCAGCAGAGGTTGCAGTGAACTGGGAGAACAAACTGAGCGGACAGACCAACCTCGGGCATAAAGACGCAACAATGCCATGTGTGCCTTGTGGGTGGGGGGCGTTCCAACAACATCAAGAACAAATCTGGACTCCACACTTCTCTGTGAAGCCAACATTTAACAAAATGCCCCAAGAGCAGAAATGTGCACTGGCATGACATGACATTGCTGTTGAATCAAAGGACGCAGCTCAATGTTTTGGCTGCTTCATGCCAATTTGACACCAATGCTGCTGCTGGCTTGTGGCTCCAGAAAGCGACAACGACAAAAAACACCCTCAAAGTGTCACAGCCTGACGTGACACACGCGCAGGCAGTCCGGACACTTTACAAGACGGCGGCAGAGGCTTCATCAGTGCTACCTCCTTTGGACAGTTGCAATGGACTTTCCTAAGTCGAACTCGTCTTAGCCGAGAGCCCAGCACCAGAGAATGATTACATGCCGACTTCAAATTACAATTCCCAAATCGCATACACGTGTCACCTGCTGCTGGGAGAGGTGACGCATTGTACATTGCCTCCTCAAACTGGAGCCACAAGAAACTACTGCCCAACACATACCACCGATGAGTAAGCGTGAGGCAAGGAGACCAAGGAGATTAGACGCGGTGCGGGCGAACCACCACCTCACCCCCACCACCGCACGGCAGGCCAGGCAGAGGCAGTACCTGGGAGTGCCATGCTAGAGGCCTCCAGGATGGTACCAAATGAGGCAGTCTTTCGGTGGCCCCGTTTGTGCCTCGATGCTGCTGTGGAGACGTCACACATAACCGTGGCATGCAGCGGCAGCAGAACACAGCGGTGTGCAACCCACCAGCCTTCCCGCCAGCGCTCTACCCACCCACGAATGGACCCGCCCAATATATTCTCCGTCATATTCATCGGAGAAGGATGTGCTTCACATTGCCCGTGTACGCACGTACGCATGGCGCCCCTTCAGTTGGAGGGATCGTTTGACGATGCAATGACTGGACGTGGTTTTGGTGTCACCAACGCGCTTCTTGTGGCATGGCTCCTCCGTCACCTTCATGCACAATGCTCCTAGGCGCCGAGCTCAGCTACCGCAGCCGCCACCAGGTTAAGTCTCTAATCGAGGTTTTGTTGGATTAGGTCGCGTAAATATAAATGCGTCGTTAAACCCGCAACAGCCAAATAGTAAGGTTAGTCACGTAAGCAAAACACGCAAATTCGTTGTTTATGTGACAAACCTTACTAATTGGCTGTGTCGGGTGTTGGCGGGTTTAACGACACGTTTATATTCACGCGATCTAAACCCAAAAAAACTGTCTATTATGGACACGGCTCACTCAAGCCTACGTGTTAAAAACTGAGGTCGGTCTCTATGGCCTACACCTGGTGACTAACCACCGTTAATTGGGGTTGTAGGTTTTTTTGACCGACACGTCCTTTCAAGTGACTGGTGCCAGTGGTTTGGGAGGAATCGAGAGGAATTGTTGTGTTCTACACAGACACCCAAAGTGAACTCAAAGTGGAAGAGCTGAGGCACGGGAAGGAAGATCCCACCGAGGTGTAAAGCAACGATGGTTGCTTTCCCATGCAGGGGCCTCTCGTGCTGTGCTCCTCGTGACCGCTATGGCACGCAGCGATCAACAGTGTGCAGCCAGTGGATCTTTAGGTTGGAACCTGTAAGCTCGAGGGTTGTGTGCGAGTGCTATCCAGACAAAACCACGGCGTTAAATACTTGTTGTGCCCTTTAAATTCAGAACATGAAAAAAATAAGCATTTTAATTGGCTCAAGTTTTTGGCAGTTACCTTCACTTTGCATTAAATAACAGATAATCGACTCCTATATTTGGTGTAAAAAAATGCAACGGTAATGCCGTTTGTATCCGCCAACGTAGTACGAATGGAATGTCACCAAACACATAATGCGGTTATTAAAACGATAAGATGTTGACAAGTGTAGATGGTGGCGATGCACACTGCTGTAGTCTTTATGGTTATTAGCAAGCAAACCACACAGACCTGCAGAGTTTAGTATGTTAGTGGGACAAGGGATATTAGTAATTTCCTACATGTGTTTTGACTCTAACATTTTTATTATTTTAGCTGCCAAAGTCAAAAACAGAAAATTATTTTCATCTACCTAGCCTATTGTTGACACCTTAGAGGCAGATTAGCAAATATGCTTCAGGGTGTCGCAATTCCGTTTGGTGGCTCAAACTTCAAATGTTAAGCATCGTCACGTTGCTCTGACGCGGTTAAGGAAGTTCCACGTTTCTATGTGCGAGACCTGTCTTTGTATAGGACGAGCATGGTGGTTGTCAGTTGCATTGCGCAAAAATGGATGTAATAGTGGGCGCCACGGTGGCTAGGAGATCTTAACTCCCTCGCCTGGTATACAGGAGGTCGTGGGTTCGATCCCGACCCTGTATATTTCGAGTTTGCATGTCTCTCTCCCCATGGGCGCATGGATTATTCTCCAGGTGTTTCTGTTTTCTGGTCCACATTTAGAATTGTGCGTTTAGAGTATTTGGCTGCTATACATTTCCACGTGATGATGATGAGCCACTTCATTCAGAGAAAATCCGCGATAGCCAGGTCGCTTCTGACAAAGAGCTACCTAGCTCAGTGGGCATTACGTGGTAAAATACAAAATAGTTTTTGGTTTAGTTTAGAGGTAGTTGTTGGGGTAGAACCCCTTGACGCTTCTTCGCCTCACACTTCCTCCGTATTCTCCGGTGCTGGGCTGCAGGCGTCGATCAACGTTTAAACACAAACTGAAGGGCTTTACCAGCCCAAGGTTAAGTCAAATCATAAAAAAATAAAAAAATTAGAGAAACTGATTGTTTGTCCACACAACAATGCCATTTAGCAAGAGACCTTATTTTGGAGGAGTAATAGGTTGCAAATGTACGGGACTTCGTGTCTTCGGTATGCGTGGCCTACGGGGTCATGAAGACCACTGCATCCTGAAGACACATGACCCAGATTAGTAGTAATCTTCCTGCAGGAAATGCTATTTTCAAACAGGGTAAAAACGACGACACTGCCAGCTGTTGAGCTTGAGTGTTGAGATCAGCCTGCTGCACACATATACACTCACTCCCTCTGTTGGCCTTGCAGGGTATTAGGGATTTGCCAAGAGTGTGGATGATGAATGTTATTTTCACCATGATTTGTAACTCATGTTTTGATGCATTAATAACGGCAAGCCTAATGCAGCCGACTATTCAATCATTTTTTTTTAATGCCATTTGGGCAAACTATTATCGGGGGGGGGGGGGGGGGAAGCAAGCTAATCTGCACAAAGCCAGAAAAATAAACGTAATCTCATTCACCGGCCATTGGGCCTTTCGATTGCATTCATTTGAATTAAGACTCCAAACTCTCTTCGGTGACGACATAAACCCCATGCCCCGCAGCAACGGGTATCCGCGTGGTGCCACGCAAATCCCCTCTCTGCCCGCGAGTGAACGACGTAAAAAACTCGGCCTCGTAAGCAGGGCCCCCCCTCCCCCCGTCCCGTCGAGGCTGTGTCCCACGCAGACATGGGCACGCCCCCGCCACCCCCCCGAGGTACGTACATGTGGCGCCCGTCAGGATCTTGCCCTCGAGCTCGGTGAGGGTGCTAAAGTCGGCGCTCAGGCGGTGTCCCTCGAAGGCCGGCGTTCCGGCGCGGGAGTGCGCCAGGGACTCGACGCTGGAGCCACGCGACAGAGACAGCCCCGGCTTCGCTCCGCCCTCGCCCTGCGGCAACACAGACGCACGGCGGCACTCGTCAGCCAACCGGAAACGAACCGTACGTCGAATACAAACTACACTCGTTAACCTGACGCTAGCTCCACCTGAAACTCTAACCACATTTACAAATTGTTTCGCAACCCTACAGATGACACTTTATACTATACGAGATCTTTGGATCATCTTCTTCCAAGTACTCCGAGGTCAAGGCTCGTGGTGGATTGACAACACATTTCTTTCAAACTGATTTTTGTGTTTGCTTTGTTGTCCTTTCCCCGCATCTCCGATTAACATGGTTGGCTACGTACGGTGCAACAGAAGTTGAACATACGTACATACAAGGCTCTGTCCTCCTGGGGTGATCGGGATTTTGCCAGTGCAGCTCCGAGAATATGGAACGCTTTTGTAATAAGACAATTCGTCGTCCGAGCTGTTGTCTTGAAAACTCGCCTCTTTAAATTGACCTTTACCCACCCCCTGGCTCTGGCCATTTACTCTGGTTCTCTGTTTATTTCCTGCTTTCCATACACGGCACATTTGTATCTGTGGATGAAATTCGCCTTACAAAATGGAATTTATTATTAGCGAATCAGAACCTAGCCCTATCTATTGCCCTAACCACACCAGCTACCCAGAGCCCAGCTCTGCCTCAAAATAATTACTATGATGACCAACGAGACCATAATATAGCCCTCCCCGTACTCACACCAACCAATCAAATCCTAGCAATAGCCCTAACCACTAACCCCACTGACCACCAACCAGACCACAACCCTTTCTACCCTGGATGCTACGTCTAGTCCTGCCTCTAGTCCTATCTCCATTACTGGAGCCTCTGGATTGTCGTCGTTGTCACCCTTTGCGCTTCCCAGCTCTGTCTTTCCACGCAGCAGTGTCTGATATGGGGGAGGCCATCGTCCAGCAGTGTACAGATCAATGCTGATTATGATGGTACAGCGTGTTTATATAGAACTGCATTTAGATGCAATATAAATTGACATTGTATTGTATGATGATGATGCTGAAAAACCATCCAAAAATGGATATTGGACCACACTTGCCAACCATAAACCCCTTTTTCCAGCAGTGGATAGATCAAGGCTGATGATGATATTCCTTCCCCAAAACAGTTTACCACAGTGAGCTTACCAATTACCAACCTTCATCCAGCAGTGGATCAATCATGGCTGAGATGACGATGACTAAGCTTGAACATGACATTTGAGGCTTCCACAGACCCATGTGAGCGTAAATCAATCTGCTGTCGCCCCCACCACCCCCACCCCCCCTGGCCGCCGTTTGCCGCCAGCCCCGGTGAGAGCCAGGGGAGTCACTGCCCCCCCCCCCCCCCCAACGGCACACTCGACGAGCTCACCTTGATCTGCTTGAGCTTCGACTCGAGGCGCCGCACGGTGTCGCTCAGAGTGAACGGGAGGCTCTCCTGGTCCTGGACATCGCTCTTGTTGCTGGTGTTCGTCGACATCACCTCTGGAGAGGGGAGAGGGGAGAGGGAGGGGCGGGAGGGAGGGGTGGGGGGAGCAGTCGGCAACGACGCCGGCGGCAGCACTGGTCGCCTCGCCCGACACGACGGCGACCACCAACCACGTAAAGCTGACGGGCTAAAGCCTCAACCACAACAATAATAATAATGATGACATTCATGTATTTATCCAGGAGAGCCGCAACGTGTCTCAATACACTTTCAGGAGGGAGTATTTGGCCAATTCTTTAAGAAGTATTTTGCGTGTGGTAGCAGAGCAGTAGTGGTAAAACACAGTACCAGGAAAAAATAGACAAAACTAAAGCACCATGAAAAGAAACCCAGGGGCAGACTTAGTCTGCCATCGCACAGAAGAGATAACATCGGTATCTCTATAAGAATGCAACACTGGGTATCCATTTTTTTTGGGTATCCAATGCAGAGACCGAGTCCTGCCATGAGAATGTGACTTTGCCATCGCTGGCTCGGGGCCACCAACGGAGGTGAGTGTCACCACATTCCTCGATTTAAATAAAAACTACCCAAATAATCAGATGGAAATTGAGGCTTATCGTCTGAATGGTGCCTCACCACGGTGGCGAGATGTTAACTACCTCGCCTGGTATACAGTTCGTAGATCCCGACCCTGACGCCTATATACGTGGAGTTTGTATTTCTCTCTCCCCGTGGATTTTTCACCGAGTCCTCCGGTTTTTCCCTCCATATTTAGAAACATGCGTTTAAGAGTATTTGGCTGCTATAAATTCCCACATGATAAGCCATTTCGTTGAGCATTCATTTCTGATAGCGAGGTCACTTATGAAAAAGAGCTATACAGCTCAGTGGGCCCTACCTGGTAAAACTAAAATAGTTTATTTTATTTTTATTTAAAACATATAACATCAAAGCATCCATAAACCGCCTCCACAGCTTTGTCGAGTTTATGTGAACTCGCGACTGAGAATCATGAATCCCAAATGCCCACGAGGCAAAGCAAAGAATTCAAAGTGACCTTTCACGAAGACGTTTAAATCGACCGCAAAAGGAACACGTGTTGATGTTCTGTGCGAGCACCTGTGCTCGTGGCCGAGTTGCTCTGGCTGAGGTCGGAGCTGTAGCTCGGATACTGCAGGGGCTCCTCCGCTCCCGGGAAGTACTGAGCACACGGCACAAGAGTGGGCGGCATTCGCCACATGAGGCCCTGTCTGAGCGCAGCAAGTGTTCAGTGGATATCCACGGAGCGCCCCGGGGTGAGTGGTGTGGTACATGCGAGTGGTCGCGGTTCGCGCGCTGCGCTTCAACCCCAGCGACCCCGAGTTTGAGACCTGCTCACGGCCAACACCAGTTACGATTGTCTGCAGCGAGCCCTGGGCCTCCCCTAGGTCGATTCAGCCTCAAATGAGTAACTAGTGTGATGTGTAAAGCATCGCCACTTGGGGGACAAAGGCGGCTGGGTGTGGTCCTGGCCACTCCACCCCCTTGTTCACTTGTCCCAATAATCTGTTAAGGCTATATGGAGGTCCTTTATCTGTGTTTGAGTGTCCGGGTGAGTGATTAACTTAATACCAAAATGAATAATAAATTATAGGCGAGTGGTGAATATATAGATGAACGATGTGCATGTATGAGCGCATGAGTGTTTTGCTTAGAGTGTGTGGGTGTGAATACGGTTGTATATGAATATCTAGTCGGTTGATGTGCGTGCGTGTGTATGAATATTAGTGCCCCGGGTGAGTTACGTTCACAGGTGGACTGATGCCCGGATGAGCGGTGTGCATGGGGGCAGGCAAAATCGCACCTTCATGAGGTGTATCATAATGCGCACGATCTCCTCCATGGACGGCCGGAGTGCCGGCTCCTTGTCCCAGCATCGCGTCATGAGGCCCTCGATCGGCTTGGGCAGGTTTTTAATGAGCGGGGGCCGGGTTCCTGAAGTGATGCACACAGCCCTCACTGTTAAAAGTCTAACCGTAGTGCGGTGAACGCATCCTCGTTGTCGGTGCGCAGTTGCAAACCTTCACGAGACCGACTGTTTTACACGCATCCGTTTATTATCTCCCATTGGCAGACGCGAGCGCTCAGGGTCATGTTGATATGCAGTAAATCTGTGCCAAAGACCCACACGTTGAGCATCTCCACCGCTAATGGCACGGCAGTTATTAATACCCAGTTATGCTTCATGGAAAATCGAATTGCTTCTGAGAATTATTTTTTTAAATGGCATTTAAAAGGATTTATATTACGCATTCGGGGTGGACTGGAAAATCGTGTAAAGTATAAAACGCAAAGGGCAGTTCCCCCACCCCGTGTACCCTCCACAAACTCTGCCAACAACGAAGACCCAACACATTCAGACACAATTTTTTTAAATTAAACCTCATCCAAATAAAAATGCGTCTAAAGATGCCGTACAAAGATCGTGTGACACGCTAATTGTGTGGACAGTAACATACACAGTGCGTGCGAATTCAGTAGGAGCAGAGAGGGAACAGCAGCCTCGACAAAACACGTACCGTTGTGCACAGCCCACATGATGCGGAACGCGGGGCCTCCAATCTCGTCAAACGGCTTGCGGCGAGTGATGACTTCCCACAGGATGATGCCCCAGCTGAACACGTCGCACTTCTCGCTGTAGTTGCTGCCTGTACAGACCAAGATCCCCACGGAGCCGTTTACAGACTGCCGGGCCTCAGTGCTGTTAAACGAGCACCAATGAATCATCATCATCATTTCGTGCCGATCAATCAACAAATTCAGACCAATGATGAACCATTTGAGGGCACTGGTACTCCTCCTGCAGCAAGACAGCTTAACACAGCACAAAGACACACACACACACACACAAAGACCCCCTGTATAGCCTTCATAGATTGTTGGGGAAAGTGCTATTAGTGAGCACCTATGAAGGTCGGCACGGTACATGGGGGGTATGTGGCCAGCACCACGCCCGGCCGCCTTTGTCTCCCTAGTGGCGATGTTTGACACACTGCACCAGGTACTCATTTGAGGCTGAGTCAACCTAGGGGAAGCCCAGGACCGGTTCAGATAATCGTTAATGGTGTTGATCATGAGAAAAAATCGAACACGGTTCCCTGGGTTTGCAGCATGCGCACACACACGCATACACCCACGTGGGACGCATGGCTCATCGTCATCTCGCTGTTTGCAGGGCAACAACGAATCTGGTGAGATTCATAATCGATGCAATATCGATACAATGATGATGTCAATTTGTTCGGGAATAAAAAAAGCCTCGCTGAATTCGCAAGACTTTCATTTGGGATCAAAGGCCAAATCCAACTGTCAGATGAAACCACAATATCCGGCGATAACACAAATGGTCCACTTTGCAGCTCAGCCGGTTAAGGAGTTTCATAAATCTATACGATCTACCGATGGTTATTTACAAAGTGCTGGTTACAGGTGAACCTAACAATCAATGGGGTCAACATTTCCTCTAATTAACACTGGGCTTCTGAATTCACATTCATGAGACCCCATACAGTCAACATTATCATCCACATTTGAAATGCAAATTGAGACACTGTTAAACGCTGTTCAGATGTGACGATCCATAAAAAATTTACATTTGCAACAGGCGTGATCAATGCTGGTTTAAGAAGAATTCCGCCGCTTAATATGCATCTTCAAAAGACAACGAACGTGGTGCTACCCTTGACAGGTGTTCACCGACAGCACTTGCCACCTACAGACTGTTTCTTGTGTGCGTATCTCTACGTGTTTCTGCGAGCCTGTGCGCGTGTGTGTGCGCGTGCGTGTGCGCGTGCGTGTGCGAGCATAACCTTCAAACACCTCTGGGGCCATCCACGCAGCGCTGCCCTTGTTGTTTGTCATGTGGGTCTGGATGTCGCAGGCCGTGCCGAAGTCGCAGATTTTTAAGATCGTCCCTCCAGATATGAGCAGCAAACTGCAAAGGCAAATCCAGTTGAGCAAATGAGAGCGCCTTACACATTTTGCCCCCCCAGTGACTCCTTAGTTCACTCCCAGAGGTCCTGTGAGGCTCCTCACTTTAATCTGTAAGAAGCAATCGCATCAGAAATATGTTGCAAACCTCTTCACTGGGCATTGGACAGCACGCCCAGCTCCGAAAGCTTATTTGGTGCACAGATACAGAAGGATCCGTTTATCCCTCTACACCAGGGGTCCTCAAACTATGGCCCGCGGGCCACATGCGGCCCGCCAAGGACATTTATCCGGCCCCCCCACCTCCCAGGACTCAGAGGAAACCAGGGCATGTGGGAGGGGCCAGCTGCGCGGTGACTTGTGGGCAGTGAAAGCCGGAAGCTGGTTCGTGGGAGAGAGAGCGCGGGAGACGTGACAGACTGAGCATCACAGCGCAGCCACAGTCTTTTAGAGCAAAGGCAGCTTGGAGGAAGTTGGCAGCATCATTACCCCCCGAACCGAAGAGGTGAGACAGATGACACCCACATCCCATGGTCACTAATTGGGCTGCGCTGGTGAGCACTAATTGGGCTGCGCTGATGAGCACTCATTGGGCTGCGGCGGTGGGCACTAATTGGGCTGCGCTGGTGAGTACTGATTGAGCTGCGGCGGTGGGCACTCATTGGGCTGCGCTGGTGAATGGTTCAATGGGCCAATTGACTGGACTTGCCCCCCAGGCCTAAGGCTGCCAGCCCTCCCCTGGCTGCGCTTGACTGGCTCTGCCTCGCTCAGCTCCCTCACTTGCCCCTCGGCTCCACTCCCAGTGATATTCCTGTGTGCTGGGGATGTACTGCGATCTGTGAACAAAACTGCAGGTGTAATTAACTTTTTAATGGCACCCGCACCAGTGTGAGCCTGGGGTAAAAGCGGAGTTCCCCCAATCAGACTGCATTGATGGGCAGTGCAGTCTGTATGTCTCTGTGTGGGCAAAGTTATTGCTGGTATATTGTTTTTTGTAGCGCTGTATATATATTGGTATTTTACTAATAGCAATTTTGACTCCCTAGGAAACAATGATGTCAAGAAAGAGAAAAATTGACTCGGAGTGTAGGATATTCAAAGAACAGTGGACTTATGATTACATTTTCATGCAGTACAAGGAAAGAGCTGTGTGTCTGATATGCCAGAATATAGTGTCTGTGTTCAAAGAATACAATTTACGTCAACACTATGAAACTCAACATAAAGATAAATATGATTGTTTGGTCGGAGAAAAGATAAAATATTAAACTAAAAAATACATTAACAACTCAGCAAAATACTTTTGTGAAGCAGAAGCAGCTAAATATTTCATCACTGCGAGCAAGTTTTCAAGTTGCCAAGCTAATAGCGTGCACTGGCAGACCATTCATGGAGGGAGAATTTGTTAAAGAATGCCTTCTTTCTGTTGCCAAAGAGATGTGTCCAGAGAAGGCCGATTTATTTAGTACAGTGAGTCTTACAGGACCTACAATTACACGGAGGATTGAAGAAATGGGAGACAATTTGCATCAGCATTTGCAAAACTCCACAAAAAAACTTTCCTATTTTTCCTTGGCACTCGACGCAAGCAATGATGTTCGTGATTCTGCACAACTTCTAATTTTTATTCGTGGGACGAATGACTATTTCGAAGTCACAGAAGAGCTTGCTGCACTGCAAAGCATCAAAGGAACAACTACAGGAGAGGATATCTATGAAAAGGTTTGCCAAACTGTGAATGGTTTGGAGCTGAATTGGGCTAAACTAGCCAGTGTGACAACTGATGGTGCTCCTAGCATGGTGGGGTCTAAGAAAGGAGTAATTGCTCGCATTAACCAAGAGATGGACAAACATAACCATTCTCATCCAATAGCCATACACTGCCTCATCCACCAACAAGCGCTGTGTAGTAAATCACTGAAGTGGGACTCTGTTATGAAAATTGTGGTATCTTGTGTTAACTTCATTAGAGCTCATGCACTAAACCACAAACAATTTCAGGAATTTCTGTCTGAACTAAATGTTGACTATGAAGATGTTCTGTACCACACAGAAGTCCGTTGGCTGAGTCGAGGGAGAGTTTTGAAACGTTTCTATGACTTACTTCCACAGATTACAGCTTTTCTGCTTTCAAAAAACAAAGAAGTACCAGAGCTCAATGATGCAGAATGGAAATGGCACCTTGCCTTTCTGACAGATGTAGCAGAGCTACTCAACAGTTTCAATGTGCAACTTCAAGGAAAGAGGAAGCTCCTCTGTGATATGCAATCACATGTCAAAGCATTTGAAGTAGAATTAGGCCTCCTCATCAAACAAGTTAAGGAGGAAAACTTCTGCCATCTCCCCACAACTCAAAATCTGTTAGCGGAAAAACCATTGGTTGCAATTCCCAAACAAAACATGTGTGGATTCACTGGAAAAATTGCAAAAGGAGTTCCAATTTAGATTTAAAGAGCTTCATCGCCATGAACAGGACATACAGCTTTTCCGTAACCCATTTTCTATTGACATTGAAAATGTGGATACAATTTACCAAATGGAACTGGCTGAACTGCAGAATTGTGACTCTCTGAAAGACGCATTCAAGTCAAGCAGCCTTCATAATTTCTATGCATCTCTCCCCTCTGAGACATATCCTCATCTCAGGAACCATGCACTCAAAATGGCAACCATCTTTGGCAGCACTTATGTCTGTGAACAGACTTTTTCCAGAATGAAACATTTGAAATCTCCAACCAGATCTAGGCTAATGGATGCACACTTGCATCACTTGTTACGACTAGCAGTGACAAATATGGAACCGGACATTGACCATCTCATTAGGCAAAAGCAGGCCCATAGTTCCCATTGAAATACTGGCAAGTGTGTTGATTTAACTTTACTTGTTCTTCATTTTAAATATTGTATTTGTTCCCATTTTGTTTCTTCACTTCAAAATAAGATATATGCAGTGTGCATAGGAATTTGTTCATAGTTTTTTTTTTACTATAGTCCGGCCCTCCAACGGTCTGAAGGACAGTGAACTGGCCCCCTGTTTAAAAAGTTTGAGGACCCCTGCTCTACACGGTTAAGGAGTGCGATTTAAAGTTGATGGGAGGATAGGCTCTTTGAAGAATGTCAGGTGAAGGCATTTTAATTAACTTCTGGGTGAGTGCCCAAAGTGGCGTGCGTCTCTCTCCCATCTTTAGAAAATAAACCTGAGCTCGACGTTTTCGATGCCGTCACACTATTTGACGACAATCGTGCTACAGCCACGATATTCACATGGGTAAACCCCAATGGCGGAGCCATGATTTTCAGGTATGAGGAGCAACCTCTCCAACAATGAAAAATTATAGGAGTTGTTAGTAAGTAAGGTTGTGTACTGTATACGCAACTGCGCACAATTCTGAGTCACGTATAACTGCTTGGCCATTACTTATTGACAATTATGGACTCATTGTCCGATCATCTCATAGAGTCCCTGGCACGTAATAATATGCTACACAGTGGGGATCGCAAAATGCCGATTTATTACGAATAAACCCCAATGATCCGTGCCACCCCCCCCCCCCCCCCCCCGCTGGCTCCGCCAGTAAGTAAACCTGTTCTCCAGCCAACCTCATGAAAAAACTTTATAGCCCTTTTGACACGGTACCACAGTTCACGAAATCGCTGAAGACTGCACCCACAGAATTAGCGTACTCACCAGATGAATACAATGATCTAGAACAGTGTTTCTTAACCTGGGGTACACGCACCCCTGAGAGTGCGAGATGCCCTTTCTGGGGGTGTGATAGATGCCAGATTTATTTAGAAGGTAAATCATCCAAACACAAACTACGCACGCACAACTACTTTGTTTCATCAAACCCGATGTATTTATTAACATAATACACTTTTTTACCATTTTTAATGAAGGCTTTTTTCTTTTTAAACCCGTTTAACGACAAAAAAAACCTAGATTATGGATGATTATTGGCCGCAAAAGCCTATGTGTTAAACTGGAGTTTATTATTTTCACAAAGAGGAGAGATGGGCAAGGCCCCCGACTCACTTGGGTGGTTTGAGGTCACGGTGGATGAGGGCCTTGGGCTTCATGCAGTGCAGGTAGGCCACGCCCTGCGCGCACTGCAGGCACCAGCGCATGGCGTGCGCCGCCGTGTAGTAAGGCAGCGGCTCCGCTCCGTGCAGCACTGGGCAAACGGGGAGCACGCCGATGGAACCCCAGAGACCGCTCCGTCTCTTGCCTATTGTCTAGCAACCCTCTCCGAGGCTTGTCAGTACACCGATTGGCTACAGGCCCCCACACAAGACTCCAGAACTGTCAGCCTGTTGTTTAAACGGCTTATCAACATCTCAGTGGCAGGATGTTAACTATCTCACCTGGTATACAGTAGGTTGTGGGTTCGATCCTGACCCTGATGCCTGTGTGTCCTCGTGGTCACGTGGATTTTTCTCCGGGTCCTTTGGTTTATCCCTCCACATTTAGAAACATGTGTATAAGAGTATTTGGCTGCTATAAATTTCCACGTGATAAGCAACTTCATTGGGCTATCATTTGTGGTCAGGTCGCTTCTGAAAAAGAGCTACATAGCTCAGTGGGGCTTACCTGGTAAAATAAAACATCGTTGAATTTCATGGTGTTAGTTGAATCTACCGTCTAGAGACACCATAAGAATATTAACCTCAATGCACCTGAATGGACCTCTAGACTCCATTCAGACTAAAGGCCTCTAGGGAATCGCCCCATCGCAATTCAATGAGCGAATCAAACGTTTGTTTGGTCATGAATGTCGTGGCATCCAGTGGCGTCAGAGGGTCGTGGTTACAAGGATTGTGAATCAAAACATAACCGACTCTTACGTGCATGCTTGAATGCATCCATGTATATTGAGCATAATGATACATTCTAACAAATGCTAGATCTGAGCTAACTCCAGTGGCACAGTGACTGTGATCAGTGTTGGTATGTATGTATGTAGAACTTCTTTCACACCATCACAAAGCTTCCCTCACCATTATAGAGGGAGCCTCCTTCAGCATACTCCATCACCAGACAGACCTGCTCGCCAAGAAAGCAAACATCCCGTCAGTATCCGCACGTGCACATAAACATGTGGGAAATCACACATTCGTCACCACAAGGCGCAGAAACTTGCACAACATCGACTTCACTCATGCAAAGTAGTGGTTCTACAAACCGCACTAAATCCGATTGTGTGCGGAGTTAGCTGGTGATAAATGTTTGATAAGGTTTTTAAAAGCTACCAGCTAGAGACTAAATCTGGAGGGCCTCCCAACCTCCCGTCCAGACTACAATCACAGAAAAAACACAAACTACATAGTCGAATTCAGATTAATATAATGTAAATGTGTCATGGGAATTTATTTTTGTAACTCTTGCACAAAGCAGTGCACCATGCCGTGTTCGAGCACGGCATCAGGAAGGGGGCATCACAGAACTGTGCAGGTCCTTCAACTGTTCCGTATGTGTGCTCGCTTGCCCTGCTCTCGAGGAGTTTATCGCTTGGCGATCACATCGAATTATTTCATAGCCCACATTGCAACAAAGATATACAAATTAAGAACTAAAAGTCAATAGGATAGAAGGTTTCTGTGCAGTTATTGATTTCACCATCAGAACACTAAATTAAACTAAAGCAACAGAGTTTAATCCTGGGCAGTTGACTGAATTTAAACCCCCAGGGTCTCAGTGGCGAGGGCTCAGCGCCCCGACATGGCATCGCATCCCGAGTCACTCGGCGACCCATATGGATATGATTATAACTTCACTTTAAGGGGCACCACGGTGGCGAGATGTTAACTACCTCGCCTGGTATGCAGGAAGTCAGGGATTTGATCCCGTCCCTGACACCTGTATATTTGGAGTCGGCATGTTCTCCCTGTCGTCACGTGGACCTTTTCTCTGGGTCCTCCGGTTATTACCTCCGTATTTAGAAACATTCCTTTAGGTTATTTAAATTATTTTGTCTGCCATAAAATTCCACGAAATAAACACAAATTATATCACTAAGTAGATAGCAGAGCCACGCCAATGAAATTCAATCAAACTGCACCCACTTTTGTAAAGATATGCAACTACTATTTTATTTCTATTATTTTTATTATTTATTTTTACCTACGTGATTTTATCTAAAAAACCTAAGAGTATGAATCCTTGCAGTCATGAAAGCTTCAAATCTAGAATATATGCAACTACTGTACTGTAGAGGCGATCACGTGGATTTTAGATTAACCGGAGCCCATATTTGTCCGCCTTAAGCACATGACTTGTAATAAACACTTCCAAGAATCACAATGTATAACTAGATTATTTATTTGGGCTTAAGGGAAAATCCATGACTTATTAATTTCTGTCAAAATCTCAGGTGCGCGGTTAATCCAGAAATTGTACACACTGCACGTGGATAATCGAGAGTCTACAGTATGTGATTTGGGCCCACCCACGTGAATACTGCCACACAATCGTTAACACCCACACACCACATGCCACACGATGTGTAAACTTAACCTTCTGATGGTATACACACTTCAGAAATATAAAACTAAGTGCAAGGAAGACACACGCGCATATACGGTGGCGGCATAAGCGTCATTTTCTCTCGAATGCATTCACAGAGATTGTGGGAACGGCACTCACGGGATTCAGGCAGGCTCCGTACAGCCTCACTATGTTGGGATGGTTGACCCTCGACAGCTGCCGCAGCTGCAGATAACGAGGATATCAAAACACACGCACACGGATACAACAATTGAGCACGTACAATTGAAGTCCAACGTGAAGCAAACATTGCTTTTAAACAATGCAGGAGAATGCGAGCAATGTCTAGGCAGACATTGGGCAGAGCACAGTCTGAAAGGAATTCACAAAAGCCATCGGAGCATTACGCTGGCTCTGCTGTGATCGAGAGTTTGAATTAGGGCAGACAAAACTGTGATTAACACCGGGTCCTACATTTGTAGTAAGTTGATGCCTTAGCCCAGTCACAAATTACTGTATATGGAACCATAAGTTTAAAAAAACGTGGTGTTGAATTTATTTGATCCAGTGGAGCTACGAGGCCGACATTGTATTCACGAGGGGGGAATGAAAATGCAGCAAAAACCAGTCACACGGAGAAGTGCCACGTGGCATTAGGTACCCGACCAACGAAATAAGTAGTATTTGAGTAGTTCTGTGCCATATGATTCCTTGTTGCGAGACTGCTGTTCATTGTTGTACCAGATAAGTCATGATTCTCATGCCTCGACTGGAGAAGTTAATTGTGGGATATCAAATGTGATTAAGACGAAACACCTAAAAAGCTTAAAATGTGGGCTTTGTTTTCTGCCAGCTCAGTGTACTGAACCTTGAGTCATACGGTTCGCAAGTTATAGTGATCTGAGATTCGAGATAATTATATGTTATTTCTTAAATATACAGCTGCAATAACCATACTGCAGCATTTAGTTTTGTTTAGAACTTGTATTTTTTTAACACGAGAGGTTTGGCGAACTATTGTAATGATCCGGTTGGAAGAAAACTTCCGCTCGGGGTGCGTGGACAATGTTGCGATCTCACCTCCACGATGAAGGCCTTCCTTTCTGACTCGCTTTCTATCTGCTTGATGGCCACGTCCATGCCCCGCCACTTGGCTTTGCACACCACTCCAAACGCTCCTCTTCCCACCACCTGGGCGACAATCCACATCATCAACTACAACTTCCACATCCACCAAAATGAGTCCCCCGAGTTCAAACCATGGTACACAAGTACGCTATCATTTGCACTCATGGACCTTGATAGTATGGGGTGAAGGTGAATATGGACTTTTTCCATTCAGTCCAGCTCACATTCTCTCTGGTAAATTAACTGGAAAGAAATCATTAGTACATTGCAGCCTTTCCTCATATACACGGGGAGATGAAAGCGAGAGCAGAATGCATGATAGGCAAAAGCAGATCACATCTTTACTCATTCCGTTTAGTTATTTATGCCCCCCTTTTAAACAAGGTTATGCTGCAGCGCTGCTCGGGGTGGAACGATTAAAAATCACCACCAGTGCCCACTGCCCCTTCGTGTCTTCCCCCACCCCTCCTAATAAATGTCGCAGTCACGTCGCGACTGGACCATTCCAACGATGTCGTCGGATCGAGCGAGTTTCGCGGCGCACTGTAACGGGCTCGTGCTTTGTTCAATAAAATAAAAATCACCACCAGCGATCCAAAGAATTTCGAGGGTTCTATTCAAGAACTGCCACAGGGCTAGTATGAACCCATTACTTTTAGCATATGTGAATTAAAAAAAAAGTTGAGTTGTTACAAACGAGAAATGTCAGTATGTCTGACGAATGAAGCAATTATGTTGACAAATCAAAACAGTAGGTTATTCAACTTGTTCTAAATAAAAACAGGGCAGCTTGGGATTGAATAAGTCGAGTTATGTTTCTGCGTCTTAACAGAAATCCAGTGAAAAGGCAGTTTATTTTGTAACTGGCATAACCACCGTCTGTGCTAGGCAGTGTGATCACCATCGTCTGTGCTAGGCAGTGTGATCACCATTGTCTGTGCTAGGCAGTGTGATCACCATTGTCTGTGCTAGGCAGTGTGATCACCATTGTCTGTGCTAGGCAGTGTGATCACCATTGTCTGTGCTAGGCAGCGTGATCATCATTGTCTGTGCTAGGCAGTGTGATCATCATCGTCTGTGCTTGGCAGTGTGATCATCATCGTCTGTGCTAGGCAGTGTGATCACCATTGTCTGTGCTCGGCAGTGTGATCATCATTGTCTGTGCTAGGCAGTGTGATCACCATTGTCTGTGCTTGGCAGTGTGATCACCATTGTCTGTGCTTGGCAGTGTGATCACCATTGGGGTGCTATCCACACTCAGCCCCCGCTTCGATTGTGGGATCTGATGAGTTACATGGCGTGCGTTCTGGGTGAGGGTGGAGGCGCGATGGTTCAGGGTGGGCGCCCTCACCTCCTCCACGATGATCTCTTCGGAGTCGATCTCCTCCACGAACCCAGGCGGCGTCGCCTCCATGTCGCCACTCATCGGCCCTGTCGCCATCCCTCAGCCGGCGCCAGCCAGATTGAGGGCAGCAGAGCCACGGCGCTCCTCCTGCAGCAGCAGCAGCAGCAGCAGCGGCAGCAGCATCATCAGTGTCGTCGTTTCGTGTCAATCAACCAAAACATTCAGATCAGTGACGACCATTTGAGGGCACTGACGCTCCTCGTGCGGCAGGAAAGCTTTACTCAGCACAAACACACACACACAAACAAACACACAAAGACCCCCGTATAGCCTGAACAGGCTGTTGGGGCAAGTGCTATTAGTGAGCACCTATGGAGGTCGGCAGTGTCTAGAGACCTCATCAGAGACCAGTCAGTCTATTGTCTAGAGACCCCAACACAGACCGGTCTGATGGGGGTCTCAACAGTGCAACATTCATACATAACGGGTACCCCATCGGAGAACGGTCTGTAAGTTTTTTGTTCGCCATAACGATTAACAATCCAGTAGCTTAGACCAGGCTTCTGTGTACAAACGTGTAAGACAGTAGTTTGTCTCATGATGCCTGGAATGTCAGTGTGTGGGTGTGCGTGCAAGCTCGGTAAACTTGCAGTTGCAATGTAAGTTTCGTCAACATGCACACACGTACAATAACTCTTTTTCCTTCGTTTGTATGATAAATGTCACAAGGCATCCTCATTATTGAGTGGAGCGTTGGCGCAGTGCTTCGCCCACACCTCAGATTTTGTTTCAAGTTACCCGCCACGGCTAACACCAGTGGCTATCCCCAGCACCCTGTTCACCAATCCGAACTGGACCAGAGTAGTGAAGTATGGTCAATTATCATTATCAGAGTTTCTTCTTTTTGTTTGCTTTTTTGACTACTTGTGTTGTGTTTATTGCAAACATGATGCCTTGAATAAAGGTGTCAGTTTTGTACCAGTTTAAAAGGGTAAAAACCTACTACTATGGTCAATCTTTCAAACCGACACGGCGTTTGGGGAGGGCCCTCTTTCTCGTATCCAGGAAAAGCAGTGGATTGGCCAAAGGGCAGGAGTGGAAGGGCAGGAGGAGTGGAAGGGCAGGAAGAGTGGAAGGGCAGGGTGAGTGCAAGGGCAGGAGGGGTGAAAGGGCAGGAGGGGTGGAAGGGCAGGAGGAGTGGAAGGGCAGGAGGGGTGGAAGGGCAGGAGGAGTGGAAGGGCAGGGTGAGTGGAAGGGCAGGAGGGGTGGAAGGGCAGGGTGAGTGGAAGGGCAGGAGGGGTGGAAGGGCAGGAGGGGTGGAAGGGCAGGAGGGGTGGAAGGGCAGGAGGGGTGGAAGGGCAGGAGGAGTGCAAGGGCAGGGGGGGTGGAAGGGCAGGAGGGGTGGAAGGGCAGGGTGAGTGCAAGGGCAGGAGGGGTGGAAGGGCAGGAGGGGTGGAAGGGCAGGAGGGGTGGAAGGGCAGGAGGAGTGGAAGGGCAGGAGGGGTGTTAGGGCAGGAGGGGTGTTAGGGCAGGAGGGGTGGAAGGGCAGGGTGAGTGCAAGGGCAGGGGGGGTGGAAGGGCAGGAGGGGTTGAAGGGCAGGAGGGGTGGAAGGGCAGGGTGAGTGCAAGGGCAGGAGGGGTGGAAGGGCAGGAGGGGGGGAAGGGCAGGGGGAGTGCAAGGGCAGGGGGGGGTGGAAGGGCAGGAGGGGTGGAAGGGCAGGGTGAGTGGAAGGGCAGGAGGGGTGGAAGGGCAGGAGGGGTGGAAGGGCAGGGTGAGTGCAAGGGCAGGGGGGGGGTGGAAGGGCAGGAGGGGTTGAAGGGCAGGAGGGGTGGAAGGGCAGGGTGAGTGCAAGGGCAGGAGGGGTGGAAGGGCAGGGTGAGTGCAAGGGCAGGGGGGGTGGAAGGGCAGGAGGGGTGGAAGGGCAGGGTGAGTGGAAGGGCAGGAGGGGTGGAAGGGCAGGGTGAGTGCAAGGGCAGGGGGGGGTGGAAGGGCAGGAGGGGTGGAAGGGCAGGGTGAGTGGAAGGGCAGGAGGGGTGGAAGGGCAGGAGGGGTGGAAGGGCAGGAGGGGTGGAAGGGCAGGGTGGGTGGAAGGGCAGGGTGAGTACAAGGGCAGGAGGGGTGGAAGGGCAGGAGGAGTGGAAGGGCAGGAGGGGTGGAAGGGCAGGAGGGGTGGAAGGGCAGGAGGGGTGGAAGGGCAGGGTGAGTGGAAGGGCAGGGTGAGTACAAGGGCAGGAGGGGTGGAAGGGCAGGAGGAGTGGAAGGGCAGGAGTGGAAGGGCAGGAGGAGTGGAAGGGCAGGAGGGGTGCAAGGGCAGGAGGGGTGGAAGGGCAGGAGGGGTGGAAGGGCAGGAGGGGTGTTAGGGCAGGAGGGGTGGAAGGGCAGGGTAAGTGGAAGGGCAGGAGGGGTGGAAGGGCAGGGTGAGTACAGGAGTGGAAGGGCAGGATTACAAGGGCAGGGAGGGTGGAAGGGCAGGAGGGGTGGAAGGGCAGGGTGAGTACAAGGGCAGGAGGGGTGGAAGGGCAGGAGGGGTGGAAGAGGCATAGCAGCTTAGAGTTCTGGTGACTGGAGGAATTCATATTCTTGGGTCGATGGGGTCGAAGAAAATAACAAGACACTGCGACGTTTCGACCGCAACACATGCGATCGAAACGTCGCAGTTTTTTGTTATTTTCTTCGACCCCATCGACGTGGCTTTACCTAAACACCCAAGAATGTGAAGAGGTATCGCAGCTGTCACATGGACCAGTGACCAGTGAGTGACCCGCGGGGCTCGGGGTCTGGCAGGGCAATGCCGCTCCACCTCGGGTGTCGCTTTCACGTCGGCAAGGAGCTCGGGGCTCGGGACGCGCCCCCCACCCGCCTCCTCCGCTCCCTCCCACGCGAGCCCCCCACGGCCCCCCAGAGCCCCCCTTTCCCCGCGCACGCGAGAGACACTGACGGGTGGCGACGGGCTGATTGCTGTGATCGTTGTCGTCCCGAGCCGCCGCAACCACCGCCACTGCCGCCGTCACCACCGCCACCAACCACCACTGCCGTCACCACCACCACCACTGCCGTCACCGCCACCACCAACCACTGCCGTCACCACCACCACCACTGCCGTCACCGCCACCACCACCGCCGCTGTTCTGCGCCGCTCCCATGCACACGGTGGTGATGCTGGTGGTGGAGGAAGGGGGCGGGGCTGGGTGGGGGGCCGCTTCCGCTTCCGGTTTGCGTGACGTCATCTACCCCCCGTGCTCCCCTGTCGGCCATCTTGCTAGGGGCCTCGTGCACGCGAAGGCGCCGCGCGGCACCGAAGGGAGCGTGACAGGTGCTGCTGCTGGTCGTGGTGCTGGTGGTGCTGGTGGTGCTGGTGGTGGTCGTGTGTCAGGTGCTGCTGCTGGTCGTGGTGCTGGTGGTGCTGGTGGTGCTGGTGGTGGTCGTGGTGGTCGTGGTGCTGGTGGTGGTCGTGGTGCTGGTGCTGGTCGTGGTGCTGGTGGTGGTGGTGCTGGTGGTGGTCGTGGTGCTGGTGGTGGTCGTGGTGCTGGTGCTGGTGGTGGTGCTGGTGCTGGTGGTGGTGCTGGTCGTGGTGCTGGTGCTGGTCGTGGTGCTGGTGGTGGCGCTGGTGGTGGTCGTGGTGCTGGTGGTGGTGCTGGTGGTGGTCGTGGCGCTGGGGGGGGTCTGCGATCCCGCTAGGGTGGTTGCGGGATTGTTGTTGTGGGTGGGTGATTGTTCGGCCACGTAAAACAGGATAGAGAAGCCCTCTTCATTCTCACCGGTAAGCTGAAGTGCTCCAAATACAGTTTTGTGAAGAGTATGGGAATCATAATGTACACGTTTCACCCAGAGGTCGCAAGGCGCTGATGACAGCTATCAATCTCCCCCCCCCCACCCCGTTGTAAAGCAACGGGTTATCGATTAGAAACAGGGGTTGCTGGCTGGCTGGACGGACGACGGTCACGTCCCTGCAGGCTGCGAGGACACCATGTACTACTGTACTATCATTATCGGTGTTCCAGACCAAGGACATCACGGGGGTTAATTTAGACGAGCAAACTCCGCAACTGGGTTTGCCTTCCTGGACTTAATCAGCACTCAGGGCACCTTAAACATCCTGCTGCTGCGGGGTTAGGGGTCACTCCGGGGAAGAGCGGCACCTGCTGAATCGCGCGCGTGGCAGCGCACGCACCGGTGGGCAGATTCAGCACCCACGGTGGGTGGTGAGGCTGGCTCACCCACCGGTGGGTACGCACACGGTGGGTGAGGTTGTCTCACCCACCGGGTGGATACACACACGGTGGGTGAGGTTGTCTCACCCACCGGTGGATACGCACACGGGTGGGTGAGGTTGTCTCACCCACCGGTGGGTACGCACACGGTGGGTGAGGTTGGCTCACCCACCGGTGGGTACGCACACGGTGGGTGAGGTTGTGCGTATCCACCGGTGGTGGGTGAGCCAACTTCATGACATGGAAAAGCACATGGGAAATACAGCAGCATCAGCAGAATCAACAACTGCAGCGACAGAACTGACAGCTACAGCAGCAGTAAGCTGGACACTGGAGCGAGCTGTAAGTACAGAAAACCTACAGTTCATGTTTACTTCACAATGTTCAGCTATTTCACTACAGTGATTAAAATGTGTTCAAGTAACAAGTGCAGTTTCCTCCCTCTTGCCTTTTTTCTGATGGTGCGCACCATCACACGGTGCACACCATCGCACCATCCATCACCATCGCACCATCACCATCACACCATCACACCATCACACGGTGCACACCATCACACCATCACACGGTGCACACCATCGCACCATCACACCATCACACGGTGCACACCATCGCACCATCACATGGTGCACACCATCGCACCATCACACGGTGCACACCATCGCACCATCACACCATCACACGGTGCACACCATCGCACCATCACACCATCGCACCATCACACCATCACCATCACACGGTGCGCACCATCACACCATCGCACCATCACACCATCACACGGTGCACACCATCGCACCATCACACGGTGCACACCATCGCACCATCACACCATCGCACCATCACACCATCACCATCACACGGTGCGCACCATCGCACCATCACACCATCACACCATCACACCATCACCATCACACGGTGCGCACCATTGCACCATCGCACCATCGCACCATCGCACCATCACACCATCGCACCATCACACCATCGCACCATCACACCATCACACCATCACACCATCACCATCACACCATCACACCATCACCATCACACCATCACACGGTGCACACCATCGCACCATCGCACCATCACACCATCGCACCATCACACGGTGCGCACCATCGCACCATCACACCATCGCACCATCACACCATCGCACCATCGCACCATCACACCATCGCACCATCGCACCATCACACCATCACACCATCACACGGTGCACACCATCGCACCATCACACCATCACACCACCCCATCACCATCACACGGTGCACACCATCGCACCATCACACCATCACACGGTTCACACCATCACACCATCACACGGTGCACACCATCGCACCATCACACCATCACACCATCACACCATCACACGGTGCACACCATCGCACCATCACACCATCGCACCATCACACGGTGCGCACCATCGCACCATCACACCATCGCACCATCACACCATCACACCATCGCACCATCACACCATCGCACCATCACACCATCACACCATCACACCATCACCATCACACGGTGCACACCATCGCACCATCACACCATCACACGGTGCACACCATCGCACCATCACACCATCACACCATCACACGGTGCACACCATCGCACCATCACACCATCGCACCATCGCACCATCACACGGTGCGCACCATCGCACCATCACACCATCACACCATCACCATCACACCATCACACGGTGCACACCATCGCACCATCACACCATCACACCATCACACCATCACATGGTGCACACCATCGCACCATCACACCATCACACGGTGCACACCATCGCACCATCACACCATCACACGGTGCACACCATCGCACCATCACACCATCGCACCATCGCACCATCACACGGTGCTCACCATCGCACCATCACACCATCGCACCATCACACCATCGCACCATCACACCATCGCACCATCGCACCATCACACCATCACACCATCACACGGTGCACACCATCGCACCATCACACCATCACCCCATCACACCATCACACCATCACACGGTGCACACCATCGCACCATCACACCATCACACGGTGCACACCATCGCACCATCACACCATCACACGGTGCACACCATCGCACCATCGCACCATCACACGGTGCGCACCATCGCACCATCGCACCATCACACCATCGCACCATCACACCATCACACCATCACACGGTGCACACCATCGCACCATCACACCATCACACCATCACCCCATCACCATCACACGGTGCACACCATCGCACCATCACACCATCACACCATCACACGGTGCACACCATCGCACCATCACACCATCACACGGTGCACACCATCGCACCATCACACCATCACACCATCACACGGTGCACACCATCACATGGCGCGCACCATCACACCATCACACGGTGCACACCATCACACCATCGCACCATCGCACCATCACACCATCACACCATCACACGGTGCGCACCATCGCACCATCACACCATCACACGGTGTGCACCGTGTGATGGTGTGATGGTGCGCGCCGTGTGATGGTGTGATGGTGCGATGGTGTGCACCGTGTGATGGTGTGATGGTGCGCGCCGTGTGATGGTGTGATGGTGTGATGGTGCGCGCCGTGTGATGGTGTGATGGTGTGCGCCGTGTGATGGTGTGATGGTGCGCGCCGTGTGATGGTGCGCACCATCACACCATCACACCATCGCACCATCACACCATCACACGGTGCGCACCATCAGAAAAGAAGCAGCAGAACTCCTGGACGGGGACAGCCGCAGAAGCCCGGATGCAGCCCAGCCATCTCCACCCGCAGCAGGACATCCAAGTGAAGCTGAGTGATGACCTCACACTGAAGGTCGTCGTCGAAGATGCGTTTCGCGAACAAGAACTCTGGACCGTGTGCGTGTGTCAGGATTAAATGGGGCCATAGGCGTGAATGATGTTTTGGTTGTATGCCTCTGTGGTTGTGCGTCTCAGGTGTGCAACTGTTTGAGGCGCTGCTCACATCTTCCTTTTAGTTGTCCGACTGTTTGCATTTACAGTGGCACGTAATATTGTGTCGATGAAATGAAAAAAATGCGAGTTTTGCATCCCTCTTTTTATATTTGCTTAAGCAAATTAGGTAAACCATAATGTATACATGGGTCACCATGCGGACTTCTAAAATTAATTACAAAATGGAAAGTTTTCATACAGTTTGGGAAATACAAACCCCTACACTTTATATAGGACTCGTGTGGTTTTATCAAACATACAAATGGTGCACTTAAAGAATAAAGTTTAATCTAAAATAAGACATCAGAATGCAATGTTTTGTATATACTCAAATAATCAAGTTTACTATGAATAAGTAATATTTTAAAAAACGTTTTAAAAAACACGCTTTAATGAAATGTACCGTACTAGTAATGGAAGAACTCTACGACTCCAGGAAGTGGCCCCGAAGCTTGCCATGACGTAAGGAACCCTGGTGATTTACAGCCAACGTTAGTTGAGCGTGACCCAAGCCGAAACATAACATAAAGAATGTTTTAAAATATGTTTTAATGATATCATATAGTAGTGGCATCAGTATGACAGGTATACCAAGTTTGCAGTCGATACCACATTGGGAAGTGGGTAAACATTGAGTTACAATATTTGAGGATACGACAACAAAAACAACAGAGTGAGTAATAAAAGCGTGGACAAATTGACAATAAAAAGTTCACATCTGAATACAATGGTATGGCATGCACTGACTGCATTTTTATTTTAATGTGCAAACACTCGAAGTATCAAGCTGAAGAAGGAAAAGGACATCACAACACAATGGGCTTGTGTGCACTGAATCAAGGTGTGTACAAGAAAGGACATTGAAAGAAAGATGTTTAAAGTTAAATAGGACATGAACACACTCATCCGCAGCTATGATAACATCGGCCTTGCTTCAGCCACTGGATAAAGTATTACACAAAAACAATCGAGTCAAAACGAAATAAGACATCGGGACACAACAGTCGTGAGTGCTCTCACTATTTAGAGTTTAATATAAGATCTGACACTTCACAATCAAAAAAAGAAATACAGCATCATAATACACAAATGTAGCTATAATAACATCCGACATTTTTTAAACTTTTTTAAAGGCATAAAACTTTTGCACAGCGAATCAACACATTTGTCTCGTCTAGTGTTAGAACAGACTGACATTAAACCTCATGGGGAAAAAAAACCCCTTTTGCTCCATTAACTGCGAGTTTTAAAGTTGAAATAAAAGCGGGCATCAGCATACACCTTACACTTAGCTATGATAAACACATGTAGAGGCATCAAAGACATTTGTTTGCATAGCGAATCAACACAGCCGTCTCGTCTGGTGTCAAAACTGACATTAAATAAAAAAAATTGCTTCGTTAACCGCGCGTTTTTTTTTTTATTAAAGTTGAAACAGAAGTGGACATTGACACATCTCGAGGAGTTGTAAGGCAGCGCTTGCTTGCCGGCCATCCGAGGAGGAGATCCACGTGGCTGGCTTCCCCTGGCGGGCGGGCACGCGTGGCTGGGTTGTGTTCAAGCCCCCCCCACCCACCACTTCATGGGCGGAGTCGTCGCTCCTGCCGCGACCAGGGCCGGATGAGCGCACGGGGCCTCAGGGGCAGCAATCACAGGGGGCCCTCCGCCAGCTGGAGGGCCTCCAGGGATGAAGTGAAAAGTTGTTTTATTTTGTGAATGCTGAATTTTATTTGTTGTTAGCCGTGTAAAAATTAATTTGATTTTTCTTTAACTTTGTTTTCCTTTTGAAAGTATTACTGGGGGGTTCACGGTACCTTGCAGCCCAGGGACCCACCACTCGCTCTCAAGAGTCTGTCTCGGCTCCCGCATGCGAGACGTTTGTAATCTGAGTAAGATGCGAGCTCCTTTCCTCACTTGGGGGAGGGGTGGTGGGGAGGTGATTCCTCGCTGGGCTCCACACGGATTGCTTCCCACATTTTGTTTAGTATGCAAACACAACAAATGGGACGAAATCTGCCTCGACACAACTTCAAGTTGGGGACCTTTTCTCCCGACTATAGCAGGACGAAGAGCGCCCCCCACCCCCCAGGAGACATCGCCGGGCCAGGGTGAATGGCATTCGGAACGACACCAGTCTGGCTTTATTCGCTAAACGGCCCCCCCCCCCCCCCACTAAAAGTACTAACTCCGAGCGACATAGCCTGGCAGGGGGCACTAGGGTGCCACCCGACACCTGCTTTATACTCCGCCCATCATTCATTCCTCCTGCGGTCGATAAAATTGGTAACACGAAGGTGAGAAGTCAACAGCGGTCCCATTCTTTGGCCCGTTATGCTAAAGAAAGGGACTTCCCATCACAGGCTTAGAGAGAACAGAGCTGACGCATGACAAGCTCGCTAACGCTTAGAAGACGGCTAACATCTGCAATGAACATCTGTTTCTGACAGCCACCGTTCTAGTGCTGGAGCTTCTCTTCAGGCACGCCGGCCACTTTCCTCAACAACTTAAAGGGCATTTTTTGAAACAAAAAAAAACGATTTAAGATCTTACCAGGTAAGGCCCTCTGAGATATTATACAGCTCTTTTTCAGAAGCGACCTGGCCACAAATGATAGCTCAACGAAGTGGTTTATCACGTGGAAATTGATATCAGCCAAATACTCTAAACGCGTGTTGAGCCTAAATATGGAGTGAAAAACCACACGGCCACGGAGAGAGAAACATGCAAACTCCAAATAAACAGGCGTCCGGGACGGGTTGGAACCCACGACCTCCTGTATAGCCAGGCGGGGTAGTCAACATCTCGCCAACGTGGTGCAGCACGAGGTTCCAGCGTAGATTTCCGGATGAAAACTCTCAATTGGCAAATTGTTATAATTACAGCCTCGGGATGAGTTTCCCATGTATCTTTTTCCCCGAATACTTTTCGGCTCATTTTCGGTCTTTTGACATATTTTGGATTTTTAAAAACGCAACTGTAATAACTTTCATTGTTCACGAATTGTGATTTATTTTTATATTGTTTACCTTTACTGTAGTTCCCTTGGTGAATGCCCCCACCCCCCGTATTTTAACATTTCAAGGACTAATCCTCCTCCACCCCCTACCAAACCTCTCCTCACTCTCTTGACCACTCTCTTGTTCGGTGCATCTGGAGTTCTCTTCCATCTTATTCCTGGCAGGGAATAGTCATGAAGTCAGCGTGACTACTAAGTTAGTATTCTCTGCAGAAGACGATAGCATGCGCATCATGAAGACCTCATAAGCAGTCGACTAGAACTGGCACGTGCACTGCCGGGAATGAATGGTTTCAGGGTTGGCTATGGACATTTCCAGAGATGACATTTCTACAGTTGGAAATGCATTCTCTTGGTGAGATATTCCCTTGTAATTATTGTTCAGATATTAAATCTAAAACCCAACACCAAAACGAACATTTAACTCACCTGTCAATCCCGAATACTGTCGGCCAAAGTACACTGACAGCATCATCCACTGGTTCATACAATTATTTTCTTGCAACCAAATTCAGGGGGGAATGAGTTTATTGTGTATTATTCATTGTCATGATTAACAGGATCATGTAATATAAAAAGAACACGTCAAATATTTCACTCCAATTGATTCCATAATCAAATCGGTACCCCTTATCGACGCTTTGCTTTGGCCCGATGCATAAACACGTGCATCAGGGTGGATGTTTGCACAAAAAAAGCAGTGAATATCTACATTGTTAACTGCTGATATAAAAAATAGCCTCCTTATTCTACAGCGATAAATTGGAACTCCGAGCCAAAAGCCTCTCCGCATCATGGCTGGATTAATGTGTCTGCACACGTAATTGTATCCCAACTGTACAACGTTCCAGGAAGGTTCTTCAGTCAACGCCAACTGAACTGGAAACCTCGGTGTTAAACGTGTCCAAGGTTTATCCATGTGACCAAGCATCAACCCATTATCCATCCCGTAAGTTTTGCAAGGGTGTTGATAAATATTCTTGAAAAAAAGAACATGGCACACACAATTTAAACATACGGCATACATTTAAATTGTGTTTTACATTCCACAGATAGTGAAAATGCTTTCACATAATTTCACGTTCGTATATAAAAATGTAAATTTAAATAAAAGATTACTCCATGAAAAATGAAATTCATATTTAATACAATTTAACATCTGAAATGTAGGTACTCCTTAGAACAAATGTAGCACAATCTTTGTTAAAAATATTATGAAAATGACCGGAGCACATCCAAGGCAATGATGTGCCTTTCCGCGAGTTCATGGTCAGCCGAGTTGGCAGCATTTATTTTACAATCAGCTCCAGTCCCACATGGCAATGCGAGCTGCAACAACCCGACCGGTCGCGGAAGGAGTCACACGTCGTGTTCCTGTTAACCCAGCGGTGTTCAGCAGACTCATGACGAACAGGGACATACCACAAGGGCTTCCCTTTACAAAGTACAAGCGGCAGATTAAGGGGTTAATGCGTTATGTTTGAGTCGGTTATGCAGAGTACTAGGCTATCTGTAAGAAAATGGAAATTCATTTTTTTTACAATGAAACTCATTTTTTAAAGGTTACATTTCAAACAGCTTGTAGAAGGATAAACGTTTAACATGGCTTTGTTTACGGAAAAGGAAATGGCATGCATGCTTAATCTTCACCAGCCTGTCATTTGAAGTGCGACAAAGAGAGAACGACATTTATGCAAAAATCGAGAATTCTCGTAACAAGTAACCGAGTGTTGTAAAAATGTAAATGTTAAATCATTTTCCAAGTGCTTTTTTCACCCCCTTCTCGTTCAGGAATTGCTTTTGTTCATTCTTGACATTGTCGAATGTTATGGATGTAAATAAACAAAATTAACTTTCAAAATGCCAATGCTTGCACAAATGTTCTCGGCAAATAAAACCGTCTATGTTTAACGACCCGATTAAAGGTTCCTGAGATGTGAAATGCTCCAGATGAGCCCAGGCACAAGCCTGGATACATAAACAATAGCGTATTTCCATAGTTTGTCAGATAAGTAGATGTGTCGTGTTGATAAAGGCATAAAACATACATTTACACAAAATGCTTTTGATGCAATACTTTTTTTTATAAAGAGATGTTTTACAGTTCGGTTTGGCAAAAACAAAGCGAAGTGAAAAAGACGGAAGTTACCATTGCAACTTTGTACACAACCCACGGCTATACCTGGAGAAAGTGAGGCATTGTTTCCCATGCCCAGTCGTAAGCAAAGCCAGGCTGGAGACATTGGCAGGACCTTGAATCCCCCCCCCCCATGACTTTATAAGCCGTGCTGCCCATGGCATAAAACGTGAGGAATTGGACCAATTCCGAGAGTCAGGAATGGGTCCAATTCCAGTGGAATCGTTCAAACCACACGGTGCGCGCACGACTGATTGGTCTTTTTTGTTAATTCAAACACGATTTAAACAACTACAGTTTCAAGCATGGGGTCGTTGAGCAGTGCATGGAAATCGAGCACGAGGCTCCTGGTGTACAGATCACACACGCACACACAGCACCCCGTTCTTGGCACAATGTGACAGTTCTTCTTGGTTCTTTCGGTAAAGTCACGTAGAAGGGAAGTGATAAAATAATAAAAATAAAACATAATAATTATTTGATTTTATTATGTTTTATTTTTATTATTTTATCACTTTCCTTCTACGTGACTTTACCGAAAGAACAAAGAAGATGAATCCCTGCAGTCACGAAAGCTTTAAATCGAAATTTAATGTGACAGTTGTTCCTCTCAGCTGCGCATCCACTTTATTCTTTGACTATGATTGTTTTTAGTGGATGCGATATGCATGAAGGCCGCTCAATGCCTTGTTGAGGACATACGAAAGAATTTTCCACTAACAGAGTTTGGCTTCTTTTAAAGCATCACATGTCAGTACACCGAGTAGTTGAACAAATGAGTACAGTTTTAGCCTGTGAATACTTTTAATAGCCCGTTCTCATGGCTTTTCGATTGCCCCTGAGAATGTGTATACTGCATATAGTGTAAGTTAAACGTTATGAATAAGATGCATTTAGACTGCGTTTCCACCGATCGAGTAATAACGTGGGACCGACTCAACTCATCACCTCTCCAGAGTAAATTGGCATTTCCTTACGACAATTCAATCGACTGGCCTCACGATGTTGACTTGGCAATTTCCATCACTGCTCGGGCAGGGCTGCCTCTCTCTCACGGACAACGTCCGTTGACTTCCAATCACCCAGCTCATTTTACTGATTCCCAGGGGATGATTGAGGGCGATGTGGAGGACATGGCTGAGATAATTTTGTCCAGGATTGCACGAGTGAAAACCTTGCTGCTTTAGCAGCCGAGCTGTATCACGACCATGCATCCATCACGATATGTCTAAAAAGTGACCAATGAAAAATGTTGAGGATGAAATGTTTAAAGTATGTAGACAGTCACACGACAAACTATGTTTCGTTGACTTTATGTAATTCAATGTCACACGGCATTGTGGACAAATATACACGAGGCAGTCAAAATGTTTAGTAAATAGGACCCAACATCTTTTTGTAAAACTCGCCCACTTTTTCAGTGACACATACGGTTCCAGGCATACAAGGATGCCATCCATTGAACTGGTAAAACCAATTCTTACACTAACGATCAAATCGTGCATTTCACAAGCGACCGCCCATTATTTCTGCACATTTTATGCCAATTATGAAGTGAGTGGAGTGGGAAAAACGACAAATCATACAGAATTAACTATACAAACAAGACAGTAACATTTGAGGAGGGGGGGGGGGGGGAGTTGGGAATCCATGTGTGCCCAAATTGTGACAATTCATTTGCTCAGTACGGGGGTGAATTTGTATCCTCAGACTACTCCCCACAGTGATGATACATTCCGACACTAAACGGGGCTTCAAATTGTGCCCGATAGGTTGGCACAAATTTCTAGCATCTCACTACCGGATGACAATGGACTGCCTCCTGTGTATACGTATACACAGGCACTGTGTATACGTATACACAGTATACACAGTGCCTGTATACGTATACACAGTATACACAGTGCCTGTGTATACGTATACACAGTATACACAGTGCCTGTGTATACGTATACACAGGCACTGTGGCGATTCTATTCTGATGGCCTTTGTTGGGAAGAGGCAAAACCCCAAGCCCCAAGTGTTACAGTCGAAGAAACGGCGGCCAATGATGAACAGCCAAACCAACGCAGCATCACAAACGGATCAACCGGAAGAGCAGCAGCTTGGTGTGCCACGTGACAACTGCGTTCGCCTGCGTATCTCATTCCACAACCTTAATGCACAAACGCGTGTTGTTACAACGCGAAAATACCGTAACACATTGTTGTTCGATTAAGTACCACACCCCTGCGAAGGAAGTTATTAAAAGGCAGGATATTCACGATGGTCTGTGTTGCAATTAAAAAGCGGCAGAGGGTCCTGCATTGACATCATCTCTTGGGAACGCACGTGCGCGCTTCGTGTGTTGTGGGGTCTGCAGTCAAGCGGCAACACGGGGGGACGCGGTGTGTGTTGGCTCTTTAACGCTGTCGGGGTAACGCGGACGCTTGGGACTTGATGATGCAATTTGAACTTGTATACTTCATGTATTTAAGGGCCGCCGCCACGGTGGCTAGGAGATGTTAACTACCTCGCCTGGTATACAGGAGGTCGTGGGTTCGATCTCGACCCTGACGTGGTTTTTTTTCTCTCTCTGGGTCCTCCGGGTTTTACCTCCACATTTAGAAACATGCGTTTCAGATAATTTTGCTGCGACAAATGTCCACATGACAAGACACGTTCCTGCGCTATCATTTGTGGCCAGGTCGCATTTTAGAAATAAGTTCATACCTCAGTGGACTTTGTTTGGGAAGATGGGGATGGTTGAGTTGTATCTGTAAGTGTTTGGGTGACTTGTTTACCTTGCCTGTACTTGGCACTGCTATCGTGTTTGTCCTGTTTGTTGTTGTAACGCTCTTACTCGCCCAGACTGGACATCTGTGGACAAGAGCTATATAGCTCATCGGATTCCTCCATTCAGATTCTGATGTCGTGGTAACGCGGACGTATTAACGAGCGCGGGCCGCGGGCTCCGAGACGCATCACGAATGACCGGAGCCGTGTTTTGTACGATAATTTCCGAAAATTTGCCACAATCATCGAAAAATCGCACAGATTTAAAGCAGTTATAATTACCTTCGAGATGTCACAGACTTTACAAACACTTGCTTTCTCTCGTGGGACTCCACAGTTTATATTCTGTCCTAACAAGCACCGCAAGTGTTCAGTGACAGGGAATATTTGCAATGGAAGACGGAGTGGGGGGGCTGCTCTGTTGACGACTTATAAGGGCTGCCACTCTTCGCCCCACGGAAGGACGGAAGGAACGCATTTCATGTTCTGAGAATCAGAACGAGGCGACAGGACGAACCTACCAAAGGTCTGGGATCGGTCGATCGTCGTCATCGCTTGTCGTGGCTTGCGCACAGCAAAGCCTTCGTCCTCCACCAGGCACAGCAGCCATTAGCGGGCGTTCAAACACTCAAGAGGCTACGTTGAAAGGCCGCTTGCTGTGTTGATATTACAGCGGGCCTGATCCGACAACGGTGTCGGTTCTGAACGCGCTCGCCGAGTGGTTTGTCAGGAATCTCTCCGCGTGGCAAAGCGAGCACGAGGCAGCCCCAAGTCCCAGGGCGTCTGTGGCCACGGCCCACTCGACTCCACTGGCTGTGAACAGCGAGTCGGGTACTAGAACGACGTCGCCACACCGCCAGGTTTCCCCGATGGTAACAGTGTGGGCCAGACTTAGTTTCTAAGACAAATAAGTGGAGGAGGGGGGAGGTTCCTTTTCCGCAATCAGGCGACACCTCTGATTGGACGAGTTTTCACAGAAAGGCTTCTGGCCACAGCTAAACTAAAACTATTTTTTCTTTGACCAGCTTAAGACGCACTCAGCTACATTTAGCTCTTTTTCAGAAGCGAACTGCTTATAAACGACAGCTCCTCAACGAAGTGGCTTATCATCATCGTGTGGAAATGGATCGCAGTCAAATACTCGAGACGCATATTTCTAAATGTGGAGGGAAAAACCGGAGGACTCGAAAAAAATCCACGCACTCACGGGGAGAGAGAAGCCAACTCCCAATATACAGCAGCAGGCGTCAGGGTCGGGATCGAACCCACGACCTCCTGCATACCAGGGGAAGTGGTTAACATCTCACAGCCACCGTGATGCTTTTGGGGCCACGGTACAAACGCGGTCGCTACCGCGGCACAAGAACGGAAACGTCGGTTCCAGGAGAGAAAGGCGCCTCAAAGCAGCCAGAGCACGTGCTATCGTCCAAGGTGAGAAATGCCTTGTAAAGGCTTGAAGCATATACACTTCAAAAGGATAACATAACAAATTATTTGTGTTTAGAAACACATAAAAAACTATTACATATATTAGTAAATGTAATGTTACATTTGCTCAGTGCCATAATTACATTTCCTTGTTTCACAGGATGATAAGTTACCAATTATGATGTGACCTTTATAATTGCAATCAAGCATAGCGGCTCTTCCATTTAAGGTGCTAACTTGTAAACATTAGGGGGGGGGGGGCAGAAATTAGTTCGGAATTTGAATACAATGACGATAATGAAGCTGTTATACTTTGCTTCGGTGGGACAGTGGAATCACCACAGGGGCATCGAGACGACACGTTGAGCCACCGCAGAGTCAGGGACGAGGATGCTTAAATGCACTTCTTCAATGCATTCAATCGCAAGTGATATTTACATGTGCAATATATAGTTTTTGCTTTTCAATACCTTAGTGTTACTTTGTAGTTAGTGCCTTTGGTTTTTTTTGTTTAATTTTTTACAAATTTGTGGAAAAGCTGCATGCCATCATAACACTGAAACAAAAAACTGTGCGTACAACGCCACCGACAGACACAGTTAGAAACTCATATGAGCTAAACGTTCTGCTCTCCAATACGAGTCGATGCTCAACTCTCGGGGGGGGGGGGCGTCTGTTTAGAGACTGTGAAGGTAGAAGTTGTCGTTTTACTCAACCCAGGCGAGAGCCAGCACACATCTCTTGCGAGGAACACTGGGGTATGAATACCACGTGCAGACCACGCAGCCCTGCTGCAGCCACTCGTGGAAGCCTCCACACCTCCTGGCGAGTGAAATGAGCGGGTTTCAAACTGGAATACCGTGGGCTGCCGGAAACAAACCCAGTCGTAAGCACGGACTACAACATTGTTGTTAAACAACAACGACAACATTGTTGTTGTTGTTAAACAAAAGAACGAGGTACACGACGAAGGGTCCGCATCCGGGAAAGAGATGATCCCCACACGTCGCATGCCGCACGGCCATTCATGACGGTGCCGAGGTACGAGTGGAGTTTGGGAAGGGAGTGCCGTCCCCCCCCCGCTTCAGGCTCGACTCAAATGAAAAAGGACTCAAATGAAAAAGGACTCAAATGAAAAAGGACCCACCAATGTGGTTGGCGAACAGAACCTGGGGGGGCGGGGGGCACTGAGCGAGTCCTGCGCTTCTCCAAACACGTTCCGGCACCAAATCTAAACCCGCTTCGCTGCTCGCCGACTTACTCGCAGAATGTTGCAACGTGGCGGGGAGGGTCCACAAAAGACACCTCAAGAATAAACGTGGAGAAAGTTCGTGGGTTGGCGGAGAAACAAAGTCGGTGTTGTGGAAACGCCGTGGGATTTCGGTCGACCCAACCACGGAGAGGAGTTCACGAGTGACTTCACCCATCGCAATTCGTCGCGAGTGCCGAATGTGTGCAGGCCCCGTGCGGCCGTGCAGCCTGCAATGCCCAAGTGCAAGGGGCAGAGCTCACAAATGGCACGTAAGAGTGGGTAAAGTGTTTTGTCGTGTTGACTGGCAGACCTGTTCACACTGCTTGATAAGACAATGCCCCATTGAAGATAGTTTACCAGTGAACAGATGCACTTCAACCGTACTTGGATATTTAATATTTAGAGAGACCTTTGATCGTCCTTATTTGTTGGTCTCAACTTGCAAACGCGAAGGCATTTGACAATTAGAATGTGGTTTGTATCAAAGCAAATGTTGCCTTTGCTCATTTAAAATGTGCAGCTGTCAAACAGCGATGCACGTTTTGACTGAGAATCTGTCCACGAGATGGCAGTGCCAGGTTTGCTGCAACTGCTGCAACTGCTGCAACTGCTGCTGCTGCCCAGCGTGCTCATCACTCCCGCAGTGCTGCAGCGACGATGGGAGGAAGAAAGCCACGGGGGGGGGGGGGGGGTCCACACAACTCGCATGGACCATCAAGCAGTGCTCGGATGGGGGCCCCATCAAGGACCAGGAAATGTGGCTATCCGTATCACGCAATACAGCAACGTAGAGGGCCTGCTACAAAAAGACAAAGATCCCCCGTATAGCCTTAACAGACTGTAGGGGCAAGTGCTGTTAGCGAGCACCTATGAAGGCCGGAACGGTACACGAGGGGGTGGGTGGCCAGCACCACGCACGACCGCCTTTGTCTCCCCAGTGGCGATGTTTACACATCGCACCAGGTACTCATTTGAGGCTGAGTCGACCTAGGGGAGGCCCAGGACCGGTTCAAATAATCGCCACCGGTGTTGGCCATGAGCGGGAATCGAACCCGGGCCACCGTGCGGTGGAAGAGGGCTTTCTAGCCAGCCCAGCTGCCATGTTGTGACAATGTAGGAAATAAAACACGCACTTCTCACACTGCGGCTACAAGCGAACTTGAAAAGTGAAAGTAAAGAACTCTTAAAAAGGGGTATTGTGGATAACCCGAGCTGCCTGTGGTGCACCCTGATATTGGTGCTGTTGGTGAGTGTACGGATTTTTGCCAATGCGAGGGGGGCGAGTGCAGGTAACACTCACACGCCCCCAACGAGCACTTGAGCAAATCCTCGACAATGTTTACGAACGATTAACATCTTCACCCGGCAAGACCCGAGTCTTAGGACCTTTCAATCGAAAGACTAATAAGGAAACCGAAGGGCCTGGACAAATCTCTTGAGTTCTGGAGAATTACTGCAAAGTGAACCTGCTTGCTGTACTACCTCCTTCATCATGTTCCCAGGTGGGCATCTCGCAACGTCAAACTCTCACGAGGACCGGCGATTCAGGATTCCATTCCCTGTGTGAACCCTCCCCTTGACCTCCAAGTTACCACGTGGGAAGCAACGTCACCGCTACCACAACGTCTCGTCCTCTTCTCTATCCTTATTTTGCACTCAACGTGCCAATAATCCCTGTATGTCATTTAGCCAGCACTCCGGAACACATTCCTTCCAGAAGTGTGCATCCACCAAAACATATATATTCGGCCAACGATCCCTCCTGCACACACCAACAACGCCCGTCAAACCCCCAATGGGAATGACCGCGACGCGCAGGTCGGAAAGTGGCGAGAGGAGAGGGTGGGGGGGCAGCACGAGCGAAGCGGCAGAGCAGTTTTACTGCGGCGCCTCGGGGGCACGCGGCTCCCAACGAATTTTATTCGAGCCCCTTTTTGTTGTTTTTGTTGTTGTTATCCTTTCCTTTTTTCTTAGGCAGGTGGCCGGCGGGCAGATAAGACGGGAAAAACACGCGGAGTCACAAATTGTTGAGAAGCAGAAAACGAAAGTTTGTCTGCTTCGATTGTAATTGTTTGCAGTGACAAGGGCGACGCTGGTTTTGCCCGTGTGATAAAAGCCTGCGCGGGTGGAGTAATAGCGAATGTTTTAGACTTAGGAGTCTGTTACACTGTAAAGAAAAGAGAATCCGCACCAATGGAAACCACAAACAAACCGTGTGACCATTAACATTTGGTAACGAATTGATAACCTGAGAGCATTACTGCCCGAGAACCGAAGGCTCACTGTTGATGACATCCCAAGGAACATTTACATAACCAGACAAAGGGTGCACTTTAAACGTGACAAGCCTCTCTGACAGAATTTGTAGCATTTTTAATCGACCATTCAACACCTGGCCCCGCAGACGCGGCGGGTTGGGGGGCGATTATTGTTGCTGAAGAGGAAATTGACTGCTAATTTCCAGCAGAACAACAGCCAACGGGCGCAACTATTTCCCCCGCCGCGTTAATGGCGCTGAGGGTCTGCTCCACGGGCCCTTTATCAAACGGTTCTTAAGAGCCACAAGTAAAACAAGAAATGAGTACAAAAGACTTCGGGGACGACGTAGTCATAGACGGGGGGGGGGGGGGGGCCCACAGACATTGTCAAGGGGAGTCTGCAAAAAGGGCACTTCTCCTCACCCAGCTTTGCCGGCGTGGTTTATCAAGTAGCAGTGAAGCCACAAATGAGTTACGTTACTTTTGCGTTCACGACCTGGGCGCGCAAAACACATGCCCCACACCAGTCTGTGTCGGGTCTGCAGTCCGACGGACGCCCAACGCCGTGCCGCTCGGCGTTGGGCCAGCGCTGCGAGAACTCCTCTTGGGCGCCTCGCCGTGCGCCAAGCTCGGAGAGCAAACGTAATCGCGGAGAGCAAACCGATTGAGGGACCCGTGGTGATCAAGTGAACAAACTCCTTAACACGTCTTGTTGCGACAAAATCGCGAGGGTATTTGAATTTAATTTAAACCTTCCCAAAACGTTTTAATGAAGGTGTATTGACGCCTTCAAAATGAGAGACAATCTTTACATACGAGGCAGTTGTGGCAAGACTTCCAGTTGCTTGGATTTAAAAAGTTGTATTTTTGTGAAATGTAAATATTTTTTTTTTTTGTGAAAAAACTATAAAGTTAGTAAGGCTTAGTATTTTATTTATATACAGCAACACAGCCATTTATCAATTACTCCTTTATAAATTGCTCCGGAAATGACAGGAATATTAAGTATTATGTCTGGAGGAGCTAATTGTTGAGGTGAGGTGAGTTTGGCAGAGCCAAGTGCTTTCTGAGCCTTTTGCAATGTTTTACAAACACAGCTGTTGACAAGCCCATTAAGAAAAAAAACCCTATCGACAGTTGAGGACATTCGGCCAACTATGTTTAATTTATTTTCGCATTTTTATGAAAAGCCGGAGTGCCAGGAGAATATAGGACAGAGGATTAAAACCTCCAAAGACGGCTTCACCGCTGCCTACGAGCAGACGGGGGCGTCACACACACAATAACTCCATCTCCGCGTGAGCCGCCAACCCTGGGCTCCCAAGACGCTGGGATTGCAGGGGTGTGCGACAGACACAAAATCCCATTTTCGTCGTGCTTAAATATCCCGTCGGCAACCCGAGTCCGGCACTGTGGGAAGGGGGGCGATGTCTGGAAAGACGCGCACCAACATCCGCAGCCAGCACTGGCGGCGCACGCCACCCGGCTCCGAGTCGACGCGCGCACGTCGACTCGGAGCCCGGGTCACGTGCGCACGCGCTGCGAGACTGCGGACGCCCCGACGATACCCTCCCCACCAGACGCAAGCACAGGCCCTACCGCCCCCCGCCCCACCGCTCCACCCGCGTTGTGAATAAAAACGCAAGAACCCTGAAATGCTAAATCGCCTCGATAATGACTGTGCGTGTGCGTGCTTTGCGCACAGGGCTTGCAAAAAGTTACATTCTTAAAAAAAAAAGCGACATGATAACAATGTAAAAAAAAAACCTGAACTCGTAAAATGTTTTACATGCACGTACACACTTTTTCTTTTCCATCCCCTTTTTTATTTCAAAATGTTTGATCTTTTTAGTTTTTCGAGGGAATTTGCTTTCGGGAAAGAAAATTTTAAATGGCATTTGTGTGTTGTACACAACTCGCTTCATAAGCAAACAAATATATAAAAAAATATTTTCTTTCAATGGGAATCGGCAAGAAATTGTCGAGGTTGTTGCGCCGCCGTTGACAAGAACCTTAATATCCCTCCAAGCCCGACAAACAATACCACCGGGCGATCGTCGCGATCGTTATTTCGCAGTAAAAAAAGGGGGGGGGGGGGGTTCAGGCGGCCCAACAGACGCTGCAAACATCGTGTCTCCCACTCCAGCCCTGTCACAGTGGCCATTCCCACCCAAAGAGTCACGCCAAGTCTCCCTGGCGCGGGCGACCTGCTAAGACCGTCGCCTACTCCGTCGTCCACACATCCTCCCCCCTCCACGCCCGCTTTTCAAACCGCTTAGTGGCCAACTGGCGATGGCTTTTAAAGAATACGGATTTGCATTTTGTAGTGCACGTCGATGCCTCGGAAAACCCAAAAGCACCTTGCATCACGTCGCATCTCATTTCAATGCCCTGCTGCCAGGGGCTTGCCACGGAGACCCCCCCCCTCCCCCGGTGGCAGCTCTACCCGACTCGGCGGCAAAATGGTGCACTGCAGTGCCGGCCTGCAAAAGGGCATAAGTCTGGGTTGATGTTGGTGGCTGGTTGCTCCCAGTTAAGTAACGTGCCAGTAATGTTTCTACCTGCACAGTGACGACGTTGCCTCGTATTTTAAATGAACGTCACGGGGGGAGGGGGGGGGATCTTTAACGTCCACTGTGAAGCAGACGGCGCGCATTCGTGGTTAATCCACCCGCAGTATTAATAGGGGCGGCCGCTGGGCTAGAACCACGAACGCCTGCGACGGATCTCTTTCAGAAGGTGACGTCACAGGAATTTAGTGACGTACCGTTAGGTTTTTCATACCGTTGGATCTGCAGACTCGCCATAGACACTTGAGGGTTGCAAGCACAACCCAAAGGTGCCTGAATCTCGTCGCTATTGTCGCGAGTCGCCCGTAAAAATCACCAGGTTAGGTCTGGATTTACAGCAGTCCGCTAAGGCCTGGCCCATGGAAAAGAAAAAAATGGCTCATTACTGAAACAGATGTTGATACATGACAGGAAAATGTGTCCCATTATGTGAGTACAACTGGCAAGAAGCGCTCTGTGGACCCGGTAACTGTTAATAATCTTAACAGCAACATCATCGCTCGTGACTTTCGATGGAACTGCGGGCAGTTTTCACGTAGGAAGAAAAAGGCCGGGTGATCGACGCATCCTTTCTCCTGGACGAAACATCACTTGGTGAAGGCTCCCGGATTGACAAGGCCTTCCCCAACGGCAGAGCCCTTTGAAAGTGTGCGAGGCTGCTGGGATGGCCCCCCTTGAGATATGCTGGTGAGAAGAGTAGCACCGACCGCGTGACCACACGTAGTGCTCATTCAGCATCGATTTTTCTTTCCCCCACCTGTAAAATGCACCACCGCCACCGCTTCACACGGAAAAAAAAGAAGCAAACCGCCGGGGGTTTTGCTTTTACGCGTTGCTTTCGTTTCGAGGGAGGGGGAATTCGCCACCTCACGGCTGACGTGGCTCCCCCCCCCCCACCGGCAACGATTCACAAACGTGCCCTGCCCGGGGCTACCCGGCACCGTCGTTCCTCCCCAGAGCTCCTCCTCCTCCTCCGCTGCCGTCCTCGCGGTTATCGGCGTCGCGGGCCGGTGCTTCCGACACCGCCCCTCCCACCTCGGCCTCGCGAGGGCCGCCATCCCCGCCCTCCCCGCCCTCCTCCATAGCGGCGGCGCCCGTGGGACGACGCGGCCTCGCGCCGCTGAGACCGCGACGCGCGACCGGAGGCGCGGACGGCTGCTGTAGGTGGCGGGCGGCGGGGGGGGGCTCGGGGGGCCGCCCCCCGGGAGACATGTACTGGCCCAAGAGCTGCATGTGCGCCGGGTTGTTCTGCACGCCCTGGCAGAGCTCCCGGCATAGCCCCGTGAAGCTGTGGTAGAGCTCGTCCATGCACACGCGGAGGTGCTCGCGCTCCACCAGCAGGCGGTCCTTCTCCTTGCACTGCAATTGCCACCGTGGCCACGAGCACAGCGCGGGCGAGAGCGCACGGTTAGCGAGCCTGCGCCACCGAGGCCGACGGTGCACGTGAACCGCAGGCGAGCGCGCGACAACGACGAGCGAACGCGGCGAACGCCGTGACGAGTCGCGCGAAAATTTGTTCCGAAAGTGCCAGCGTGTAACTGACCGCCGACCTCCGAACCCGACGCGGATGGACGGACGGATGTTAACCGTGCATGCCGCGATAATAACGCTTTAATGAGAGGCGGCGGATTGGGAAGGCCTTCAAAAGCAGTGGACCGACGACGGCCAATGATGACGACGACGAACACGCTTGCGCCACGTTTGCGAGCCGGCTCCCAGGTGATAAAACCGGCGGGTGAGACGCGGCGTGCGGAGCGCCGTGGCGCCGTGCGGGGTACCAGCTTGTGGATCTCCGTCTCCAGGTTGTGGATGCAGTCCAGCTTGCGCTTGCGGCAGCGCTGCGCCGCCAGGCGGTTCTTGCTGCGGCGGCGCATGTCGTGGATGAAGTCGAGCTGCTCGGGGGTGAGCGCGTGCATCTTGAGCAGCTCCTGGAATTCGCTCCGCGGGAGCCGCGAGATCTTCTCCATGGGGAAGGGCAGCTTCATCTGCCGCACAACGTTCGCAGGCGCAAGCGGCCGAGGGTGAGGCGGCGCCCGCACGGCTGCGCCCGACCGTAAACCGGTGGTTTAATGCAACGTACGTCGTTGACGTACCCAGGAAAAGCTTACCGAGCGTCAGGCTTCTTTTTTAAGATCATGCTGCTGATGATGATGAGAGAGAGGGCCTTGCTGCTGCTGACGATGATATGATGGTGAGCGGAGTGAGCGTGGCATCGTGCGTGCTGAAGTACCCCGGACCCCCCTCTGGTGGCCGCACGAGCACAGGAACGTGAGGCCACGCGGGGAAACGATGGCAAGGTGGTCGGTGCAATGGGCAAGGTGCAGAGGGGCCTCTCTGAAACGAGCCAGAGAGCACAATCAGCTCTCATCTATTGCACCTCCAACAGTGCATCAATTATCAGAGTGTGTTTTGTGTTTGCATTTTGACCGCAAGTATTGTGGTTAATGCAGACATGAATCGTTGTAAAAAAAAAAGGTCTCAGTTTTGTTGCCAGAAAAAAGGGGAAAACCCCTATTATTAGTGCCGTTTTGTTGATGGCCCGCTGTGTTTCTCGGCTTTGGGTCCCCGTGCTCAGCAGCTGTGAAAACACCCGTGGGGCTAATCGACGAGAGCCCGAGTGTCTGGATACTCTGTTGAGCAGGGTTCTCTACATCTCGATGTCTGGCCAAGACATTTGTTGACGAGTGTTTTTCGTGGCTCACGCGTGGGGCAGAGCAACGCAGTGGTCTGTGCAAACGGCTTCACCAACTCGTGTGTTCTGCTCGCCTCGTGACCCCCAATAGACCTACAATACAATCCACTACACCGTCCTCTCTTCTACAAAGCTCTGGGTTACAGCTGTACGCCCCAACGGCCGACTACAAGAGACGTCCTCTCTCTCGCTCTCTCTCACCACCAACCGAAAGTGAGGGCACAATAGGAACAAATGTTATTTAAGAATATTATCTCGTCTTAACGGAATGTATGTAAGCATAGGTTTAACCCTTTCTGGCAATAACACAGGTGTTAAGATGGTCAAACACCAAACAGAAACCTTTTGCAAGGTCCCATGTTGTAGCTGCTCACCCCTGAGACACGGCCATAAAGAAGGCTGTCTCTGGCGTAGACCAATCAGTATCAAAGACAAGGCACATATCACCAGAGCGTGTTTTTGTTTGCATGTTCACCACAAGTCCTGTGTGTGGTTAATGCGGGCTTGGTTCCTTGCGAAAGGTTTCTGTTTGGTGTTTGAACATCTTTAACACCTCCTGCTTCATTGCCAGAAAGAGTAAAACCTGTTCGTATACTTTTATGCCGGCAAGAAATGTCCCAGGAATTGAAATAGCGCCTTAACGGTAACAACGTGTGAATGTAACGGTGGAGATGAGGTGAGGAAGCAATGGGGGGCAAATCTGCGATGCCTGAAATCGGTGAAAGCGAAATTGATGACAGTAAATTATTATGCATGGATTCAATGAATGGGGGTTAAATGAGTGATAGCCATAAAATACGATGAAGAAAATAGGGGCGGTCATGAGGGGGAGAGATTAAGGGGTCGTGGAGTGAGCAAGGGAACAATGAGCGAGTTCTGAGTGAGGAGCGGAAGCGAGTGAGCGAAGGTGAGTGTTTGATGTGGAGGGGGAAGTTTGTTCCAGTGAAGGAGGACAAGAAGAGAAAGCGAGCGAAAGCGTAGATTGAGCGCAAGGAGGTGGAACAGAGAGAGACGGCAAAGATAGAGAACGTAGAGGGGGAGAAGGCGACGTAGAAAGATACAAGCGGGGCAAGATTCAGTGGGGCAAGACCAAGAAGGGATTTGTACACCAGGGCAGTTGTTGTACCGTTCCCCGACTGCTTACAGTCAAATGACACGGGCTCACCTCCTTCTTGCACATGTCCTGCTCCTGCGACGTGTAAAGTTCACTCTCGTCGTCCGAGAACGAGTCCGACTCGTCCCCGGAGTGGCTGGTGGACAGCGCTGGGTATCTGGTGCATGACACGCAGGAAGCGGCGGCGGCGGCGGAGGCTGGGCACTGCTGAGCCGGCGGGGGGGAGCAGAGGCGAGGCCCCGGGGCGTCGTCCCCGTGCCACACGGGGCCCGGCTCCCAGCGCCGCAGCACCGGGCACAGCTCGAACTGCACGGCAGAGGACAGCGGGGGCAGCCGGCACGTCGGCGGCGGCGCCTCGTGGCTCGGCAGGGAGAGGTTGATGGGCGAGGGCCCCGCGCCGGACCCTCTGCTTTCCCCGCCGCACAGGCCCCGCTCCGCAGGCACCGCCGCCGCATCTTCCTCCTCCTCCTCGTCCTCCTCGTCCTCCTCTTCCTCCTCGTCGTCGTCGTCGTCGTCCTCCCCGGCGAGCCCGCCGTGCCTCCTCGCGCGCGCGTAGCAAGCCGCTTCCTCGCCCGCGCTCCCCCGCCTGGATTCCGTCTCCGTGGCCGGAGTGTCCGAGGAGCGGCGGCGTGCCGGAGGGAGAGAGAAATCCCCGACGGCCTCCCAAGTGATATCAACGGTGCGGCCCCTGAGCGGACACACGACAGCCGAGGGGCTGTAGCCTGAGGTAAGTGGGTACTGAGGGCTCCGGGCACCTGGCTGGCAAGACGATTGCAAACTGTAGGTTGCTTGGCCGCACAGGAAGCTTTTCCTGGGGTCCATCTGAGGTGGTAATCGAGAGGTAGTAGGTATCGAAGGTTCTTGCGACACGGTGTGTTCCAGGTCCATCCCCTCCGGCGAAACCTGTTCCTTGACGCCAAAGTTCGTCACGTGCCGAGCCTCGTTGGTCGCCGCCTGAGATGCGTTGGACTCGTGCTTGGAAGGTGATGAAGCGGGGTCGCCGTAGCGTTCCTTCGAGGAGCCCGTCCACCACTCCGGGGACGCCGCCTCGAGGCGAAGCGAGCCTCCGAAGCCGTGCTCCTGCCGGCAGGCCTCTTGGAACCTGCGGTACTTGGGGCACAGGTTGGAGAGGGAGAGCGCGTCGCCCGCGTCGTTCCTCGAGCAGCGTATCCGCGTCACGTCCCTGCCGGGGGCGTCACGGGCGGCGGCGCCCACGTGGCGGTCGACGAGCCTCGGGTACGTCGAGTCCTCCTCCCGCGCGACCTCGCGGCCGCCCCCCGGCGCGCCGTGCTCGCCCCGCTGCTGCGGCTCCGTCTTCACGGATCTCGACGCGGGGCACAAGTCCACGGGGCGCCGTTCCGACCGGGGGCACACAGGGGGAGGAAATTCCGTGCCCGGGGCGTCTCCGGTGGACTCGCGCACGCCGGCCTGAAACTTGATGCCGGTTCTGGGGGAGCTGACGATGACCGTGACGGAGGCGTCGGGGTCCCGCAGCGGGCACATCACGGGCGGCGGCCCGCAGGGTTTTTCGGGCGCCGTCGAACCCACTCCCCCCTCGTGCGCATTCTCCCCTCCGTACTCGGGAGTCCCCGTACTCCGCTGCGGGGAGAACCGGGGCTCCCGGGAACCGCAGAACCTTCGTGCGGAGGCCTGCGGGCAGGTGATGATGCTGGCCTTGGCTGCGTCCGTTTGCGAGCACGGCGATGAATTAGCGAAGCCGCTGGCCAGATCCTCCTGACCGACGTCGCCCGGACATTGATGCCGGCGCTGGCATTGCGCGGCCCGCGGGGTCAGGCCGCACCTCTGGGAGTTCTGGAAACATGGCGTCGCCAACGCCAGCCTGGCATTCGGGCGCTCGTCCTCGGCGAGCGTCTCCTCGCGCTCGCAGCTCGACTCGGGGCTATTGGGGCTGCGGGGCCTCCGCTCGCACCGCTGCGTCGGCCCGCCCGGGGCGGCCTCCCCGCGGCCGCTGGCCGCGCCGCACAGGACCGGGCCGCAGGCCGACGCGGGTCGGTAGGGCGCCACCGGCGAGCGCGCGGCGCCGCCATCCCCCCGCTCGTCGCCTCGGCCGTCCCACGCCCGCGCCGCGGCCTGCTGGTAGCGCACGCGGTCCGAGAGGGGGAGGGGGCAGGTGGACGGGGCGCCGCCGGTGGGAGTGGCGGGGCCATGGCGAGGTCCCGCGAGCTTGGAGGCGAGGAACTCGAAGCAGGCCTCCTCGAGGTCGTGGACGCGCAGGAGCGACGCGCAGCGGGACACATCCGCAAAGTTGTCGCGGCTCAGAAACAGCTTCCCTGTGTAGGCGAACTGCAGGAGGGGGTCGAACCCAGCCGCCGTGACCTGTGGGGGAGCACGGCCAATCCTTCAGACCCGCAATTCGCCGTGAAAGTCATCCCAGTTCTGGACCTCTTTGTGTGTACGCACGTGTCCCTGCAATGCCGTGCCCCATTGAACATTATCAACCCGGACGGGGCGGAATGGGATAACGATGATAGAGCAGCAGGGTTTCCAATTGCCAAAGTTATCTCGGCCCTATCCTCCACATCGCCCTCCATCAGTAAAATGAGCCCCGCTTGGTGATGCAAAGCAACCGGAGGTTGCCCTGTAGAGGGAGGCGTAAAACGGCGATAAGTGCTGTCGGCAGCCCTGCCGAAGCAGCCATGGAAATTCCACGTTACCATGGCGGGCCGAGTCCAATTAATTGTCAATGAAGTACTCATTGACTGTGGAGTGGGTGATGGATTGAGTCGGTCCCACTTCATTACACTTCCCAGTATTCAACACGTAAGTTATGCGTAATTGTTAGCTCGTAAATACTTGATTAGCACACATGGGGACAGCTGTTATATTGCAAATTTTAAGTGGGATGTTGTGTTTTAAGCTTGGGTAAAAAGCCTTTACTGGACGTGAAACGATTCACCGATTAAAATTGAGGTTTACATTCTTGCTTTGTGCACGTGTAACAATCAATTATTTTCTATTTAAGTTGCTTGGAAGACTTATTTTGGAGGCAGTGGACGTGGTTTTGTCTTCATAAATGAGGGTTAACTAAGAGGACGGCCGTTTGTCACCGGGCCGGTCAGGCCACGCGGGGAAGGGGAGGGGGGGTGACGACGTTAGGCCCGGTGCGTCGGCGGAGGTGGAGGTGACCGACCTCGGCGGGCAGGGACAGCGTGGGCCGCGGCTCGGGCTGGCAGCCGAGCGCCGACAGGAAGTAGTCGCTGCACGCGGCCAGCACGGCGCGGTGCGCCGGGAACCGCCGCTCGCCCGCGCGCACCGTGACGTCGCACAGCAGCTCGCGCTCCCGCTGCGCGTCGAGCCGCCGCAGCACGCCGGCGCCGTGCTCCGCGGACTCGAACACGAAGCCGCCCGGATCGCTCATCTCTCCCGTGGCGAGACTGCGGGGCGGGACGGACACACGCGCGCGCACGTCGATGAGAACGCGTGCCCGTCGATGAGAACGCGCGCCCGTGCACGTGCGCGCGATGATGTCATAACGCGGAGGGCGGCGCGCCCGACTCGGTGCGATCGTTCTACCGCCGAAATACGTCAGCGGAACCTGCGGGACTGCGCCGTGCGGGCACAATCCAAGGGAGCCCGGGTGGTGCGTGGAAGAAAGGTGGAGCGCGTGCCGACCGTGGCACGCCCTTGTTTGCTCAAGCACACCACGTGCCCCCCCCCCCTCGCTCGCCAGGGCGCTTTAACGCCACAGGCTCGCCAAACGTGATGCGATGTCGATCGCAGGGTGGCATTCGCCCCCGGACGATGACGTGGCCACGGTGGCTTAAGGGCTCCGCGAGTTGCGCAAGTCTTACCGATAGAACTTGTAAGGCATACAAATTGAACTTAGATCGTCTGGTTTGAAGGAATGGGATTTGACAAGGGAGGCCGTCACTTGAAGCGGAACCGAGGTTGCTAGATGGAACAAGCGGAAGCTGACCAGGATGGGTGGACCCAGCACGTGTGCTTTGTAACAGACGACGCCGACTTTGTACAGGGTGCGCTGTGGAATTGGGAGCCAGTGAAGTCGACTGCAAAGCCCTGAGGAACGGGAGAAGGGGTCGCGTCGAGCGCCGAGCGCCTCGCGGTAGCCGAGGCGGTTTCTGAACGAGTGCTGAAGACGCTCGACATTGTAGACATGCTGGAGGGTGTTGCAGTGAAGCATGTCTGTTCATGGCTTGCGCAGAATTCAAGCCTGCAGGAGGCAGTGCAGCAGGAAGGTTTCTGCCCTACTGGTGCGGCATTTGCTATAAACTGTTTTTTTTATTTTACGAGGTAAGGCCCACTGAGCTGCTATGTAGCTCTTTAACAGAAGCGACCTGGTTATCACAAATGATAGCTCAACGAAGCGATTCCGTCATGTGGAAATTGATGGCAGCCAAATACTCTAAACGCGTGGTGGTGTTGATTCTAAATGTGGAGGGCGAAAACCGGAGGACCCGGAGAAAAATCCACGCGACCACGGGGAGAGAGACACGCAGACTCGAAATATACAGCAGGCATCAGGGTCGGGGTTGGACCCACGACCTCCTGTGTACCTGCCGAGGTTGTTAACATCTCCTAGCCAACGTGGCGTCCACTCTTAGATCCATTTGTGCGCAATACAACTGACAACCACCGTGCAAGTCCCATACAGGAGAACCCCTCTAAACAACGGTCATTGGTTCCACGGAACTGGTCATGAAGCGAGTATAAGAACCACATTAAAGGATTCGTTCTTTCCAATGGCATGAAAAGTTACCCTTTTTCACCCAAAAAACGTACTTTATAATATAAAAAAATGGATATTAATACATAAAGATACTAACAACATAATAAACACGTAATATTAAAATAAACATGGTTAATAAATGCATTAATTCATATTTAGTCTACCTACTGCAGACCATCGTTAACAGAGGAATGGTCGGTAAATGAACAAATTGGGCTCTATGGAGGCCCGTCGTTAAGAGATTCGTCGTTTACAGGGGTGGTCGTTAAGGGTTCTACTGCAGAGGCAGGTCTCAGACATTGAAACGTGGAGAGCATTTGAGTGTCATCTCCCCCCCTATCTGTTTTCCCTCAAAGCAGGGTGCTTCCCGCTGGGTGGCGAACGCGGCAAACACCCCAGAGTGGACGCGTCGTCATCATCACGAGTCTCGGGACCGACGCCTTCCTCACTACAAACGCCCACAACGGTGTTGTCAAATTGAGCCACCGGTGGCACTGGGACCCTGGTGCAATGCCTCACACGGCCTGTTTAATTACTTGGATAAATCACGACGATGTAGAAATTCCCAAACGTAAAAAGTGAATTCTTAACATGCCGTCTGCTCACAGGGGTTTGCATTGGAGTTCAACGTGGACTAATAAGGAATTAAAATGAAATGCGGGTGGCTTAACACTTTGTAGAAACCAGTCCCTTGAAGAACTGTAAACACAAGAATCTTCGTGCTTACACATTTGTGGGTTAATATACGCCACTGGTTACATATGCAATTTAAAAGCACTTCATGTGCTTGCCTTACACAGAACCCAGCGCATACACCTAAATCGTCTAAAATTATTGAGGGCCCTTGGCATATTATAAAGGCTTTGTGTCGCTATATCAAGCGGGAGGGCAACCTCTTCTGCCAGCAGCTCAATTTAGTGCATTGAGTAATGATTTTATTTTAATACGTAGTAGTAGTAGGCTTTCTCTAACAATATTATCCAAAATAGAGGTTTTTGGGTTAGATCGCGTAAATATATATGTCACCACCCGACACAGCCAATGAGTAAGGTTTGTCCAGGTAAATGCAACATGACAATTTGTTACTAGTACAGCACACCGGTGTGTTGGGAGAGTAAACCCACTTATAAATGTATATTTACACAGATTCTAAGCCAAAAACTCGATTATGGATAATGATTTCATGCTTGCGGCGATATTTCCAATAACCACCTGCAAAACAATACGAAATCCAGCAATTGGCAGTTGATGATCACAAAAGGACGTGTGCCCTTAATTGGCCATTGCAACAAGAAGCGCCTCACACCAGAGGCTCCCGCCTGTTGCCAGCGAGGGTGCCCGCACGAGTGCATCGCAGCACGTGGCTTTCTGACGAGACATGTGCGGTGGCGTTTTGGACGGGGTTTTTCCCGCCGACACTCCAGATTTCTTCCCAGGTGCGAAAACGCTCAGAACCGACGGAGCATCCCACCGAACACCCCCGTGGGACAGCATCGAGACCATACCTTCACTGTTATTACAAACCTGTCAACCCCTTATCAGTGCCGACCTTATTACAGACCGACTCAGACCTTATTGGTCACCCCGCGCCCTTGTAAATATCAACGTTCATCCTACAAAGTCCCATCACAAGGGAGAAACACAAACAAATATGAGTTGTTTTTATTCAATTTCCCTGTACAAGAATACGGGTGAACCGTATGGGTTGACAGGTATACGAGACCGGGCGCGGTTTTGCCCATGCACAGGACGACAACGTCGCTATTGTGTCAGACATGGTTGTGAGAAGCCTCTTCACAACACACTTTTCCCCCAGTGGCAAAACATTAGCGGTGTACGCCGGACCCGTGCGTCGTCATCAGTCCGCTAAAACGATTCGGAAAACGGCAAGGCGCAAAATAAGATGGCGCGTCAATCACGACGCGCCCCGAAGGCCGTTTGCTAAACAGTCGTAACGACCGTGAGCGTCGTCCGAGTTGTACAGCAGGGCCCAAGCTATGTAAAAAATGCAGGCGTCATGCAAAGCTGCCCGGTCACCATTCTCTAATGCACCCCCATCACTCATCGCAGTTGTACACAGCCGACACACACACACACACACACAGGCTACCTTTGTTTCATGATATCACAACAACACTTTGACCCAGAGAGGAAATATGGTACGTGGTGTTATCTACACGCCCGTTCAAGGCTACTTTACACATGTTGGGAAAATGACGCATCCGATTGGCCTGCTGTGGCCGTAACCCCCACAGGCAACACAGCATCTGAGCAAACTCAATTTGTACCGCGTGCACTCGAGAATCAGTGGCCGAATGTAACAACAAACCGTGCTCATGTGGCGGTTACAACACAGCGTAGCTCTACGTAGCATCTAAACGTAGCCGCGTGCCAAGAGGCTGCGTATAGTGGGACGCGCGCACTCCCTTACACCCGGACCGCCCTTTACGTGGATCTCGGAAGCTAAGCAGCGTTTCAGCCTGGTCAGCTGTACTTAAATCGGTGACCTCAAGAGCTTGCCAAGTGTTTTAGGTTGCAGGTGTGGGGGATAGAATATGGTCAGGCTATACCGAGGTGTGGGAGCCCTAGTGGGCGTTTGAAATCCTAATAGTGGCATTCTGTCCTGCAGCTGGGATTTGAAAGGAGAACTTAAAGTTTCCATCATCATCATCGGCCATGACCAAACCGCTGCTGGATATAGGCCTCGATAAGTTTGCGACATCCATCGCTATCCTGCACCGTGACGATCTTCCCTACTGCACGCACTGGAGCTCGTTTCATCGCTCCATCTCACCCACTGTAATAAAATAGCACCCAACCGTTATCTTCCATTAACTCAGCGTGCCAGGCAGGTTAACACGCAGCGGCAACGCGATGTCTTCTTCCACGATCCTCTTGTACGGATGTGGATTATGACAAACGTCGTCCACGCCGGCTCCCACCCGACGCCACCGGTTGCCGTAGACCGAGAACGTCCTTCGGCCTCTTTCCCATCCCTTGCCGGAAAAAACCACCACGACGACCCAGACGGGTGGAAGGTGACTTCAATGGCTCGCGCTCCACTCCAACTCGCCGGGCACAGTCAGGAGGGCGGCGAGAACGATTCTGTGCAGGCGGATCGACATTCTTGGCATCCCAGGGTCCGCTGCCATTTGGAACCGTGCGCTCATCAGGAATGGCGTCTCCTCAAAGGGTTTCGAGGAAAGGCCAAATAATTCCTAAACTGTGAGGCCCTTGGTCCAATTAATCTGCGCGCCCGTGCTCTCTCCGCCCCAGAGTCCTCCTAGGGGCTCTAGGGGAGCAAATCGTGACGATGCACACCAAACGGCTCGACACACGATCCTGTGTTTTGCAGAGAAAATGTTGGCAAGCCGGCTGCCTCGGCAGGCCCGGGCATGCAGGCAAACGTACGGCTGGGTACGCGTGCGGAGCCTGCGCAAGGCTCTCTCGTAACGGCCGTGCTGAAGTGACGCCTGTGTTCCGATGTACCCCTCTGCCCTGCCGGTACCTTCATTCTCAACAGCTCGGTTCTCAATGAGCAAGCTACGTGGAACTAACAGTAGTACCGCCCGTTCTTGACAGACAAAGAACCGCCTGCTTGTCTTACGCACTACTTGGTAAGGCTATACCCACTGGAAGCCTTCCCATGCTGACACCAACCATGACTGTCGTCTTGTAACTCTTCTTCTGCCACATGTGCTCTCTCTCTCTTGCCTGCATGTCCTTTTCAGAGTATGTAGCTATCTCCAGGTGGCTCTTCCTGCCATAATTTTATAAAAGACTGTAGGTTTTGTTCCTCGCAAGGCCATCACTAATGGGCACTTCATTCTTTACTTTGAGGTTGACAATTCTCTTACTCGTGAGATGTAGGTCACAGGTGTGCGTCCATCTGAGCCTAGTATCAGTCACTATGGATATCTACCCAGAGTCGGAAGAGCAGAGTTTTTTTAGATTCTGCATGGATTGTACGAACGAGCTAGAGGCCGGGTTTGAAAAGGAGTTCCGAACAAATTCTGAGGAAACGAAAGCAGATCAAGGTCCGAGCAGAACCGGTCCCTATTGACATCATCTCCCTGGCCACCCGGGATCAAATGGGTGGGGCTTCGCCAAGTCAACCGAGTCTACATCAAGACAAACATTTGGTCAACACTGTTTATTAACGAAGAATCAAAATGGTGGACGCTGCTTTTATATTTAATTCTGCACAGGTCAACACAGACGATAAGAGGTCAGGCCCAGAGCTAATGGCCGAGTGGAAATGCAGCTTCTGCACAATTAATCGTTTGCAGTTTCAATATCCCAGGGTGTCCAGCCACTTTGTGGATACAAGCGGACTTACAGCACTGTCCCAGTCAGCAACTTTGATACCAGTGTCTCTAATCAGCTAATTAGTCACTGAAGACCTCACCACAGAGTGTATAGCACCCACTGTGCAGCAGCAGCAGCAACAACAGCTTTGGTGACTCCTGGCAGAAAAATAAACCAGCGACTCGGTGGTCAGCACGCCGCCGACCGCTAGACTATATCCTGCTGCCAGTTTGTGATTAACCGAGGGGACCTCAATCCACAGCCATAACAGAGTGGTAAAAGAAAAGTGCTCCAAGGCAGAATTTGTTTTTCGGCCGAGCGTGTGTGGGTGGTGACTTCCAAGGCAGCAAGGGCTTCTCTCGTGAGTGCTTGCGTGTTTTTTTTTTATCTCACTACGAGCACCCGATACAAATTGCAATCGCAGGTTGGCCCTATCGGATAAATCACTGCAGCTGTAACTGGACCCAGCCACAACAACTCCATGAAAGACGCGTTCTACCTCCTGTTCACGACGTCTCACGCACCTGCACACATGTTGAAGGCATCCCAATTTGTCGAGTAGTTTTTCAGAAACGCCATACATCATCTGCAAAATAAATAACACGTAGGCTTTCGCGACCAATATATGTATAAGAGGTTTTCTGGGTTAGATCGTGTGAATATAAACGTGTTGTTAAAACCGCCAACACCCGACACAGACCAATAAGTAAGGTTTGTCACGTAAAAAAACGTGAAAATTAGTTACTAGTTCAGCACACCAGTGTGTTGGAGAGTAAACCCACAACATTTACAATTCGAGTACTAGTAATTAGAATTGGACAATTCAAATTGTAAATGTTGTGGGTTTACTCTCCAATAAAGATGAGTCACGTGGCACCTCCGATTAGCACGATTGGCTACGTACGGTGCGGATGAAGTTCAACATGACATACGCACGTGCCGCATCGTCATTCGAGCAGAGATATCCATTTGCTTTTACATTTTATCTCTTAGATTGTTACCTCCTCCACCGCCACACCACACTCTGCAGCCCTGAATGGCATAACGGACTCTCGCATTTTCACTTCGCAGCTTTGGCAATTTCTGGCAAAGATTACCAAAAAGCTCTGGGAACTGAACTGTTCACACGACACCAAAGTCGCTCTGCTGCGAGTGCGACGACCAACTCCCGGTGGCGGGGGGGCTGTAAACGGCAGAGCACACACGGCTGTGCGCCCCCCGCCCCATCATGCCCCCCCACCCCGAGCTGTTTTGCACATCACTGGCTGGGTCGGTCAGGTGACGAAGGGGACTGACTGCAGAGCACTGCAAAGGTAACTTCAGGCACAGGCATGTTGGCACACTGCGACTGTTGGTGGCACTGCAAGTTAAGCAGCTGGGAGCGTGACCATTCACCCAGACAGGCGCTTCAGGAAGTCGCATCCCACACCCCCCCGCCCCCCCCCCCCCCCCACTGGGAGACATTAAAACCCCTTTTCTGTATTCTCTTCACGTTCTGCTGCTGTACTGCAGACGTGCGACGTGCCTCGACAATTCTAAGGGGGCAGTTTTCTTCGTCGAGGGAGAGCTGTAGAAGTTCGTGCTGCCTGCCGTTGCCCATCCTCCACTTCCCAAAGCTGTGGAATTCAGTTCCAAAACCGATGATTTCATTTTTTCCACCCGGTTATCAAGGAACATCAATGGCAGCAACAACTTATCATGTAATACGGAGCCCTCAAGCCTGCGCGCACTGTCCCAAGAGCGCGGGGAACTGGCGACCGCAACAGAGCCGCTCTTTGTGTCCAGCACAACACCACAGCACTGTTAGGCGCAACCCTCCCAGCGCATCACCACCACCACCAGCACCACTGACAATGCGCCGTCCCCTACGTTACAAACATTCACTGCACTTCGGCAGCCACACAACGGTAACGGATGCAGGCCACACGTGCGTTCCACCAGACGTCCCTCGACCAACGGTGCCAACGAAAAAAGGGCGGGCGCTAATCATGAACAGAACGCAGGCTGAGCATTGTTTCTTTGTCCAAGGAGAAATGCGATGAGAAAACGGGAACACGGTTTGTGGGGTTCGGCCAGAAGCACTGGACAAGTGCGGGGGGGGGGGAGGGGGGATTCCGAGTTTGGATTTCAGCTGGAGCAGAACCTTGTGGTGTCCTGTTAGCGAACGGTTACGTGGAACTGAACCAACCGTAATCGCTTCAGTCGGTTTTCGTGTTAAACCAAAAAGGACCCGAAAACACATCCGCTTGATGTCTGTATGTTGAACTTCTTTTGCACCGTACATAGCCAACCTTGCTAATGGTAGGTGATGGCCTGAACAAAACAACCCACACTTCATAATCACGTACACAGATATTCATTTTTATTCGTTTAAAATAGTTTCACTTATAGCTAAACTAAAACGTGTACTTCTTTCAAGCAACAACCCCTGAGTGGTGTGGGAGATTATCCAACAATTTTGCGAGGACTGGGCCTGTTTTTTTAGTGGGCGCATTTGGGAATGCACGAGCTAATAGATTCTGGAGTGGAGAGGGAGGGTGAGGATAAGTATATTGGGTGAGGTCAGAGAGGTATGAGACCTTGGGGGAGACTTTGAAAACAAAGCGGGACACGAGAAACATCAACCAGATAAAATGCTTCGTCTCCACGGAACACGTCCCGTGTTTGTGGCAACACTTCAACTCGTGAGAGTGAATTAATTCAACACGACCAACATCAACCCCCTGTTTAAGACTCCAAACCAATATTGTTTTTTTAACACGTAAACCTCTGTTATGGATAATATTGTTTTTTTCCCCTTTTAAACGCACGCACCGCACTCTCTAACCTATGAACCCAGAGCAGTCGGTCCCCGCCAGTGGAGTTTTTTCTGAGCAGCGCCCCATGGATCGGAAGCGGCGGAGAGCGCGGCGCCGTACAGTGGGGTCAGGCGCGAGCCACGGCGACACCCCACCAGACACCTGGCACGGAGCGGCAGGAAGTGAGTCATGGGGGAAGGAGGCAGCGTGCCCGCCGGGCCGCTCGGAGCCTCCCCCTTCCCCCGCGCGGCTCTCAGCCAGAGCGGGGCCCCCCACCACCCCTCCACCGTCTGAGGGGGGGGGGGATGGAGAAACGCCGCGCGCGCGCCCCCCGCGCGTCTCTCCGCTCCGCGCAGCCCAGAGACGCGCGGTGCTGCTGTGTGTTTGGCGAGCACGAGCTGGGGGTGACATTCCACTTTGACTGGGAGGGCAGCCGCTGCACGCACGCACGCACACACGCACGCACGCACGCACTCACGCACGCACGCACACACGCACGCACGCGCGCACGCGCTCAGCAACTGCTGGCGACTTGACACAAAAGTGTTCCTCGCTCAATTAATCCTGCAGAGATGATCGGCCGATCCGACTGAGTTAGCCAGCTTTTGAATCTGTGACCCCATTGTGAAGCAGCCTGCCACAGCACCACCTCGCCAGATGTGCACATCTACAGAATTATTATGACTATTTTGTTGTGCTGTTGCATGGATAGCCCACAGGTTTGTATGTTGGATAAAATAAAATAAGCCCAAAGTGGAGGGTAGGCAATACAAGCATAAACCATAAAGTAGAATACTGTACCCAAGTATTGATAGCAACTTCTTGGTTTATCAAGGCGAGCTTTACAGATAATTCTAGACCGTGTTCTTTTGAGTAGGGCGTCACGTCGGGACGTCCGACCGACCCCTGTCCGAGCGAGCGTGCGGTACGGAGACCTGCGCGTGTCTGGAGGAACCCCACACGCACGGGGGGGAGAGCGAGAACGCTCCAAGGCGGTTTGGCAAAAGAAGACGGGGCGGCCCGACTTTGTCGCGCCGCCTCAACGCCGGCCTGCACTTGTTAACGTAGCGAATGCGACGTCCACGGACATAACGCTGCAGTCAACAAGTCGAATAATGTTCCTGTGAAAATATTATCTTGACGTAGTTCATATCGCACCTTGACCGCAAATGACAAACCGAACAACAACACGATCCAAATCGCGCAACACGGGCACACCTGCGTGGCCCGCGCGCGGGAGCGTGGCTCAAAGCGAGTTCGTGGTTGCGGACTGGCTCGCCGCACCAGCTCCCACAGCTCCTCTCTGGCGAGTGACGGACACAAAGCGGCGTTGTGACCACGCCCAGGGCACGGCAGCTGGAGGGGATCCCTCGTGGGGAGCGGCTGAACCGTTTCCACTCCTTCTTGGTCCCCTCCTCACCTTCATTCCCTCAACATGAGCCAGCACTTGTTCACGTAGCGTCTACGACATCCACAGACTTAACACTGCAGCTTTAGATTTTAAACAACGTCCCTGTGAAAAGTGAAAATCCCTTCTCATCGTAACGTCATTCATATCGAGCCTTAACCGAGAATGACAAAGTGACAACAATAACATCGAAATCGCACAACAGAAGAACACATTAAGAATAAATTGTTCCGAAGATATAAAAAAAATAACGTTCATTTCCATCAGCCACGATCTATTCACATATGTACTGGACAGCTTTATTGCATTCCTCAAGTACGAATCAAGATTCCGATTCGTGCTCTCGGGCGCACCCACGTACTCTCACTTGGCTGCTGCTCTATCACCAGACTCTTCTACTATCCATCATTCCCTCTGCAACACTGTCCTGCCCAAGACCACTTACTGTCTTTAATGGTAAACAGATGCTAGGGAGTGACATTTGGAAATAAAGTTAGAAATGCCTTGCTGTTCTTAAGCACCAATTAGCAAAGGGTACCGTTTAGATGTATGTTAAGGTCGCATTGGAGACACAGGCCTCTGTGTGTGTGGGATACATCATGTTGAGATGCATCGTAGAGGACCGTCTCAGGGCCAAGGTGAACAAGCCACGAGTGAGTAAGCGCCGCGTGCCCTCTCGGAATCATTTGTGAGGGAGCCACATGTTCAGCCCGACTCGCACAGGCGCTTCGGCTGCCAGGACAGGTGCGAGTGTGCGAACGTTGAAGGTGAATGACGCACGAGCGGCAAACTGCATCGCTGAAGCAGCAAGACATGACAGCAAGATGACCGGGGCGGCGGCCCAGGGAGCCAGCGCCGAGCCAGCACTGAGCCAGCACTGAGCCCGTGCCGAGCCAGCGCTGAGCCAGCATTGAGCCAGTGCCGAGCCAGCACTGAGCCAGTGCCGAGTCATCATTGAGCCGGTACCGAGCCAGTGCCGAGCCGGTACCGAGTCATCATTGAGCCGGTACCGAGTCATCATTGAGCCGGTACCGAGTCATCATTGAGCCAGTACCGAGTCATCATTGAGCCAGTACCGAGTCATCATTGAGTCGGTACCGAGTCACCACAGAGCCCACACCAAGCCAGTGGGGTTGTAGCACCGTGGGGTCTTGCGAGGGACACGTGTGAACGGAGCACCCGGTACTTACCGGGTCTAAAGATCAAATCCTTCAATGCAACCCATAGGCTGCCACTTCGGCGAGAGAGGCAGGGAGTGTTTAGAGGCAAGTGAGAAGGAATCTGAAAGGCTATATTTATACGACGGCTCAAATCGTATACCTTCTGTCAATCTGAAGGGTGCGAGGGGCAAGTGGCGGCCACCGTTTGCAATGGGCATGC